TTAGGATTACTCACAATACCTATACTTCTAAGTTCATAATACTAATGATATCAATTGTTTCTATTTTCAGGCATGTCCCTAGACGAAGGCAGACAATCACAGAGGCCATACAGATATGGCATGGTGTTGCTGTGCGCCGGCGCGCTGATCAATTGGCTCGGCCTGGCGGAGGATTACGCGGAGCCCGTGCGCTACGTGGGCGTGGCCTGCATCGTTGCAGGAGCCCTGCTCATATGTGCCGCCATGTGTTGCTGGCTGCAGTCGCCTGCGAGGCAGCCACAGACCGACCGCGCGTCACCTGACACACACCAGGTAGGCTTACTTCTAACATACCAACTTCACGCTTTTTAACAAATTGAAGATTCAAATTGTGCAAACAATTTTCTACAATTTAATTTACTATTGTTCCCTTATCAAAAACATAATCTAATCGCATTGTTTATCACTTTCAGATCGATGATCCCATCCACGTAATTTCGATGCCAGATGAAGAAACAATGCAGCAGAAGCCTCCAGACTACGACACGGTGGCGGGAGCCCCGCCGACATACGACGACGCTATCAAGCTGAACCCCGCGCGCCTTCTGCCCGCGACGAGCAGCGCTCGACACGAGCTGCCGCCGACGCCACATCTCACGGATGTGGCCATCATCCCCGGCCAGCCCGACGACTCGGTGCCACCCACCAGCCCGATGACCGCTATCGCGCCCATCCACAGGGCGCAGGTGCCCAAGACGCCGCCGCCACCATACAACCCCACGCACGCCATCAGATGAAGGCCCGGCTGGACAACTTTGTTACTTTAAATCGACTGCTGTTTCATGTGATGAGACTCGTATATAGCAATTAGTCCACGTTGTTGACATCGCAATAACGTCACGGTATTATATTTATATTGTACGTACATATCCTAACATGAAACTATTGTTTTAATTTAATGTAGGTGGTCTAGTAAGAGCGTTGCGTACTTATGTGATAATAGGGAAGTTATTATTAGTTACTTATTTCCTGCTCTGTACATAATTATGAAATTTTGTAAAATAGTGTTTTGTTAAATATGTACCTATAGTTAGGCAGATAAGTTAAGAATTCTTCCAATAATTATTTTATAAATTGTGTTCCAAACAGAGCACCACTGTGGTTCCAAATAATGATAAAGTAGGATAAGTCAACGGTCGACAGCCGTAGATCGGGTCGGCCGGTAGACAACAAACACCCGTACATATCTGTTTATATCAATTATATGTGTTTAATGCAGTAGTAGTGTCCTACGTGACTGTGCCATTAATTCAAAGTCCTCTGAATTTGTCACCTCACTGGTGTGTGTGCACATCAGTGTTTATGCCAGCAGTTTTCTTATTTAATAGTTTGCTCACGAGCCTGTAGGAGTAAGACACACTGCTATCACCTTATAAAACGCAAAGGAATGTACATCATCAGATGTGATCCTACCATTGAACATATTGCCTGAACAATGTTGTGTAAAATTAATTAGAAGATTTGATAATTGAAACTCATCGTTAGCTTGTCGTTGTGATAATGACCGTTAGTATCATCGTTTATTTAGTTGCCTGTCGAGTTTATAATCTTAGTAGAGGTATTATAGTTTCCCGTTCCGATTTGTCTATTCTAGTCTTCAAATTAAATCATATTTACTTAAATATTCTGTTAGATAATCCAGTCATGCATAATAATTTGTAATTTGTACATATTCTGATTGCACAACTTAAATATTTCGAACAAAATGACGCTCATTTTAAGTGCTTTACAGATTTAAATAGAAAACATGCATTCAAATCTACACACTGGGTATATTATGCTAGTCAATACACCCAATTGGCATACAAAACTTGTCAAAATTATAGTAAACCTACAACTACAACTACAGCTGACGATTTGGCATGTTAATTGCAGTTGATTTGAAGTTAATAATGCATTCAAAATACAAGATGGAAACCAATATTATCGGATGTACTAACGAGTTGATAATCGATTAGGAACGTAGATTTAGTTAAATCGAGAATCTTCTTCACTATGGATCTCGTGGCCTAACAACTTTAGAAATACTTACTTAGAATTGCAAATAAAGAAAAAACATTAATTAAAATCATCATTGACGTTCATAACTAGCCGTGTGCTTTCGAATGATTGAAAATGGGACCAATACTGTTTATAAATAATACTTAAATCGTGTGCTTAATACTAATTGATTCAAACAGCGCGTGCCTGCAAGTCTTTATGAGGATTTTACAATGCTGAAGTTGTGCATTTATTATTTGTACATTGTACAAAGTTCGGAAGATAAGAGTGTATATAAACAAAAATAAATGTTGTTGAAAGTAATAATTGTTTTATTGTTCATGTTTATGTATTTGCATCCTTGCTGCTCGTTTTGTTGTTGTTTTTAGATACACAACGCTGGATCACGAAATCTCGAATTGAGTTCGTATATTGCAGATTTGGGTCTGTCGGTAAAAAAAATTCAACTGCAGTCCAGAATAAAAGTAGAGTAAAATACGTAGTACCTACTATCATCTATTCTTAAATGGGTCGAATAATGTGGATGCAGAGATTGCCGGGTGTGGAGGCACATAAATTGAATAGGAGCTTTCCTAAAAATATATTGTACCCTCTTGACTCTTGAGAGACAATTTTTTTTGTCTGTTTAGGGGTTTTTATCTTTCATATGCCAACCCCATCATAACTTTTACCAAAATATTACCTATCATTATACATAATAATTACTTCACAAAAAAAGAAAAAAAAATGTTTTACTCATCAAATACCTATTGGGATTAAATTACAAGATTTTACTGTGGTTTTTTTTTTAAATTGGGACAAGCCCGCCACCACCTCCCAAAACCGCTGCAACTCCTGTAAACCAGTGTCTACAGTAGATACAACCATGAAAATACCGGAACACTGAAGTCTGACGCGTCCCAGGGACATGAATAACTGTCTTGGGTCCCGCAACGAAGTGAATCAGAACTTCAGAAGATATTATAAGAGGAGAAGAAAAAAAACTATAGTTTCCACTTCCCTCAGTGAATTACTGCAGGAAACAGAGTAAATTAAGCCTAAAGGCACAAAAAAGAGAATGCGTAACTGGGTGATAAGCCCAGTCGCCAAGCACTACGGAAATTTGACTAAAATCTAAGTGGGTCCTACGTGTGAGCCTTGATACTTGCTTCCAAAATTTTTTGTGGTTTCTGAACATGGTAAAGACAGAATTGACTGTAGTAAGCCTACATCCAGTTTATTAAGTTTTAGTTCTCCGATGAGTTATTCACGTTCCCGTTCATTCCGGACACAATCCATCGGCAAATGTTGCCTATCCTCAATTTTATTGCAGAATGCAATTTGGAGCATTGTTCTTCTTCATAAGGAATGCAAACTTAACCGATGGGTAGTGTCCGGAACGATGTTTTTTTTTTTATATCACGACGGTGGCAAAAAAGCTCACGGCCCACCTGATGGTAAGCGGTTACCGTGGCCTATGTACGCTTGCAACACTTGGGGCATTACATGCGTCTTGTCGACCCTTAAGAAACCTATTTACTCCCCTCTTGAAGAAGCCCACTGGGAAAATCACGGCAGGGAGTTCATTCCACAATCGGAGGGTCCGTGGGAGAAAATTCGGGACGTTTGAAAAATGGAAAATTGTACGGGACCATTTGGGCTCCTATGTGTGAGCGTGAAGTCCCTGTCGATGGCGAGCGGTAATAGATAGAAAGAGCGATAGAAAGTGGCCGTGGGCATCTTATCAAACAATTCCGTAGAACACAACCCATTATACAACGGTTATCATTATAATTATTATCAAAACGAGAGACAAATTGAATTTTGCTAAATTGAGGACAATCTCTCGATGAGCCCTTGCCATTTTGTGAATGGATTGGTCCTATTCAGAGAACCTCAAACATATTACTATGTCGCGGAGAAACTAACGGGTAACCGGGGCTCCGGCTCGACGTGCAGGAGAAGGAACGGGGTGGTTTTTAGTCAGTAAGAGTCTGACTCTCCCTTCCGCCTCACCCAGGCGGGAGAAGTCATTCGATGATTTTCCCCCCTTAAAAAAAACATATTACTATGAAAACTAATATTTTGTAAACACAGGATAGCTTAGGACTAGTTTTATACTAGTTTACCTTCTTTGACTACTTATTAGGCACTGTGGCTGGGCAACCGGCTTTTGCATAACGTATAATGGGTTCGATTCCTGCACTGAGCAATTCTTTTTGTGATTCACAAACGCACCCACGACACAGAATAATTCCTAGGGGGGACAACGCCTTTTTTAAATGATCTAGCAATATCTTGAAATCTAGAGGTCCCAGCTTCTTAACGCGCTATTGTTACGTGCTTCTATATATATAAATATGTTGATTGGGGAACAGGGTGGACGTTAGTGGTTTTACGTACTACGCTTAAAAATGTAGCAGTTACTCAAAATCTAGAGGTAGCAGCTTCCGCCTTATAGCTACGTCCACCTAAAAATATATATATGTTGATTGAAGAACTGGGTGGAAGTTAGTGGTTTAGTTTTACCTAGTACACATAAAAATCTAACAAAAACTCAAAACCTAGAGGTTCCAATAAAACAACAATACATTTATGACGCCCTGTCCTGTAGAGATGTATTTGCTTATTGTGGGACAGGGTATAAGTGCCCTTGGCCAGGAATCTCATTAAAATCTCGAGCTAATGTACTGTCTACCATATTAAATTGCAATTAAATATTTTTACCGCTAACATTTAGTTAACTGTACTCGTTTAGTTTGCCTGACTGACCGTCCATTAGTTTGTCACAGACTGTTTGACGGCGATACAGATTGTACAATACTATTGGTTACACTGACAGTGACATAACTGACATAACAATGACAATTAAGATTAAGATGACAAAAACATTGTGATTGGGATTTCTCAATTTGTATAAATAAAAATAATAAAATAATACGCTAATTTAACTGTTTCATCAAAAACAGTAGTTTTAATATATGAAAAACATGCCGGTAGAAATAAACAGTTTAATAGAGGGATGGCTCGAATTGGAAAGTGACCCGGGACTGTTTACTCTTTTGTTGGAGGACTTCGGTGTAAAAGGGGTTCAGGTAGAAGAGATTTATGACCTGCATAAACCCTTAGAAAGTCCAGTTTACGGGTTTATCTTTTTATTTCGATGGATTGAAGAGAGACGTTCACGTAGGAAATTCGTTGAGCAGATTGAAAGTTTCGTGCGCGATGAAGAAACTATAAACAGTATATTTTTTGCACAACAAATGGTCCCGAACAGCTGTGCCACCCATGCGTTGTTGTCTATATTGTTGAATTATCCTAATCTCCACTTAGGCGAAACATTGAGCAGGTTAAAGGTATATTATCCTTTTCTATTGTTAAACAATACAAAAGGTTTTTTGTCTGTTTACTGCAATTTGACTTAATCTTTGTTTGTCAATAACTAGCACCATACACTGGGAATGAATCCTGAGAACAAAGGCTGGGCGATAGGAAACACACCAGAGCTGGCTTGTGCTCACAACTCCCATGCCATCCCACAAGCTAGGAAGAAGGCTGATAAGAATGCTGGCGTCTCAACTGGACGCTTCACAGGTAGGGCTGCATGAGTAACTTATTAGAAAACCTTAATAAAGCTAAATAGTCCACTCTTTGTATTATTTAATTTTAGTTTGTACTAATCTATATATATATAATTCAAAGGTGATTGACTGACTGACTGACTGACATAGTGATCTATCAACGCACAGCCCAAACCGCTGGATAGATTGGGCTAAAATTTGGAATACAGATAGATGTTATGACGTAGGCATCCGCTAAGAAAGGATTTTGATAATTTCCACCCCCAAGGGGGTAAAAAAGGGGATGAAAGTTTGTATGAAACTTTGTCAGTTTTAAACCGATCGGGTTTAAATTTGGCATGCAGATAGATGTTATGACTTAAGCATCCGCTGTGAAAGGATTTTGATAATTTCCACCCCCAAGGTGGTAAAATAGGGGATGAAAGTTTGTATGAGACTTTGTCAGTTTTAAACCGATCGGGTTGAAATTTGGCATGCAGATAGATGTTATGACGTAGGCATCCGCTGTGAAAGGATTTTGTCCACCCCCAAGGGTGTAAAATAGGGGATGAAAGTTTGTATGGGACTTTGTCAGTTTTACACCGATCGGGTTGAAATTTGGCATGCAGATAGATGTTATGACGTAGTAATCCGCTGTGAAAGGATTTTGATAATTTCCACCCTAAGGGGGTAAAATAGGGGATGAAAGTTTGTTTGAAACTTTGTCAGTTTTAAATCGATCGGATTGAAATTTGACATGCAGATAGACGTTATCATATAAGCATCCGCTAAGAAAGGATTTTGATCATTTCCACCCCTAAGGGGGTAAAATAGGGGGTGAAAGTTTATATGAAGCTTTGTCAGTTTTACACCGATGCAGATGAAATTCGGCATGCGTAACATCTAGAGGTACTCTAGATGTTATGACGTAGGCATCCCCAAGTAAGGATTTTGATTATTTCCACCTCCAATGGGGTAATGTAGGGGATGAACGTTTGTATGACGCTTTGTCAGTTTTACACCGATCGGGTTGAAATTCGGCGTGCAGATGGATATTATGACGTAAACGTCCCTTTAGAAAGGTTTTTGAACATTCTCACCCCAAAGTATGATACTTTGCCAGTTTTAAATTGATCGGGCTGAGACTTTGCATGCATAAATTTACTATGACATAGGTATCTCCTTAGAAAGGATTTTGATAAATTCCACCCCTAAGGGGATAAAATAGGGAATGAGAGTTCGTAGAATCATTGAATCTTTTTGAATTACAGTCGGTAAAACGATGATTTGGGACCTGGGTAACGTTTGATAGTTTTTATCACAGATGTCCCACGGGAACGGGAACTATGCGTCAATGCCCCGGGACTGTCTAACTCTTAACCACTGAACTTATTTTAGAGAGATTGGGTACAACAATAGTCGATAGAATAGTTTTTATTACTCAAACCTTACGTGATCGGGCACTGTACTGGTAAGATCCCTGCGGGATTATTTATTTATTGAAACTACGATAAATCATTTCAAAATAGGTAAATCTTACTTGGGCACTGAATTGGTTCTGTCAGAAGTCATTAATCTACGCGGACGAAGTCGCGGGCAACAGCTAGTTATGTTATATATCAATTTATTTCTTTAATAAAATATGAAATTTGTTAAAAAAAGAATCCTGTAAAGCACTCATGTCTTGTTATAAAACCACAGGTTATACATACATATAATATGGATGTTATGAATTCCTAGCTTTTTACATTTTTGTTACTCTAAACACACATTAACAAAGAATACATAACATTTTCAGGTGAAGCATATCATTTTGTATGTTTTGTACCCATAAATGGACACCTGTTTGAACTGGATGGCCTGAAGCCATATCCCACTGACCATGGACCATGGGCCGCTGATGAAGACTGGACTGATAAGTTTAGGAGAGTGATGGCTGAGAGACTCGGTAGAGATGCTGGAGAACAAGTTCATGATATAAGGTATATTTTACACCTTGTATTTTGTTCTATCGTGTTAATAATACTTACACAATAATGCAAAATTCTTGTTCAGAAATCATTACAATCTCATAGAACTTGTAGTGAGATGACATTTTTTCAAATTAATTGCTCATTTGTGTCGTTGGTCAAATGTCAACTATTGATTTGTTCAAAGAAGCCTTGTAGACTATGACCAATAATATAGACCATTCATATATCCTACTTTGATTTCAGATTTAACTTAATGGCTGTTGTACCTGATAGACGCATAGCATTGACACAGAAATTAAATGCATTAGAAATGAACCAGAAAAGAGTTAAAGAAGCAATTTCAAAGATTGGTAAACATCTGCGACATTTGTTGTCAAAGCGCAGAGAGATTACTGGTAAGCTAAAAACTATTCTTCAAAACTGACTGGGACTGGGAACCTTAGTATGTATTTTGTAGCCAATAATGATTGACATACTTGAAACAGAGCAATGAGGTAGCAAGTCGACTTTGTTGCCCATAGGTACCATTAACCCATATATCCCCAAGCGGCCACCGGTGATGATTTTCAACGGGTTAAGAGACAAGATACTGACATTATGATAGAGTAACCTATAATTAAATATTAAACCCTTACATTTTCCGATTTAAACAATATGTATTTTTATTTACTTATAATTATGTGTAGATGGTAGTTCAGAATATATCTCTGTCGATAGTTTAACCCGTCCAGCGTCCGCGTTCCTTATGCATTTCCTTATCCTTATGCATGCAAGAAAATCCATTTATTTGGCCATTGGCACACGAAAACAAGGATCATTACAATAGACATAAAACAAACAAACAGTACAATACATACAGTAAAAATAAAAACAAAACATTAATAAATAGATTTTATAAAAGAGAAAGCAGCATGGAGCATTTTTTCTTATGATCCACCGGGTGCTCATAAAGACGCTCGAGGGGTTTATTAATAGTTTAATAAAACGTAACTTCCACTTTTCAGATTAGGATCCTTTTTGTAAAACTATATCATGCAGTCACATGATATATCAGTATTTCCTTTCCTATTGGACAGGATTTGGAGGCCTAGCCTAGCCTATTCTTTTTTATAAGAACTTACACTGTGTTTTTTATTAATTCTACCTTCGGATGAGACTCAAATAAGAACTCTACTCCCACCAGAACTGTTTGTTTATTCCGAAATAAATAATAATTGAATTCCTAAAACTTTACTATGTATCCACATATTGCCCATCTCTTCTGTAGTGAGATTTTTGTTTTAAATCCGATATAAATATACCTGGTACTTATTTATTCTTACTTTACTTTTTACAGAGGAAGGAGAATCACTCTCGGAAGAAAGTAACGAAAACTCCCTAAATGAGAATATAGTGCAGATCAGTGAGGAGACAATACTGACTGCTTTAGAATCATCTCAGTTGCAGTTGTATGATGTAGACTACACTCGTCCCATCACTATTGAGATTGGGGCCAACGATCGGCCACAACAAGACAGCAGTATTATTCTAGGTAAGTAGGAAACTAGGATGTTAAAACATTATCTTTGTTTTAACAAATGTCTTGAGTTGTCTTAGATTTTTGATGTTATCTTATCTTGAAGGAACAAGTTAAAAAGTTCCACATTACTTAGGGCCGATTTTTCCGACGCCAGATAAATTTTAACTGTGGAATAACTTTGAATATTTGACTATTCTTCGAACCTAAAAATTTTACATGGTAATTTTATTCTTCAGTTAAGAATTAACTGATGATCGGCCTTTTTAATAGTAGCCAAATTTGAGCTGGATCATAAAATTAGTAATTCATTACTTTTCCAGTTGATCCAGTCGAACAGGGTGCAGTTGTTAAGTTTATCTCAATCAACAGGGATAATCAAATTGTTGGAGATGTAAGTATAAGTTCTTAAGTGTAGACATTTTAATAATTTTTGCACCGGAATTATCCACCCTATTTACGTTTTTACTTAGGACATTCACAAAACATTTGGCACATCAATACTAGTTTTATTTAACGTGATAACAACTTAACAATCTCCTCTTTTCAGTTGTACCCCACATCCATAACCGCCCTAGTAAAAAGCAATGATGCACCAGTACTAGTCTGTTGTGAGACAGAGCCTGATCAGCCAATCAAACTCAGGAAGCTGTTATTGACTCATTCAGAGCTGAACGCTTTGATGAGCAGCATCGTGAATGAAGTACAGCAATGTCAGCAGGCACTCAATGATGAGAATGATAAAAGAGATATGTATAAAGTGAGTTTACTTTAGTATTACTAGAATCTCTTTAGTCAGTACAGACTTCATGTATGTATGTTGTGTAAAGATGGGATTTCTTGAATGCGAATAATCTTTTTGAATGACGGAAAACCCATGACCATCTTAATCAGCCCGTGTTTCCATAACTTAAAGACATTTCTTTGCCTAAACTGGTTTGAGTGATAAAATAGCACATTTTAATTACTCTGAAAACATTATCTATCAACTATCATTATTTAATCAAAATAACATTGTTAATATCTTTCCATCAGGTGGACGACTGTCGTCGCACGCACAACTACGACGAGTTTATCTGCACATTCCTATCAATGTTGGCGGAACGTGGCGCGCTTGGCGAGCTAGTAGCAGCGCAGTTGGAGCGAGGACGATCCTCGCGAGCTCGCCGTCGACGTCCTAGGCCGAGACCCCGAGCTAGACCACGACCTAGGCCACGAGCCAGAAAATAAAACTGAAATTTCAATACAAACCTGTTTTAGTGCAGCTATAAGCTTTAAAACTATCTACACGAAGGTCCTGCTTTACTAGCTACCGTTATTTCAACGATTATGGATTCTCATAAAGGCTGTTGCCTAAATATAACTGTTGAGCAGTACTTTGTGCTATTCGCTTAGCGCCTTTGGCTAAACCTATACTCATTTATGAAGTAAACAGTAGGTTAGAGATTGTAATCTCATAAAAAAATCTAAATGGACAAGAAATAATAAAATAGCTTGGTGTGTAATTCTCAAAAGTGATTCCAATCGTATCTTGAGCGGATAAAACTAATTCATAAATTTAGAGGACTGCCTGTAAGCTAATTTTTCTAACAAGCAGCATATTTAATAAATAACTCCAATGTCTACAAATATGTTATATAGATTTGTGAAGTACTATTCATAAGTACAATCGTTTACAACATGGTATTTATTTACAGCTTACTTGTCAAAGTAGCTAGACTACTTGTAACAAATGTGTCATTATAATCTTACAGCATTTCATAATGTATTACGCTTGTGTGTAAGGATAAATAAATAAATAAAAAGAAAGTTTTTTAAAAACGATTTTTTATTATCATACTACGAACAGCGCCGTATTTACATAGTCATCATATTGTTAAAGAAATGTAACAACAACGATTGATTATTGTTTGCTTAGGCACGTACTTCATCGAACAACATTCTTATATATTTAGCTAACGAGCACAGTAAGATGTGCGTATCGATGACAATCGCCTTATATTAGGACCGTCACGTCGTAACAGTAATATGGATAAGTTAATATTATATCATAACATAACAATCCACATTCCACACAATATAATTATTGTTACACACATGTCAGTGATATGCACACACTGGCGATGGTTTGTCTAACGCGTGACACGATCTTATCGATACGCAAAAACATGCAATCTATTACTATAAAGTGGTAACAGTATACTTCTTACATACACAAGTATGGCCTGAAATATGTAAACTACATGAATTGACTCAAAGCACAAATATGTAATCCCATAAGTTACATTATTAGAGTAGGTTATAACAACATGAAGACAACGCTACAGATCAAGTGGTTGCTAACACTATTCTGTTGCTGTCGACTATATAAACATTTGTTCCGTACAAACAAAACTATATGACTATGAAAGCTTAAGTTTCGATGCTCACAGTGAGAAGGATGATGTGCTAACACAACAAATCTAATTCGGATATGTAGCGACACAGTTAACAACGGATGACGACATGACGTACAAACTGTTGATTTTGAAAGGCAAAGTACTCTTAAAATACATTATTTTTCCCAAAAAAACATTCATTCATAAACATTTGTTCATTTGGCGTCACTGACAAGATATCAATACCCATTACAAGAATAGTTGATTTATATCATAGAAGTATAACATGAATACACCGTAGCTAAGTGATCCGTTCACAAGGCTCGTATATTACATAATATTGACCACAAGTATATATCCATTATAATACATTTCATAATTTATGTTTGGTTGGTTCAATGATCTTAGTTTACACACCAAACAGACATGGAAGCCGAAACTATTGCCAGGTACAATATCTTTATTGCATAACAAGGCAAGTCACTCGATGATAAACATGCTATATCACAGACTAACGAAAATATTACACAAACTTACATGCACTACATTCATATTATGGCACTAACAACTAAACCTGAAACTACAATGTAACGATAAAGGCAGTGTTTGTATCGAGCGAAACTCATTCCGTTGATATAAAATAAACTATCATCAATTTGCATGCGGGTAGCATTCTAATCCTGTTACATTTCAATGACAATATAACTGAATTTCTACTGCTACAGGTGTTTCAACAATATACTCCCGTACTAGTTAAAAAAAATAATACTCGACAATAACAATTCATAAAACCATTACAATATATATGAAGGACAAGTTGGCAGTAGCACCAGTTACCATAACATAGCGACATACACGGTCTCAGGATCACAACCAAAACTTATTGCTATTATCACTACTTGAAATTGCACTACTTTGGGTGTTGATAAAATTGTGAATCCCAAACGGAAGCGTAAAATTAAAACTAGATCTGCGTGATTTGAGCGAAACGTACGCAACATGCATCAACTATCGCACTCCGCGAGAATTCATTCAAAATAATCAAAATAACACTTAATTATTTGATCAAAATAATATCCTCAAAATTTTTCTAACAAAAAAAATCTACATCAAACCTTAGCACACTATTCACTACCGCATACATTCATAGATAAGGAACAATATCATCAATCAATAATTATATTAAAGTAACAATGTATATGTGAAACGTCCAGTGCGAGTGGAACATGTGTGAGCGAGCCAGCCCTGCCCGGCCGCCCTTCAACTGTCCGCCGCCGCGTCTGTCTCCTTCTTCTGTTCCTTCTGTTCAGTTCCCAGCTCGCCCAGTACGCCGGGGATGGGGAGCTCCTTCAGCTGTCTTTTCTCGATTTCCGCTTTGAATTGCTCAATGTCTTGAGGGCTGTAAAATCGATCGATACATAAGTAGTAATCGACAAAAAGTTAACATCAGCTTTAGAGATGCTAAAAACAGTATGTGCTGAGATTGATAAAATTATAAATAATGACCTGATCTGCACGAAGAGTATGCCGTTGATGAGGTTGAGCATGTCGATGACGGAGGCCATGCCGGGCGGCTGGATGTGCAGCGGCGGGGGCGCGGGCGCGGCGTGCGGCGCGCGCGCGTACGCCTCCGCCAGCCGCTTCTGCAGCACCACCGCCTGCTGCGTCAGGTGCCGCAGGCATTCCGACGACTCGCGGGTCTTCTCGTGCTTCTCACCCAACTAAGGAAAATACATTTATAATAATCAATATAGCTCAATTTGATAGAAAAAATATATTATTTCTTTGACACACTTATTTTGGTTACTGTAATCTTCTGTTTTTAACTTAACAGTCAATTGATTATAATAATATCAAAACTATTGTAATATAAGGTTTCAGTTCATACTTTTAACCCAACAAGTAATAAAAGTTAGTAACAGATAGAGAGTAGTGACCTGTTGTTTATAGATGGAGTACGTCTCCTTCTCGTGCTGCAGCGCGGCGCGGAAGTCCCCGAGACAGGAGAGCGTGCGCGCGAGCAGATGTCGCGCGACGGCCGCCTTCAGCGAGCGCGCGCCGTGCGACGCGCACGTCACCGCCAGCGCGCGCTCCGCGAAACGGAGCGACAGCTCGTACTCGCCCACCGCGTGCAGGATCAGGGCGATATTACTCTGTGTATACATTAAATAAACATATTTATTTTCTTGGTAATTTTAGTACAGAATATGAATGAAATCTTTATAAAATGAAATATGCTTTAGAACTTAAAATATCATACTAAATATAAACATCATAAAACTGGAAAAAAATTAAACCATAACAAATTATCTCAATCAACGCGAAAATATAGTTACAATGGTATTAACGAAAACAAAATACACTCGATTCATATTGGATGGATAACTGATTTTACTTCAAACGCGAATAGACGTGTACATTCATCGATGCAAAATAATATTGCTTAATTGAAGAATTAATATAATAGTGACCTAGTTTGGTAATTACTTTGAATTTAATTTTATATGTGAGTTAAGTGCTACAAACTAAATGAAATTATGACAATAAGTGTGTACAACGACGAGTAATATGGACAGCAGCCCCTTCAACCGGAGCGGGATTACTCGCCGCACCCCTCCGCCGACAACACCGTGCCGGGAACAACCAGCCCAAATTGACCCTCCAGAAGTTGTGACTACATCAGATCTTCACCAATGGACCGGATCAGTTGAGAGATACCTACAAGAAATCTGCAATATTTCTTCCGAGGGCAAACTGAACTCCGAACAGAAATTGAAAATTAGCAACCTCTGCCGAAAAGTATCCCAAGGTTTCACCCACGTCACTGTGCAATACCAAGCCCTGAAGAATAAGGCATTGATCCAACACTATGCCTTACAGGACCTCAAGGAAAAAGATGACCTTGCTGTTTCTTTAACGCAAATTAAAGAGACGATAAAAGAGTCCTGCTCTAAATCCGTGCCACAAAATAGCTCTTTTGCCGACATGGTGAAAAAAGGTGCCAACAACTTTGTACGTCCAAGCCCCTTAAGCTCTGTTGCAATTTATCCTAGTGATAAATCAAAGACGAGCGACGAAACTAAGAACATTGTACAAAAAGCCATTAGCCCAGGAGACATCAATCTAAAAGTACGTGGCGTTCGCAAGATACGTAACGGCGGTGTCATTATTAGCACTGAAACAAAAGAGGACTTGGAAAAGCTGAAGAAATCAGTCCAGCTCTCCTCCACAGGACTTACCGTTGATGAGCCGAAGAAACGGAATCCGCGACTAATTGTTTTAGGAATCCCGACCTCAATGGCTGAGCCGGAAGTGTTCAAATGTATTTTTGAACAAAACGTTGCTGAAAAGCTTCCCAGTTTGTCCCGTGATGCCTTCCTGGCTTCAATAAAATTAAGCCATAAATCAGGAAGGAGAGACGCCGACCACTGCAACTATATTATTGAAGTTTCAGCCGCCCTACGTAAAGCCCTTATAATGCAAGATAGAGTGTTCATCAACTGGACATCCTGCCCTGTGAGAGACTTCACTATAGTGACCAGATGGTACAACTGCCAGCAGTATGGTCATGCAGCCAAGTCGTGCCAGGCTGCCGCTCCAACATGTGGTCACTGCGGAGATGAGGGCCACTCTATCAAAGACTGCCCTAAGAAAGGAGCTCCGCCGAAGTGCGCTACTTGCGCCCGCTTCAAAAAGCCGAGCAACCATCAAACTGGTGATATTGACTGCCCGGCCAAAAAAGCAGCAGAAAATAGGTACATGAATTCGGTAAATTATGAAGGCGCCTAAGAGCGCCACTCTTTTTTCTTAATCTTAGATCTAAGTTTACTTGTTAAATGGCCATTAACTTAATTAATGTAATTGACGACTCCTTTTCAAACATATCCACTTCCTGTGAGGTTGAAGATTGCAAAAGCTATGTATCCAACTTCTCAAAGTCACTAACTGTTCTCACCCAAAACATTCGTAGCTTATACAAAAATATAGATAATTTTCATGTTCTTTTAGGTAGACTCAACTTCTCATGTGACATAATCATACTAACAGAGTGTTGGCTTAAAAGTAGATGCGTTAACCTACCTGATATTCAGGGATATAACTCTTTTTGTAATACTATGAATACTAGCCAAAATGAAGGAGTGGTTGTCTATGCCAAAGATTCATTAAGAGTTACTGTAGAGGAACCTAATACACCAGGATGCAATTGTTTGGTCATTAAGGTAGATACAATTACAGCAATAATAGCTGTTTACAGGCCACCTTCCACTAGAAATTTAGATTCCTTTCTCAATTCCTTAAACCAGACATGCGAAAAACTAACCTCCTTTAGAAATATTGTACTAACAGGTGACATAAACATTAATATCAACTCTGAGAATTCTGATGCAGGAATACAGGATTACCTTAATTTATGTGCATTTCATGGACTCCTCGCTGCTCATAAATTGGCAACACATCAAAGTGGTTCCTGTCTGGATCACATGATGGTTAAAACCAACTCAAACTATATAAGCCTTGTTACTAACTCTACATTAACCGATCATCATGCCGTTCTGCTTATCCTTAACTTCACGCTTCCGAAGCAAAATCGTCACCAAACTAGGTCACAATTAAACCTAAAAAAACTCGAACATGATTTACGCAATACCGACTTTGCACCGATTTATAATTCTGCTGATGTCAACGTCTCGATGTCGTATTTAATAAATAATGTTGAACAAGCTATTCGTCGTAATACCACAGTTATAAAAACTAATAATAGACATTATAACATAAAGCCATGGATTACGCCTGGGCTTGTTAGATGTATAAGACACCGGGACAAACTACATCATAGAGCAAAACGTTTTCCTGATAATTTTGATCTACAATTAACATACAAAAGATACAGGAACTTTTGCAATAATTTGCTGAAAAAGATTAAAATCGATTACGATAAAGGCGCGTTACATCGGGCGGGTAAAAATAGTAAGAGTCTTTGGCAACACATAAAAAATGTAACTTATACGTCGAAACAGCGAGAATCATGTTCGAATTTACTACTAACAGAATCTTCTTCGCTTCAGTCTGCTGACAATGTAAATAACTACTTTTTAAATGTGGGTAGAAACCTCGCTCAACAGTTGCAGCTAGACTCTACAACCCGGACTAATACACCTTTACTACACTCAAATACTGAAAAATCATTTGTTTTATTAGATACAGACGAACAGGAAATTGCACGAATCATAACTGGAATGAAAGATAATTGTGCAACTGGTTGTGATGGGATCAGCAATAGGATCTTGAAAACATATAAGCAAATTTTTGTCCCACCTCTGACTCATGTTTTTCGAGAGTGTCTCTCTAAAGGCATTTTTCCAAAATGTCTTAAAAGGGCAGTGGTTGTCCCTATATTCAAATCAGGTGACAAGGATCTAGTTAATAATTATAGGCCTATCTCACTACTGCCATCGATATCTAAAATTCTTGAGAAGATTATTAACATCAGATTGGTAAATTACCTAGAAATTAATAAATTCTTGTCACCACTGCAATTTGGTTTTAGAGCAAAATTGTCAGCAGCTGATGCAGTACATACACTCACAGATTTCATATCAGAAGAACTCGGTAAAGGCAACCACGTTCTAGGAATTTTTATTGATCTTGCCAAAGCTTTTGATACTGTGTCTATTCCACTGCTTCTAAAGAAGATGGAATGTATGGGTATCAGAGGCACTCAACTGAACCTCTTTGCTGATTATCTAGATGACCGTTACCAGTGTGTTAGAATAGATGACGTCACAAGCTCATTCCAGAAAAATACGGGTTTTGGAGTGCCTCAAGGGAGTATTATTGGTCCTACCCTATTTTTGATCTATATCAACGATTTATGTAACATCGAGATGCATCATGGGAGACTTATATCATACGCTGACGACACGGCCCTAATTTTTTCATCCAATAACGACACTGAACTGTACTGTAATGCTCAATTAGCTTTCGATTCAGTTAATAGTTGGCTTTGCTCTAATATACTAACACTAAATGCGGAGAAGACAAAATTTATTCACTTTTCTATGCGCAAGAATCCAATTGCCACTGTTACACCCCAATTATACGCACATAAATGTAGAATTAGTCCACTGGGCACATGCAACTGCCCTTGTATACTAAAAACTACTTCCATTAGATATCTAGGCATCACAGTTGATGAAACTCTTTGTTTCAAACAACACATCAGCGCTTTGGTTGCACGTGTCAGGAAATTGATGTACATTTTTAAAAAAATTAGACAAATCGGAGATGTTAAACTAATCACTCAAATCTACCTAGCGTTATGTCAGTCAATTATCCAGTACTGTGTTACCTCTTGGGGTGGCGCATCAAAAACTATTATACTCCCTCTAGAACGTGCTCAGAGAGCCATCCTAAAAGTTGCATTTTCCCATCCCTTTCTCTTTCCTACATCGATGCTATATAGATCCTGCAAAGTTTTAACTGTTCGCCAAATCTATGTAGTACAGCTAATACTCAAACAACATTCACTACTCAGCTTCAATATTAATAACCTTACTAACAAAAGGCGGAATGATATAGTTTGCACTTCAACCTCAGTGTCAAAACACGCTTTTATAAAAAGATTCTTTATCTTTCTTGGCCCATTTTTATACAATAGAATAAATAGAGATTTAAGTATTTATAGCCTCAATCACTTTCACTGTAAAAAACTATTACATAATTATGTACACACCTTAACATACGATCAAACCGAGGAATTACTTGAAGTAAGCAAATAATTTTATTATAGTTGACTTAGATTATTTTTGCTTACGTTTGTTTATGAAACTGTACACGCGCACCTGTTATACTTAGAGACTAGCTTAATTTAATTTAGACATAAAAAAATTTAGTTTTATAAGCAATATTATTGTATTTTAAATATTTCAGTACATTTTTAACCTGAAACACAGGCTTGGACCTAGTTCAGGTTTCACATATTTTTAGACTTTGTTTAGATATTAAGATTTATTTTGTAACCTGGCTTTTTACACGAAATAAACATTTTATTTATTATTGTTATTTATTTTATATTGTTTCCTGAATAAAATAATCCTTGTAAACAAAAATATGTTCCAAACTCACATCAAGTAACGCCATCTCCGGATGATTCTCTCCACAGACGAGTAGTGCGAGGTAGCGAGCGCGATACAACAGCTTCAACGCTGTGCTGACCTGACCGTTAGCGAAGCAATATAACGCCAAGTGGGACTGGAAACAAAACAAATAGATTAATACCTGCAAAGTAACGAATTCAAGCCGCTAAATTCTACCCAACATGTTGATTTCATTAAATATTGATCTTGAAGCAGAAAATTAATAGAACCTTCTATCACAACTTAATATTATAAAGAAAAAAAAGAAACGCTAAAGATACTTTGTCTGATAAAATTTTATGCTTAAACCACTGAATGGATTTTGATAAAATAAGATGAAAAGATAAATAACTAATTTTATTTAATAAGATGAGATTATTTACACTTTAGATCTGTTACTAAAATAACTTTAAAAATTTGGATTATCGTCTATGCGTGACTGAGGTGGTAAATAATATGTACGTAGTAGTTTTTAGCACAAACTTATAAAAATACTTACATATTCAGTAATAGTATAAGGATGATCGATTCCGTTAACCCTTTCAGACATGAGCACAGCTTTCTGTTGGTAGGCCATGGCGTCCCTATGTTCCCCGGTAACATAGCACAGTCGCGCAACCATGCGCAAACATTGCGCAATCTCGCCGTGCATTGCTCCATACACGTTGTTCAATAAATTCAGTGCCTCGGCGATTAATTCGTGGCCTTCCGATACTGCGCCTGCTTGAATCTTGTTCTGACCAGTCGTGTAGAAGTTGTAGGCGTCTGATGCCTGTGGAGACAATCAATTATTAGGACTGATTATTAAATGTTGATGAAATGATATTTAGTCTCAATATAGACTAACAGTAATTATTATTTTAAAAAATCACAAAATAGTAACATTTTTACGTATTATTATGATTTATTCAAATGGGGATGATACGAATTTTTTGGGATGTTACCAGAAATGTTCACAAAGTTCACAAGACCAATATCACAGGGAAAATTAGTTAAATAAATATTTAAACTTTCTACTTACGCGTGGGTTGATATGCTTAACAACGGGGAAAATGTTCATGATATCGTTTGCTGTGAAAGGCGCCTTGTTCTTGCTGTCGAAGTCGTACTCGCGTAGCATCAACTGTAGACCGACTTTGAGAGCGAAAGATCTGAAAGTTTAATATTCATAGATTATTTTGCTATCATTGCTGAATTCAAAAATAAAACTCATGTCAATGTGATGATAAAAAGAGAAATTTACCTGAGAAGTGAAATTTTCTGTAAACCATGTTTTTCTATAACAGAATCCATGCTGTCTGCATTGAGTTCATAACCCCAATATGCCTGTAAAAATAAAACAATATAAGTTTATTTAAACATAAGTTTTTGCAGCCAAATTGATTTCACGTACAGTTCCTACCTACTTACTGGAGGGTAGAAAACAAGAAATTGAACTTAAACTGTCAAAAACCAAGCGGTCACCGGTGACCGCAACCTATTATTCTTTAATTGTGTCTATAAATATGGTACTCGACGAGTTAAATGACAAAATCCAAAATAAAAGTTAAAAATATCGTGACACAAATAATTTACAATTTTTATTGATTAGTAAGGTATGTAGTTTGTAGTAAATGTGGTACTAATAGTATACCTGTATCTCTTACCTTAAGTTCCTGTTTGATTTGCGAGAACAGTGATTTGGGTGAGAGATTGTGCCAGTCAGGTGTGGGTCTGGAGGCGGCGCGGCGTGCGCGTGTCGGCGGGCGCGACGTCCGCGGCCCGCCCGCGCGCCGCCGCGCGCCGCGCCCGGGCCCTCCGCCGCCGACAGCGCCGGGCTGCCGCAGGCGCCCAGCAAGCAGTTCAGGAAGTGCGCCACCGCGGCACCGATACACATCGCCTCGCAACCCTGTAACGAATAAACTTGTTCTAAACAAGTTTCAAACTATTTTTTACAGTATATTTTTTATTTTAATATCTTTGTTGATCATCATCAATCACGTTATGGCAACTGCTGAAGAATTCCTATGAATATCTCTGAACAAGGGTTTACTATAAATCCTACACTGAGTGGAGATCAGAAATGCGATCACTAAAACATTTAAAGGATTCCACCAGCTCGTCCTCAACGGCTAGTCGTAATTTTTTGTGATTAAGACTGACTAAAATCTGTTCAGAATCCGATCGCTGGTGACTTTCTCCCATAACGTTTCATGTGTTAACAACAATAATGAAACAGCTAATTAATATAAGTATAGCATATAAAACATACCTGCAGATAAGCAGTGTAGATATGCTTAGCAGCACGTAGAAGTAGCTCGGCTACAGCGATGGCGTGTAGGTACGAGAGCTGCGCATGCGGCCGCAGTGCGTTGGCGACGCGGCCGAGGTAGCGCACGTTGATGCCGCGCCCGTGCAGCGCCTCCGTCAGCCCCGCGCCGTCCATTGGGGCTGACGTATGCTCGAGGCATTCGCGGACCTATAAAACACATCATTTTACACCTCATTGCTAAATACAAGGATAAAAGGTAATAAACTTCTACAAAAGAGAAGTACTGATAAAAATAACTAAGCTTGTTTAAGAACTACGGATGAAACGTACTGTAAATGAAAGTAATGACGCCCGTAAAAAGAGAGCAAAACGAGAACATAAAATATGATACGTATTCACACAAACACGCGAAACATCTAATAAGTAGTATTTAAACATCTAATAAGAAGCAGTAATCTCATAGACAGCGCTGCATGCAGCGGGTCGCCCGTCGCATGCCGATCTATGAGATTACATAAAACAGCACACTTAACGCATTGTTCGGCCTTATACCATTTCATGTATTGTGCGAACGAATTTACTTAAAAATCGACAATCTCTTCCAAAATTCAAAAGCAATATGACTGATTCAGAGGAAATAAGACTATTTGAGGAAACAACTTACAAAGGCCGGTATCTGCGTCGTAAGTAGGAAGGCAGCGGCTTCCTTGACGAGATGTCGTTGTTTGGCGAGCTGCTCCGGCTCGGCAGCGTGTTTGATGCCCGCGGAGTACACGTCGGGGTTGAAACGGACATCGAACTCCGACTCCTTGAGAGACGCCACTGCGCGCGCCGCCGCCGCCACTACGGCACGGGAACGTTCCCCAGCTATTAACAACAAGCCTTCATAAAGCACTGAAGCTTTACCAAATAGGGATCAATAAAAACTGTATTTCAGTTATCCATATAGAATACTGTTTTATAAAATCATAAGCCTGGACGATATTTATTTGAAATGTCCAGGACGTCACGAGTGTAACAAGCTCCTCACATTGTACGTTTTATTTACTGTATCTGAATAGATTTATCCAAATAACATGTTAGATGTCAGTTTTCTCCTTCATTCCTTTTAACTTCTATCAAAACTTGCTATGGTAAAAGTATGTATGGTTTATGTTACAGCGTATTGGTTTAATATTACAACATAAAATCTCCGAGTGAATAGCCACTATTTGAAATGTTATACTTCAATAGTTATGTTAAAGTATATGTTATGTATGTTATGTTAAAGGCTATATGTTATAGGTACGGGACCTATAACATATAGCCTGGTACATACTTTTTATAGCACAACACGCTTACTCGGCAGTCGCGCTTATTATTAGTCGACCACGAAGGCATTTATATATAAAACATGCAAGTAGCTAATTCTAAAATGTAGTCAATATAAAGTAACTAATTGCGAATAATTAAATCGTAATTTTATAGTTAAGGCGAGCTGTGTAATCGCCTTAACTATAAAATTACGATTTCTACTAATTAGTTACTGCAGTAACAGCTATTATTGCAACACTTGCTAAAATAAAATTAAAAAGATTTATTTTATAAAAAAGTTTACTTACAATCACTCTCTTGTTTATCTCCACCGCTGCATATCGAATCAGTGATACTCTCAACAATCTTCTTGGCGACATCGGTGTCAATTTCAGAGTAATTCTCGTTCAACAACAATTCGTCTTCTTTTTTCTCACTCTTAGCCGCAGATTTATCTTCTTCTGCGCTCTTCTCTTTCGCTGCTTCCTTTTTGGCACTTTCTTTATCTTTTTTATCTTCTTTCTTCTGCTTTTTATCTTTTTTATCTTCTTTCTCCTGGCTCTTAGTCTCGCGTTTTGGTTTTTCTTCTTTCTTCTCAGTCTCATTGGCAGCCTCCTTTGATTCATTCTCCTTGTTCTCAATAGATTTCTGTGCGGTGTCACGTTGACGCTTTGCACTTAATTGTTGCAAATGGAAAGCGGCGTAGCGAATAAACATGAAGTAACGAGCCCTGAAATGAATTGACTCACCATTAGTGCATATCCATCAAATTATACTTGTGACCACAATAATTGAGTATTTAATATACTTACTCGACAAAACTATCAACTAATTCTTGTCTAAGGCAACAGAGTTTGTGCTTGTGGATAATTGGGAAGCCCATTGATTTGATGTCCTCCCTCAGTTCATCATCTTCCACTGAAATAAAAGGAAAACCATTTACAAAACTGTGCAAACTTTACGTAGTCTTAGTGTAATTAGCGTAAGTTTGAGGAAATAGCGCAACTTAGCGCAGTAAGTTTTGCGCAAAGTTCCTTGTATTATTTTACAACGTTTGTCTATGTTACTTACGCTGCAGGAAGTTGACATCAGGCGGGAAGGTGCGCAACAAGTCCAGTATATAGTGACGGCCATCATTACCGATGATGCCTTTACACTCGACACTGGAGCATAACTCCACAGTCTCACCGTTAGCACTGATCACCGAGTGTGGCATTATCTTCAACTGCTGACCCGCTTTGCTCAGCTAAAATAAGAAATACGCACTTAAGTAACAATGTATGAAGTTTTCTGCAACTTTTAGTATTAATATTTTCATGGCCTTGGTGAATATACCATACTAACGGTATATATTTAGTCTAAATGAAGAGATATGATTGTTATCTTACATGACCTCATTCATGTGATAGATTTTGAAATAACTACAAATCTTAATAATGTAAATCAGTGTAGGGTTGACTTAACAAATTAAAAAATAGCGTGAATTAACAAAAGATAATTTTCGAGACTATTCAAAATTATTTCTTTACAAAACACAACTCACCAGCTCCATATATTTAGGATGTGAGAGTACAGTAGTACCGAAGTCAATGCTGCCGTACACAACGCTTTGTTCCTGCTCCTTCTCTAAGATACCAGGGATGATGGACTGGGCAGTCACTCGGTAGCCTCTATAGTCCACCACCACGGTGCCCAGCGTGTGAAGGCCAGCTGTATCTACCGCGCTGTAAACGCGAACGCCTTGGAGGTCGTTGCGCTATAAAAAAGAAAATGTATTAATAAAAATAAGAAAAAAAGTGTAAAAACTTATAAAAATACTGTTACAATAATGACAATATCTAAACAGGTAATGATTTCCTCATTATACAATTATTTTAACTGCCATAGAAAATGTTTTTATTGTCATCCTATTCTTGAATTCTTGAGAATAATATTAGCTGGTGGCAAAGGCATTCAGACACAAACATATTATCGTATCTACATAGAGCCATGGACGTATTATTTATTTCTCTAACTGTATGTTATATAAAATAATAAGTAAGAGTAGTATTTAAGTTTATGTCAGTTATGTTAAATCTGTTTAGGGTATGATGGGTCTTTAAGGGGGGAAAATCATCGAATGACTGCTCCCGTCTGGGTGAGGCGGGAGGGAGTGTCAGACTCTTACTGACTAAAAACCACGCGTTCCTTCTCCTGCACTTCGAGCCGGAGCCCCGGTAACTCGTTAGGTTCTCCGCGACGGGATATGATGGGTCTGGCATGGTTTTTATGCAATCAAAAGACTCTAAATTAATAAAGATAAAAAAATCTGTATGTGTGCGAGAAAAAGTATCAAATGAATAAACTAATTTGCGCATTTACAATAGAAGTTAGTATTTTCAAAACCGAAACCGAAAAATTTAATCAATCTACTTAGTATTCCGGTCTCGTACGACTTAAACATTTCCTAAGGTCACCTCCGTTTTAGCGATAAAGTTGATACATTGCATTAACAATAAAAAATGCACAATGGCCAAATGATATTGGGAATGTCATTGCAAGTAGTCAAATGTCATTGCAAGTAGTCAATGTTCTTTAGGTCAAAATATAAATTAATGTAAGGTAAATAAACTTGGCTCGATCTTCATTTAATTGTATGCTAATAGACGCATATTGAAAGATAGACTTTTATTGATATTTATGCAAATCTTCATGAGATTTAGGTTACCTAATATAATCATTCATCTAAAAAGACCTTTTGCCGATTATCTATTGATTCAGAGAGCGTAGTGGGAATTTAACGTTAACGGGATCGACACGTTTATGATATTTGCCGATATAATTAGCCAGCTTCAATTAACGAACCAATCAGAAGACTAAACATGGTAGAAAAAACTCGTACTAGGCTTTCATAGTCAAAATAAGAAGCGAAATAAGAATTGAAATTTTCGAATATTGAATAACATAATGGGTAGGTATCATTCGGTTTCTCGATTTGAGCATGTTGAGAAATAGCTTTATTATCAATAGATAAGGGAATACCCTTCGAGGACTAAAATGATAGCTATCAAATAATTAACTTACCGGTGCAACAAAGGCAGCAGCATCGCCTCCGAGATCCTTGTAATGGTCGCGCACGTCAAAGCCGAGCGAGAAGAATATGTTGTTCCATATGAACATCTGCATCTTCGGCTCCTCGCCAGGGTTGATGGCCATCACGTTGCCGTCCACTACCGCCATCGCACCACGAGTCGCGGCTGCCACGAAGTCACTGTGCACCTGTGTATATGGTAAAAAAATGGTATGAAAAAGGTCTAATATAATTGGGATGATGACAGGGTATGAAAATTAAAAATCTAATTAGTCCGTAAGTTAGGTAATTAAAAAATATTAGACACGTATTTTTTTATTTTGTCGTATAATAAAACGATACTTAGATAAAACGAATCAAAGTTTAGGAGTGGGGGCTAAAACGTCATTACTTAGTATAAAATGTACTGAGAAGTGACGTCACGCGACATTTCAAATCAATATATCGTCGAAAGTATTCGTTTTCGTAAGAAAATAAAAAACACATGTCTAATGTTTTTAAATAATCTACCAGACGGACATTAAAATAAAAATTAGTCGTCTACCCTATTGACTGACTTCCTATATTCTGTTGTTCGTGATACATTCTTTTCTACATAAAGATTAATAATTAATTTCTCACGATTATGTCAAAATTCCGCCCGGGATTTGTTGATGGGATAAGTAACAACATATTTAAGCGAATTAGATATTACCAACACTTTTCTTATTGTTTGTCTACAGAAAATAAAAGTCTTAACATTAAGATATTTTGTATACAAACCTACCTGTGGTACCTTCGATTATTATCGATTAGGCTATGTTTACATGAATTTCGTTACATTAATTATATTTCGAGTAAAATCCCCATTAACTCGTCGAGTACCGGTTTTATAGACACAATTAAAGAACAATAGGTCGCGGTCACCGGTGACCGCTTGGTGTATGACAGTTTAAGAGTAACTGTAAGGTGATTAACTTATTAATAAGTGTATATATTTGCGTTAACTTGAAACTGCACTTATTATTGTTTAGTGACTAGTTCAAACTGTACAGATACGGTTCTTTGGCTGATAACTAATGCGAGCAAACAGATAAATAAGCGTAAACCCCCTGTCATTATTACAAGTAAAATGACGTATGTATGACTAAAAACCATGGCACAGTTTGGACTAAAAAATGAACATTTTATAAAAGAACCATGTGAACTAAGAATAGAATATTTTATATGTATTTCTTTCAAGTTTCAGATATATGGAAACTGTTACAAACGCCATGATAAGTAAGAAGAAATGTCTTGTTCTTACTTCTCATAATACGTTCACTGTCAGTGCCCATATCTACTTAAAACACATATATATATACCTACAATAGAATGATACACATATGCGTGTCAGACTACAATAACAACAATAACGTCCAACACTAATACAAACACAGGTCATTAATAATTAAACTGTCAATGAAAGTTACTTAACAAGTTGCGTGCGTTGCTCGCGTATATCGTGTGCTACTAACCTTGAAGATCGCTCGTTCGCGAAGCAAGCGTTCAGGCAACGTGGACCGAGGCAGCTCCCGAGTCGTCTGCAACTCCTCATTCCAATCCCTTGTCTGACCAGGAATATGCTCCTCATAACCCAGTTTCGATGAGAACGCTGTTGAACAATAAAGAATAAGTACTCCCCAATGTATGATATTGTCATATGATTACGAACAATAGTATACATGTCAAGGTCTTAATAAAAACGTGTGTACTGTGTAGCCTAGAGTCTATACAAATATCTACTTCATTTCGTGGCTAGAATTCGTAGTTGTTATGGAAAAATTACAGTGCCTTAACATGTATAATAGAGGCTTCTACATTATACCTGAAGTACCTAAGCGCGGTGTGACCTATTTTTACCGTCCCGTCGTACATTAGGGGTTCTTCGCAAAGTACTTAACCGACATACAATTTTGGTCGCCACTGATATCTTAAAATAGCTACATTTTCATGAGGAGTCCCTTTTTTATAATGTCGATGGTACCTCATTCAAAGGTCCATAATTACTCTAATTGGTGTTTTTGTTGATCATGACAAGGGGAGCGTAATTGGGACAATTCTTTTGAATGGAACGCAGCATGCAATTATATTACCTACACATATAATAATGCATAGGAACTTCACAGAACAAAGTTCATATGAATAGGCTGCGCTATTCTATTGCCGTTCATTACAATGCCATTTTCATTACGGAAATTAGTTGCGTCCGTTTATGCATGACGCTTTATTAGATTCACAAATTATTTTTATTTATGTAAAATTATACGGTTCAACAAAAAAGTATGGATATGAGAAGCAATTGATTTACAGTTGAACGATAACATTTTACGTCGTTTTATGCGAGTTATTCAGTAATTGCTTTCATAATCAAGGATGTTATTGAGTACTCGACATTTTTACTCAGCAATATCTCTGTCGGGGAATATCCTCATGGCAGAAATATCTACTTATCCTTATGCGTATTATAGGAATATTCTGCTTTAAGGAATGTTCCCAGTCATCAGAGATAAAGTAAGATATTTATAATCAAAAAACAAATTGAATGAGCTTTCAATATGATAAAAAACGTACTAACTTTTACTTGAAATAAGCAAACATTTCGTTTTAATCACTAACATTCAGCATATCATCAATTAGACAGCAATTCTGTTATCATTACCGAATGATGTTATTTGTTTGTTCCACATTACGGAACATAATGATTTCATAGTTCACAAACAAAATGAATCATGTGTATTCATTGAGTTACATCACTACCCCGATGTAAAATAGAGAAAGAAAAAAAGTGTTAGTATTTTCCAAATTACTGGTCATAAGGAAGGAAATAGATCTCATTAATAACCGGGGTTTAATTCAATTAAGCCTATAATTATTATAGAACAAACTACGTTTTTCCTTAAACGTTAAGACAATTAAAATAACTGAATAAATACTTACTGTCTTCCGCTCTAATAGCATCGACGGTGTGGTCGAGCATTGGGGACGCCCACTGGTACACCTGGTAAGGCGTGGCCACTCGCTCAAATGGATGCTTCTGCATACGCTTCTTCTGCACCAGGGCGAAGTTACGTTTGAACGCCGGTGATACAATACTGAGGAGCTCGATCAATGAGTGACATAATAGCGATGGAGTCGCCGGACGAGGGTTGAACACTTCTTCTGTAGACCTAAGTAGAAAAAGTTGCTTTACTGTACATCATCATCATCAGAAGATGTCTACTGCTTATCAAAAGATAGGGATTGCCAGTCACTAAACGTGTTCATATGTAAAAGGTCCAAAGTAACCTTACTTTTGGTACCTGTAACGAGGACCTAGCTGCTTTAAGTAATAAAAGCCTAAATAGGTATTTATATTCTTTGGAATAGGCACTTTTGGAAGTCAAAAATGTCAGGCCTTTTGTGTAACTAATTGTTTTGTTGTAAATGTAAGTTGAAATGATCTAAGGCAGATCTTATTTCAACCGATTTTTATAGGGCCTTTCAAACTCATTCATTCGTGTCATATCGTGAATTGAAAACGCCCTTAAAAAAGAAGCTATCGATCTGCATTAAAGAAAGACGTAATCCTCTCCTCAATAATATCAAAGGTCAAGATCTCGTCTGTATAAAGATGACGCACGAATACATGGTGAATACAAATTCCTCGACGCAATATTTTGGCGCAACCATAAAATTAATCTAATCTATTTTAAATCTAGAGATTATTTCATATCGTCAAAGAATGACTTGATGGAACATACCCACTACTATCGTAGTACAAATTCCATGTAGGTATTATGATAGTACGTAAGTACATTAAATAATACTGAACATGCGACAGTAGTTTTATATGTTTATTTGAATTAATAGTAGATAAGTTAAATAAAGATATTATCTTTGATATTTAATAAGCAATGCGTACCTAAATAGGGACTAAATAAAAAACAAGAAATTTGTGTTCAGATAACGTCTGATAAAAAAGAATGGAAGAAGAGGATGGTACGCCATGCCAACTCATAGTAACTTGAAACAAGCGGCAGAAGAAAATTGACATGACAGAACTATTGTCTATACTAAGAATTTCGGAAAACCGAAAAATACCAATATAATATACTGCCAGACCCAGACAAAGCATTCCTTGGAGTTATACTCACGAACATTGTTCCTAATAGACAACCAAAAATAGAAGAGAATAAAGGTGAACAAAACTTACTGGTTAAGATAGAATCCCCTGGGGCAAGCTGTGATGTGGAAGTGGCGGTCTTCGAGCGTCACCACATGCAAGTAGAGGAGGTCGCCACACATCTTGCGCGGCCCGGGCGGCGGGTTCCAACCTGACGTTGTCAATACCTGACCAGAAACACGTACAGTCAGTACTTAAAGAACTACACTGCTTTTGAACTGGCTTCAAAATAGAAGGCGTGTCTCAATTGGATTATTTTTTTTCAAACGAGCAGTGTTAAATTATATGACCATTTTGGCCTGTCGTGTTATGAGATCCACGTAATATAGGAACACGTACGTTAAGACCGATATTAAATTTTTTTACCAGGGACTCCTTGCTTATCAGTCATGTTTGTTGGGGCAGGTAATCCAGTTATTAGAAAATTATTTCAATAATAACGTGTAAAGAGTCCACAGCTACAATATTACCTTCAAGCATTGTGGTGCCTTGTTCTCTTTAGTAAGTCCTGGATGCAATGGTAGCAATGGTCGTTCAGTACTACCCGGCATTATGTAGTCTGGAGGCGTGCAGTCCACACTCTCCGGGCGGGACTTTTTCTTTTCTATAAGACAATAAAGTTATTTATTTATCGTTAATTTAATCTCTTTGTAATAAAGTCGAAAATCTATTGAAGTTTACAAGTGTCTGTAGTCTGATGTAATAGTTTGTAGTATCAATAGACAATGCATTATATTTCATATGCAATTATGTTTGTTTGTAACATCGTGACACAATATTAGCTCATACATTCGTAACAGAGATCTTATATGTATATTGTACTTAGTTCTTAGTAGTGGTCGTGGTGGCCCAGAGGTTTAAGATGCCCACTTCTTATGCATGAGGGTGCGGGTTCGAAACCTACCAACGGCAAGTACCAATGTGACTTTTTTCGAGTTATATGTACTTTCTAAGATTATCTAGACACCACTGACAAACGGTGAAGGAAAACATCGTGAGGAAACCTGGACTTAAATTTCTAATTATAAGTTTGAAATCGCCAACCCGCATTGAGCAAGCGTGGTGATTAATGCTCAAACCTTCTCCAGTTTGAGGCTTTGCTCAGCAGTGGGCATTTATAGGCTGTTGATGATGACTTAGTTTTAGTTATTAAGTTTACCTAAAATGTCTCCTTGTGTGATGATGTTGAGGAAGGCTAAGGAACTGCATTCTTGACCGGCGTAAGCGTCCGTGTAGTCAATGGATTTGAGGAGATCCCGAACATGACGCACATGAATGCGAGCCTCGCGCATTGTGTATGGTTCTTCTACCACCTGTAACAACATTATATTAGACCAAATCTCATCTATTGTATGTATTTTATTGCCTAGATGGAACAATGTCTTTAAATGAGCCTTTCAGCGATGGTTGAGGCTGACGCACGTGTCAGATTTTTACTGACTAAAAACTGCTCCGTGCAATCTCCTGTTTCAGATCCCAGCAGGATCTATAATAACCTGAAGGCGCCAGTTTAATTAAGTAGGCCCAACCTATTCCTATACACCAGGTATATGTCTGAACTAAAAATCGAGCACGATCTATCCATTTGCAAACGTGTGCGCTAACCACTAAATCTATGAGGCAGTAATAAGTGAGAATCATATTTTTTTTGTATTTACAAATAGTAAAAATGTGTAACTTAATCATCACTTACTTTTATAACAGATCCTTCTTTCAGTCCTTCAATATTCTTTAGTTCTGCAAAGTTATCCAGCGTGACGCCATCTAGTTGTAAAGAGAAACACGTTCTGTGGCATGAGTCCTCGCGATCCATTAAAACTTGATGTATTTCTTGCACGAGTTCCATACTCGAAACCTATGGGAGACGGAAAGTATTGTATTAAACTGCCTTGTACCTACGATGACGGAAAAGTTAAAACACATTACGCTGGAAGCGCAATTTGCAAAAGGTGTTTTAAAGATTGTTACCTGAATGTCTAATGGCTCGGCTCCTGGACTGACAATCTTCACAGTAAAACCCATATCCTGAATAAACACAACTTCCGCATCTCTCTTTTTCTCATCTCCGTCTTCACTCGGAGATGATTCTCTGTCTCCTTCTCCATTTAAAGTTTTACTGCTCTCACCATTTACTTTGTCACCGCCTTCAACTTTATGTACAGTACCGTCATCCTTTTTCTCTTTTTTGCCATCTGCATTCTTGTCTTTTGCGGAGTCCTTTTTCTTTTCCGTGTCATTAGTTTTGTCCGCTGTCTTCGTCTTTTTCTCTTTTTTGTTCTCTGATATCTGTTTACCTTCTGGCTTAATGGGACAAACCTGTTTTATTACTTCAACTTTTTCTTCAGACTTATTCGTTTTAGTATCATCGGAGTTACTGTTAATTCCATTAGAAACTACTTTAGTATTATCACTACTACTAATATCACAATCTAATTCTTTTTTTGGGTCACCATTAACTATGGTGTCAGTTTTGTCTGTGCCGTTTAGTATTGGTTCTTTGGTACTTATTTTATCAGATTTACTATCATTACTGTTGGGTATAAGTCCTTCTCCGTTTACTTTCATTGTACAAACACCGGATTTCGGCTGTGATAACTTCTCACCATTAGCCTTTACTTTCTGTGAATCTGAAAGAATTAGAATATTAGAAAGTGAAACATCCACCATGTTAAAAGAGTTGGAGGATAGTACAGATACAAAGCAATGCCCTCAGGTTAAAAACGACACATCGAACGGGAATGATTTTTCAAGCGTAAATAGTAACCTGTACTAGGGGGGAAGGACGCGAGTGTGTTGTTGATTTGTGGCGAAGGTGGCTTGCGCGCCGCAGCCGCATACGACACACGTGGTGCCGGCACACTGCCGCCATCACCCTCGTCTTCCGCTCGCCCGTTAGGCGTACTCGCGTGCCCATTACTACAGACCACAGGCTTTACGCATACGTCCTTCTTATCATTCTTCATTTTTGCCGATTGTTTATCTTGTTTCTCAGCTACAACAAGGAAATATTGTTACCTTGGTAATCACTCAACATCTACTTGAAAGTAATCTAGTATCTATTATAATAGTTTGTTGCTATGCTAATCTTAAGTAGTAACAGATATTGCCAATCGTAAATTACTACTTCGTTGGGCATGTATGTCTGGTTATCATATTTATACTTGCAGACGCAAGTTTCAGTATACACATAGGTAGGTACTTGATATTTCTATAACTGTGGCTGCCGTGGTTCATGTGTAAAAACAGGCATCGAAACAGGTTTTTAGGCTAACAGAGCGGTTGTAAGCGCACACGGGAGAGAGACGTGCGCGCAGGGGGCGCGTTGGTTGGACTCAAACGCGCATGTCTCGTCCCGTGACGGGCACACACGTGGTCCGCGCTGGCGCATCGCCAACTATCTCCAGCGTTGAGTCAATAATAGATGGCAACGGGATGCCGCCAACAATAGACGCCATCGATGTTGTCCATACGCAAGACGAACTTACGCGCAAACTCACTGTTTAGCCGCGTATTCTTTTTATCAAACTCAAAAGTGCAGCATGCAAGCATGTAATCTAATGCTTTGCCTATACATAGGTACATAATAATATGTCTATGTTGCAATAATTAAGTACAAAGCTAAACATACTGCATACAGGTGACCAATACGAGGTGGTTGGAAATAAGATTTATGTCTAATAAATTGTTGCTTTACGACGACGACGTGGGTTTACGGCAGCGTACGCGACTTGCACATTTAATTTAACAGCATCTTTATGCGTAGGTAGGAATACTACACTATTCTCTTACGATCGCATTAAGTATAAAACTAGCTTGACCTATATTACAGCCATAATGTGACACAGTTATGCACAGTGATAACACCGACCAATTAATGTAATTAAGTAATGATAACAGACTTGAAATAAAAATGTTGAAGATTAAAATACTCGTCAAAACTGTGCTGTGTGCACTCATGTTATGTTCGTAAAATGCAATGTAATCACTTTAATCTGTGTTTTAAAGTGAAACATATTAGTTTAAGAACAGCAAACTGTTATTCATGCGAGAACGGGAACATAAAACTTATCTATCACCAAAATGATGTTATCTTTCATTCCTTCACCAAACAAGATAACAACTAGCGCCTGGGACTCAAGATAAGTAGAAATCAAAATTCATGATAAATTGCCGTTGACACCATTTCTTTCGTCCGCTATCGTTCAACATGTGCGCACTATCATCATTGGGTGATCAAGTGAAATCAAGTGTAACTCAATCATTTGAATTTTAATGCATAACATACAAGCATGCTTCTTTAATGGGAGTGAGAGAACAGCTACATTTTTTAATGTTAGGGAATTTTCGGATGTTTATGAAAATTGCCTCCTAAAAAGCTTTCATAGGTTACTCTGTACTTTTTCAAGCTTATTTCCACGTCCGAGTCAGGTCACATAAATTTTGTAAGAGCATTCGAGTCGCTACTGCGGATATTGATCGTACGACTAATAGACATGGTAGCAGCGATTGGAATTTTCTGTAGAAATGCCACATTATATCATCGATGTGGAGCACGAATGGGGTTAAGAAAATTTACTTAGTGCTAGGTATTTCTACTGTTCTACAAGAGCAGACAGTGACTTACTAGCGGATGTTATAAGATGAATGTGTTTGTATAGGAATACCTGCCCTCTTGTGAATACATATCTACAGTAACCATAGCAGTGTAACTTCGTAGCACAATTTTAGGGTCCTGGCTAAAACGGGCACTGAAACAAATGGTGCAAATATCTAACTGGCTAAATGTGAGCACATTTGAAAGTTTGACGTCAAGGCGCATAGACGGAAATGTTGATCTCAAATTCAGATAAACACCGCGTTTGTTGCCTACGGTCTGAACAGCAACTGAAGTGAATCAATCAATGAATTATTAAACAGAAACAAGCTCGTCAGCGCCCGCGACAATCACTGAATATTTAACCTTAGATCATTGATTATGTTGTGCTCTCATTCCTTGACCTTACCTTTGTATCCTTTGTACTTAGAATGCGTATTTTATCAGACGATCACTAAGCTTAAGCGCATATCTACATAAACCGCCGAAGCAAATATAAATTTTGTAAGAATTTATTTAGTACTGAACGTGAATATGGTTTTTTCGAAACGAACTCTATATGATTTTGACGTATTTGAATGATAACAACATGACATTTTGCTAGTTTTTAAATTGTTTATTTTTTCCTACTAAGCAGGTAACACGTTATCTTACACAGAGTACAAACACGACGCAGTCCGAAACCCTTCAGTATGAAAGGTGGTTGAACTTAGTTACCACGTGAATAAAACTAATAATAGAATTATGTTTTCTGTTATAAAAATGGAACAAGCGTAGCTACTTGTCCTTCTCGTGTTTTACACAAATAACTTATTTTCATCTTCAAAATTATAATAAATTCGCATTAAATGTGTTCAGCCTGAACAATATTGATGGAACACCTCTATTCAAGTTGTGGCTAAGGATCAATAAATGTATAGGGTAGACACAATATAGGTATGCTCATGAATATAAACATGTGTTGTGTCAATAAATTTCCTGACAGGATACCCCTAGTAAAAGCCCCTGCCACGTAAAATGTGAACTCGAATTTGCTCGATTTCTTTCGCTCAATTTTAGTGAGTAGGCCACTCAAGTATTTCCGTTCATACAAAATTAAATAGAACGGAACCATTTCATTTTAGTAAGCCAACAATTGAAAGTTGGACCTATTTTATTAAGTGCCCATAAACATAACTGTTGATGCTTGTAATTGTTTATTAATTACTTTTCAAGCGCTGCTGGATCTCTCCAAGTTTAGGCACATCCAAAATGACCGGAGATAATATAAGTTCGAGGTGATATTTAAACAAATACAAACGACATTCGGGTCAACAATGGTGCAACGAGGCTACGCCATTATTGAGCAACGCGTTGCTTCAAATTAGGAGCTCACGACAACGTTTACGGTGACTTACAAATTCCGTAACCGGATACGTATTATCACTAAACTAAACGGTTACTAGAGTTATTTTATTTAAATCTCATCCCTATCCACATGGAGTTATGGTTTAGTGTCGTTTATCGAGCAAATAACTTTGAACAAGAATAATTTGAGTTGGTGTGTATTTTCTGCATGAAGGGATAACCGATAAAGAACATTATTTTTAAGCATCGTAAGTGCATGAATAATGCCTTCGGTTATCTGGGCGCCTACCTATAATTTATTTATTAATTACATAAAAGACTTACAACTACGTTGCGTAATAATAGCGGCTTTGCATCATACCTATCACACCCGCTACCCGACAGCCATTCTTATCTTTCGAACAGAAATCACATCATATAAAACGTTATCAGAACCGTTTTATGTACTTTCGATGTATCAATCATAGACATGCCATACTTACTTAACTTTACATTGTAGATATTTGCAAAAAGTACACGGACTAGTAAACCTGATATCTAATGCTAGAAAACTATAGATACGTACCTAGATGCTTTTTTAACCTTCTAACCCCATTGATGACGCGCAAGAATTGTTTGATGGGCGTGCTGTTCATAAACTCATTGATTGATTTAGCTATCGTCAGATGCTTTTTTTTTTTTTTTTTAAGGGGGGAAAATCATCGAATGACTGCTCCCGCCTGGGTGAGGCGGAAGGGAGTGTCAGACTCTTACTGACTAAAAACCACCCCGTTCCTTCTCCTGCACGTCGAGCCGGAGCCCCGGTTACCCGTTAGGTTCTCCGCGACTCCGAATCGGCATCGGCCCTATTGGGCCCCATCTGTGGTGGTCTGATGGCTCTTTGAGGCGCGCGCGGAACGCGACGCGCCGTACGCTCGGGTCTGTTTCTGGTCGGACGGGGAGCCACCCATGCTCGCCGTCCGCAGGCCCGCGCTTACGGTGGCCGGAGATCGTCCCGCGATCCCCGACGCCCGGTGTGTCCTTCGCGATGGCTGGGTTGCGAGGAGGCAGCGCTTCGCTGCCTCACGCGTCCCGCCTCCTCCTTAGCCAGCATGACTGCTTCGCAAAAGGAGGAGACGGCATCCCAGTCCCCCTCGCTCCGCATCATGGCCTGAACTAGGCCCGGACGCGAGAGGTCTCCATCGCCGATCACTTCCCTGAGGGCATCGTCAGATGCTAATGTTGTGTCATGTACACTTGTAAGGGAAGACAAATTAATAATTGCCTAAAACCTGTCATGTAACAAACAACACATGATATACACACGTGTCACATACTTTCGAAACAAGTGCTCCCAGTTTTTGTCTAACAGAAAAAAAATTACATGACGACAGACGGTTCTCTAGGGGAGGTACAAATATTAAATAAAAAAAATACATTATTTATAAAGGCATCAATCGTCAACATTCCTTTGTACAGAAGAAGCTGGAATGCTGAACTGAGTTACAAATGTAACTATGTATTTCATTTGAACTATTGTTTTAGGTCGTTGAAATTATTCATATTTTAATGGTAGTCGGTGTCTGGTTCGCGTCGAACTCATTTCACACTGCAAGCTTACATGTATAGCTTGCATATGATTATGCAGATATAGATAGAGGCTTTGAAAACACTTTAGGGTCACGATTCCTTCCTATACATTCGACGTTCTTTGATAATTCTTTACAACAACCAGCTAAGTTCTATCCAAGGTTCTCTTACTCATATATTTTCGATCATAGATATATTATAATACTATGCATTTTTTTACTACGACTGCTTTGATTCATAACCAAATGTCCGCATGGTAACAATTTGACATTGAAGGCACTCGTTTTGTAGCAGTAAGGCGGTAGTTGCTGTCCATGTGTTATTCGGTACCTGTTAATAAAGGTACTCGCACGCGGTCAACCGTCCGCGGTATGAACGAGCTTGACTTATCATAAACTAGTTTTTTTAACAGGTACTTTCGTCAGAGTGCAGTTACATTTTAGAATTTACTTCGGACGCGTTTCTTGGACCTGTACGTAGGTCCATGCAGAAATGAGTCTGCTTATAATTTTATTAAGTCCTTGACGTCAGAGTACCTATCACTATGCAGACTGAGTAAAAGATTCCGCCTATTTATTTATGAGTAGTATGTACCTAAATATATCTCCGCAATGTTCTCAGTCAACATTTACGATAAACGTTATCTATGTAGATAACTTTTATATAAAAAACACTGAATAGAAAAACAGGTCAATACTTACGTCGAAAGTATAATATTCCATCATATTGGCGATATCGCGTATCATTTTAATACGTACAAACCACACCCTAATGCATTTTATAGCTAAGTGGGTAGGAATATACATACACACTATTCCTCGCATCAATTACAGCAATAGAGATCATTGTTATATAGGGCTTCCCCAATTGAATGCTGATTGATGAATAACATATTTTAGTAGGTAGGTACGTATATTTAGTGATGTATGACGTAAAAGTTGAGAAGCTTATGAAAAACCATGACATTTATAAATGTTACGGCTTTAACACTACTTTAATGTTAAAAGATGTTTATGCATAATGAGAGTTCATACAGGTTTCATAGTCAAACAAATCTTCTCAGCTTACTGTAATTAATGTCAATTAATTATAGTACGCTGAGAAGATTTGTTTACTTGGTAGAAAGAAATAAAATTGTGAAATAGCTTGGCATGAGCATATCTATACTTCTGTGTATAAAATAAAATGAAATGTAAATATTGGAGAGTGCAAGGGCATCTAGCATTGTAAACTCCTGACATTAAAACAAAAATGTGTGAAGAACTTTTAACTTAACATATCTATGAACAGGAAATAAGAAACGACATTCATGTAATGAATTCAGAATAATAATTAATCTAGAAACTTCATATTAGCTTAAGGTATTATCAATTGGATTACCTCTTTTAGTGTGCATACTAGGGAATTATTTTACTAATAAAATATGTAACTAGGTTATTCTACATTAAGATTAAAATACAGTAAAGCAATATTTAGGTACTATGTCATTTTAATTTGTTTAATAAATTGCCTATTAATTAATAACAACTTGGCAAGTTATTAATCTTACAGATACCTACACAGAATAAACAGTTTTTTTTTATAATGCATCTGTAATTCTGAAAAATTTATTTGATTGAAAATCGGTACAATATTAGTTCTGTATAGTTTATGTACGTAAAGAGACACAGGCAACAATTTATTCAGCCAGAGAATAGATATAGAACCAATGCAATAAGTAACAAACTTGCCCTTATAGCAATGAACATTCACAATATGATAACCCAGCGTCTTCACAGAACTAGGTGAGGTCAGTAACTGAAACTATAACTATAATAAATAATAATTTATTATCTATGTTATGTGCTGCTACAAAAATAAATTATCTGTTCAATGATTTAAGTTATAGTTGCTCCATTGCCAGAAATGGCTCATAGATAAAATAAAAAATAATTATTAATTTTTTTTTCTATTAGCCACCTGCTCTCCACTAACTACATTAGAGACCTTATTTCCAATGTTTAGAAACTACTTTTGTATGAACAAATTTAGGGGATGATTTTCAACAATTTTCAACGGGTTAAAATGAAAGGGTTTGTCATGCATTCAGAAGTTATTAAAAAATTGACATATTTTAATTTTGATCCTAAATATTTTTTAGTTATTAATTAAGTAATTCTGTATGTATGTCATATGATTATCTTACACACAGTTAATTAATTTATTTATTTTAAAGTATCAGTACATAATAAGATTTAGGTATTCAAGAAGACTAGATACAAATCAATTATAAAGACAAGAGTATGAAAGAAAAATAATGATAATGACTTTAAATTAATGAATAATGAAATAATTAATGGAGGTCATTATAGGTCATAAACTATGTAAGAGTAAAATGTAATTTTAAATGAATTAGTTACCTTTGTTAAGTTCAACCTAAGTATTGTTCATTTTAATTATTTAATATTTATATTGCTTTTAACTAATAATTAAACTATTCTTTTCAATTTGAATTAACTAATAACATGTCACATTGTGAATGACACTAGTATTGAATGGTATGCTAAATGTACTTTCAATACAAATCTGAAACATAAGTTTGTATGAACAGTACCTACCTATGTAACCTAATGAGAAGTTGTGTAATAATTTACATTTCAAATGATGTGCACCAAGGTCTCATGTACTCTAGTCTCTAGGGCCAAAACCAACCGCATAGATTTATTTTATAAATAATGCACACGAATAGATGAAATAACATTAGTACGCATGTCATGAAATTGCATAGCGTTTTCATAAAAAAATCAATGGATCACATGATTTATCCAATGAAGTCACATGACCAAAATGCACATATTAGGAGCAAGCAATTATTTTAACATGGAAAACGGTAGTAGTTTTAAAAATCGTTCTCAATGTTACATAACTGAGGGCATGACCATTTAATACTTACCATTGTTAGCATTGCCACTGCTTGTCTTGTCATTCACGGAATTGTTCGCTGGACATTTTTTCACTTTTTGAGAAGCATTTTTCGTGGAGTTATCATGCACATCACTACCGAGAGCCATCACAACACGAGGAATCAATCCGGTTCAGATTGACCGCAACGAACACGGCTCCACTCAGCTGAAAGAACACATGCGGTAGACTTAAGGTTCAATTTGGACTAACAAGTTTTCCAAATCCAATATAACCCGTCAAAATTTAAAGTACGCTGTGTCTTATCACATCTTCAGAAAATTTTGAGCCTACACAATGTTATAGGTTTATATAATAGACAGAGCACAGGAAAAACGTCATTTAAAAAACACAGCTAAAATACTAAGTACGTTTTCACTGCTTACTTACTTTTAGCAATGTATTTCACTAATCGTTACAAACCCGCATCCTATTGTGAACAAATCGGTATTGTCGATATAATTTTCTAGTTCTACGAATTAAGTGACATCTAGCGACAAAGAACCCACATTAATAATCAATCAATGACGTCTTGGCAAAATGACATTTTCGCAGCGTTCATAAATAGTTCTCTTTTGTAGTAATGCGTTCGATTTAAACTTCACAACTTTCTGTTCGAATATGAAATTGAACCAAAACATATAAAAGGATTTACTATCTTACTAGATTTGTCATAATTACAATAATTTATCGCGTCAATACTCTAATCAAACCATAATCAAACTGATAACTCGAGGGATCAAAAGACATTTATCTGCTTAAACTAACACCAAAGTGGTTATGGTTTTGTTGTCAAACAAAAATGTCAAACATGAAGAAAATCCAAAATGATTTGATATTGAAGTAGCAAATAACCCGAGATTTACAAGTTTTCTTCATTGACTATAGCTAGCCAGGGTTACAGAAAACATATTTAACAAGATAATAGCTTGATACGGCTATTAAGGGATAAAAAATATTTTTCTCACAAGTTTCCTATTACTTTTATACTGGCGTCAGAAAATTATTCCAAGGTAATTTTTATTGTACAAATACAATAAACAATAAATTTAATTGATATTTGATACAATTAGTAACTCCAAACCCGTAGAATATCTATTGATCAAATTCACTGCTTGTTATTTAGGTTATATTATATTTAAAAGGAAGTTTTAACGTTTACAGAAAATGCTAGACGGGTGGTACTGCCGCTCTATAGCAAATATGCAAGCCAACGAGGCTAGTGTGAGCAATAATGCGCCGCCGGAGCCCCCACAGGCGCGTGACTCACACAAAGAGTATTCTTCGGACAGTAGTAGTGATCCTGAACCTGAACCTAACTACAGGGCACAGTACATGGCACTGAAGAAGAAGCTCAAGTATCTCATTTATGTAAGTAGTTAATGAATATTTCCGATTTGCCACGACTAACCCATAGTTTGTCCAAATGCTGATCTAATCAAAACAATGGAGTTGCGAAGAACTTGACAGGTTACCGGGGCCCAGCTCAAAGTGCAGGAGTAGGAACAGGGTGGTTTTAGTCAGTAAGAGTTTAACACTTCCTCCTGCCTCACCCAGGCAGGAGAAGGCATTCAATGATTTTCTCCCCTTAAAAAAAAAATACATTTCTATAACAGCAGTAGAAACGAGGTTAAGTAAACCCAACATATTAATCAGTATTTAATAATTTTGGTACAATTCGTGAAGAATGTAACCTTTTGCTTTATTAATTTTGAGTATGTGCAAGTACAATAGATCTCCAGCTAATAGTTTCCACCATCAACAGAAGCTTAATATTTCCATAATTCTGTGAAAGTAGTGTCTATACTTGTTACCATTTCATACTTCGAAGTTTGAAATGGTGGCTTGTCCAAAGAGACTCGGACACCCTAAAATAGCATTGTAATTTCAAAATTTTAAACATATTAGTTTTGTTTTAAACACATTGGTTGAAGTATTTATATTCTATTTCAATTTGTAGTTTATCCAGCTCTCCTATGGACAAGCCACCGCTAGTATAAACATGTTATGAAATCCTCTGGTTTGCCTTCATGTAATCTATGAATAAGTTATGATTATGAATCATCATCATCATGTTATTCAGAAGATGTCCATTCCTGAACATAGGCTTCCCTTAGTGATGCCCAGATGGCTTGTTGTTATTATATAGATAAGAAATAAAGAGACAAAGACTAAGTAGAGATTGGCATTCCATAGTCTCTGCCTACCACCATGGGAGACAGGTGTGAGGCTATGTATGTATGTAATAATCCTCCATGCCAGTTTCGGCTATGGCAACCGATTCTTGACTACTGGCATCTATCATGCCAGTAGTCAAGAATCGGTTGCCATAGCCGATTTCCCAGCCACTTGAGAAGTGGCTGGGAAATCCACCTTTGTTTATTTTTCTACTGAGTGGACATGTGTTGTATATATGTATTGACTCAAGTTAATTGAGGAGACAAGTCTCAAATTATTTGTGAAACCCATTTTACGTATTATATTTGTATGTCAATTATTTACATTTTAAGACTATCAAACTCTAAAAGGTCTACAAATTTGAATAGGTCAGAATAATTGTCACTAGCTTCTGCCAGCAGCATCACTTGCTTCTGTGGGATAAAAGTAGCCTATGTATAATTCCCAACCATATTCTACTCTTGTTCCAAATTTCATCTCAATCATTCAGCCATTTTGACGTGATTGAAACAAAACACAAACAAAAACTCACTAACTTTCACATTTATAGTATTAGTAAGATTATTGCTAATATTGTTAATAACAGTTTGACCACAATCTAGACAGTCTAGAATCTAGAAATTAACTGAACCAAATCATCCACATAACTCCACAATTTAGTGAAGTTCTACAATTCCCATTTTTGTAAGAACTTGACACTCAAATCAAAGTCAAAGCATTATTTCAATTAAACCATAATTTGGTACTTTTGGAACGTCAACAATTACAAAATAAATAATAGTCCATCAGTCAGTCCGTCATTAAAGCTAGGTGAAGCTAGGTGCTCATTTCAAAATGTAGATTCAAATGGAGAAGAACGAGCAAGAAACTCCTTCGTTACTCTTTTAAAAAAAGTATGTTCTACAATATCTCTGATACATATTCCAATATGTATGTATATGTGAGAACAATGCAAAGACACACTTGACGCATTATACTAATTACAAAACTTACTAAAATAATTTTTTTTTTAAAATCTTATAGTCTAACATGGTGCTCACATATGCATACTGACAATCCATAAAAATAGTGCTTCTATACAAGAAAAAGGAAATTATTTTTTTCAATTAAGAAAGAAATGCTCGATGCCATAAGGAAACTAGATTGTCTACGTTAAAATGAAAGTATTAAATTAAAACCTAACCCCATAAAGGATTTCTGGACCTTGGACTGTCTGAATTGCAGTATAGCTAACTTATTTTCGCCTCCAGTATTAAAATTGTCTCTATAGCTTCTTTTTTCAAACAATTGCCTATTTTTCCTTACATACATTATATTTTCATATATATATATAGACTGTAGAACTTCAACACTGTAGAACAACACAGAGTTATTTTGATGGTTTTAACAATAACAATATATATTTTATCATCATACTATCCGATATTGAACTGTAAATCGCAGAAACACTAACGAAAATTTAAATATCTTGGTCTACACTGGCTCACTACATTTACCTTAAGACCATGTTAGATATCTATGATTGGCAAGTTCTAATCAATAAAAGTAAATCAAACCCAAACAGCAGGTAACCACAATAGACTGTTGAGGAATACCCTTAATTAACACACTGCTTCATCCTCATAATGATAATCAAGTCAGGCTCTTAATGATAATCAACTCCTTCCTCCCCCTAGGAGGAAAGTTCTCATTAATACAAATTTAAGCCTAAACACAAGGTAGCTGTAAATGTTAACCATTGAGGAACTCCTCTCCTACTAAGGGAACCCCCTTAGCTGTCTTCCTACTTCATCATCAGACCCCTAATGGCAATCACACTTTATCTAAGTAAGTGTAAAGTCGTATCAATAACGTCGACCCATCAAATATAAAAAACACGAACTCATTGTTGCACCTAAATCCTTGAAGAGATCTCTTGGCTGTATTTTGGTTCTATCATCAGATCGACTCTAGAACTATTTCAAATGGTACTGGTTTAAAATTCATAATGAATAAATTAACAGCACTAGTTGCCCCTCTAATTTTCAAAAGTTTCTCTCGATTTCCAACCAGCTTCGGGAGTTGGGACCAAGTCGGGAGTGTAACCGGCCTCTTCAACTAGTAGGTACATCATTTAAAATATTACATGTAGAAGTGTTGCCTTGTAATTTGTATTGTAACCTACTTGCAGAAATAAATATGATTTATTATCATTAATCAGTGAAAATAATATAAAAATAAACAATCAGGCGAACATCACAAAAAAATCACACGCTTTACCTAAACCTAGTAGGTTTACTAGGTGTAAGCGTGTGATTTTTTTCGGTTAAGTTCGGTTCCGGAACGGAACCCCGTTCGGGCACCGAGGAACACCGAACCTCAGATACGACTCGCAGTCTGCTAGGTGCAGTGCACGTTGATGGGTTCTATATTAAATTCGCATTAAGTGTAAATAACTACCTACTACATAATTATTTTTTGTTAACTTTAGTGGGTAATTAAATTAAATATTTATTAATAAAACCTAGTTCGGAGGTAGGTGAAAAACTTTAACATTTCGAAGTACGAAGGACGTATAAACAAAATACCATGATAAAGAAGCCTTCAGTAACAAAATTTACTGTGATTGTTTTGAGACGAGCGTTGAAACCGGGTCAATCATACAAAATTAGAGTTCATCCAAAGGATAAAAGGTTCGACGGCAAAGTTGTTTTGAAATATGTAAGTATCAATCAAACTTATAGTTATCGTGTTAATATTTTTGAAAAAAATATATCATTGTTTTGATTTTGCAAACGAAATTTTGCAAGCCACTCAATCCCTGTATTCGGGAGTCATACTGGTTAACACATACTTAATCAAAGAGTTATTTTTCTATGTGATTATGTCTTAAACATAGTCAGAGTAATAATCGTCTGCACTCTTACTAAGTTACAACTTAGATTAGTTGTTTACAAATCGCATAGGCTGGATTCCTATTTTTTTAATCTTGTTTTTATTAACTACATAAGCTATATCATAGGTGCATTCAGTTTATGGTTTAGATATTTTCTATCAACATCATTCCTGTAATAAGATAGTTGCTGCTGAGAAAAAGCCTCTTCTTACATTAATCACCACGCATTTAGGAAACACATAAATTACCACGCTTGCTCAAGTCCAATTGCCGATTTCAAACTTATTATTTGAAATTGTAAGTCTAGCTTTTCTCACCATGTTTACCTTCACCGTAGCTATGTGAATAGTCTAAATAAACTAAGAAAGTACATAATAATATAACTCGCATACTACTCAGAGGCCTTACGTACGAGTTTCTTTTTCGTCGGCGTCCGGCGCTCTGATTGGTTGGTTCATTGAAGCCGGCCAATCACAACGCCGAACGCATACTCGTTACGATTACTTTAAAAGTAATACAAACTCGTACTAAGGCCTCTGAAAAGGTAAAGGTATTTACCTACATGCCGGATTTTGAAACCGCACCCTTTGACAAGTTTGACGTGTAGAATAGTCCAACAATTGAGTCTTACCATTTAGACCTACGTAGCGTAAATAGGTACTCACAATCCTTTCAGTACCTACCTAGTCTTATCTCAAATGGTTTTGGCGACCTTACTTGCGATCATTTCACAAGTTCGCTGATCAATTGCCATACGCAATCCTTTCTTCCCATAGGACTAAGTATATTTCGTAAAAAAATCGTACTTATATGTTATGTATGTATTTATCACTTTACAGGAAAACGAATGCTTCCAAGATGCTCTGAGATGTAGTCAAAAGAGATTGCTGAAAGTATCAAGAGACCGCACCTTTCTGCTGGACCGTTTGTTGCAACATGAGAAGCCAGACAGCACCACATCTGAGAGTGAAGATACTGAGTCGTCAGATGACCCGGAGTATTATCGCAATGATGTCAAAAGGTACAGAAAATTAACAAAATCACTTTTATAGACATCATTTGCACTCTCCATTAATAATAATATGTACTTACTTACTATTTTTTTTTTTCAATAATTTCAGAAAGAAAATGGAAGCTAGTGCAGCCAATCAGAACGTATCTACAAGCTCATCAGTCAAAGGGGCTAGTACAATAAAAAGGAAAAGGGCAACAGTGCCTAAGAAACCTCCTAATGCTAGTCATCTTGTAAGTTCAGGTTTTTATAATATATTTCCCTTACTAGCTATTTCCACGCAGCTTCACCCACTCTGCTTGGCGCCTATTGACCGTAGCGTGGTTTTTATAACCCATACCCGTCCTCGCTAAGTGGGCTATCCAAAACTAAAACAATTTTTCAAATCGAACCAGTAGTTTCTGAGATTGGCGCGATCAAACAAACAAACTTTTCAGTTTTATAAAATAGTACTATCTTCTTCCGCACGGTTTCATCCGCTCTGCTCGGCTCCTACTGGTTGTAGCGTGTTGTGTTATAGCCTTCCTCGATAAATAGACTATCAAACACAAAAATATTTTTTCGAATCTGACCAGTAGATCCTGAGATTAGTGCGTTCCATGTATGCTTAGATCTTTAAAACTACGCAACGGATTTTGATGCGATTTTTTAATAGATAGTTTGATTCTTAAGGAATGTTTATATGTATAATACATGCATATTGCACCCGTGCGAAGCCGGGGCGGGTCGCTTGTAATAGTATAAAATTAGATTTTCTGTAATAATATGATTTATCACTTATCAAAAGTGAGCAAGCCATTAGTCTAGCATTAATTTGATTTATATAAATTTCTTTCAGCATCAGTCTACAGGTTCTATGCTGTCTAAAGTTTCTCCGGCTTTGGGTTTCGGCCTTTCGGCTGGTGATGGTCACATGACTCCCGAAGAAGTGGAGCGACACTTACAATCTCGGCAGACGTACATGGAACTGTTACCAGAGCGGGCTCCACCCACGGTTCCAACAGAAATGTTCAGTAACGACCCTTCACTTGACAGGTAATTTATTATTACATAGCATTGTTCTATTCTTAGCGCTGTATCTACCTACATCTTCAAAATAGCTGGGAATAGGAGTGGTGGTTTTTGCTAAATGTTTGCAAGTAGCAGTCAAGAATATTTAATGTAAAACGTACTACTTCATGTATGTACTTAACTAATATTTAACATTCATACACCAAGCAATAATTAGGTATCCATGTTGTAAGTTTCATAATTTTGCATCTGCTAAGGATTAATTTTTTATTGTTTGTTTCAGTGAATCGAACGACGTTTTAGAGAATTCGCCGAATGTCGAGGAATGGTTCGATTGATACAAAAGTTTATGTAATTTTAAGTATTAAGTAGTTACATAAGTCCAGACATGATTATTTTTGACATTCAAAACTTTGAAATGTTTTCTAATTAATAAATAAAAATGCACAAATACGTATTGGATAAATATTTATTTAAGAGTTACAATAATGGGTTCGAAGCGCAAGAACAAACATCTATAATAACATCTGTTACAGAATCACACCCACTTTGTGATATATTACATTTGATAAACACACATATATACGAAGTGTACATGTATCAAATAAGCTTATACATTCTTTAAATTTCATAATATACATACAATGTTACGAGTACCACATTCTTAACAAGATTAATAAAAACGTTTATAATGATATATTAATTTATTATTAATGTTCTCTTAACAAACCTACCATGCAAAGAAATCTTAGCATGCTCACTACTAATAAATTTATAACAACATTTTATGTCCATAATACTAGTTCCTATCTCTAATCTCTATTTGTGGTACATAATATGAAAATAAAATCTTCTAGGTTTGTGAGATTCCTACTATCGACTTGAAAACATGTATACTCAAGAAACACACCAACACATTTAATTAAATCTCTAACAAACAAATACATTTAAGATGTCATGAGTATGAAGCTGATATACTAAATGTTTCATATTGTAACATTTGTTTTCACATGACGATGTTGATAGTTGGTACCATAAAATGACTGGGAGAATTATAAAATATATGCAGTCATGGAAAAATAACGACTCGTAAAATACTCGCAATTAAAAAATAATATAACGTAGACCTATGTTATAGGAATGTTTGTGAAGTACATTTTAATATTTTAATTAAAATGTTCAAGAAGCACCGGTGTCAACATGACAACATTCATTGCAAATTTTCAAAATGCTAAAAGATGTTAAAATATCAGCTAGTGGATAAATAAATATTTGTCTTACCATCCAAGGTATTCTTTTGTACAAAAATGTAGACATGTAGTAACATACTGACATCAGGTAGATTTATTTATACTTTTTATGAATATAAAAAATACTAGAATCAAATATTACTTTGATATAGAGGAATACAAGAGATTTTTGAACCAAAGTTAATACTGTATATCAGCTTCCACTGGGTATGGGATTAATTATTGCCATTTATATATTTTACTACAAGTTAACAGGAACATCATAATAATAAATAAAGGGGGCCTATTTTACAACAGCGATGAATATACAGGTAAAATAACGACGTAATAGTTTGATACGAGTTACATTACATAATTTTACATAGATAGAAATATTATACTCATCAGTACTGAGTTTTTGCTTTTTATTTAAATAAATCTAAACAAGTGTGTTAATAATGTTAGCAAAGCTACTGTTGAGTATAATACAAAATGAACCAACAGAAATTTAGATACATGATTAACAACAGCCGAATAGTTACTTTGGTATGAATTTAGGTATAATTTTCTACAATATATCATAAATACTTTTGAATATATCTAGAAATATGCGAGACAACAGTATAATCTGTGACACTAAATAGCTACCTATTCATCGCCCGAACAAGACAAACTATCAACCATGAAGTCATTATGAATGAGAACCTCATTTATCCTCTATATATACAAATCAAGCAGTACTGATACAGATGTACCACACATTATCACATGAACATAATGAATAACTGGTTTTAAGCATGGTGCATACTACTGATCATGGTAAATGTTTACAGATGATAAACCATACATATTATTTTTATTATACTACTACTAATATCAAATTAGGTTTCATAGATGGAAGTGTACTGATTTACAAGACGCAAATCAGGCAAATTCTTAGCATACAATTATTATTGAATTTTATTATTGTAAATCTTGAAAGTAAGTATTCTTTGTCTTTTTGAACATCTTATCAAATCTTATAAATTGCAGTTTAAATTTTAACTAAAATAAATCTTGGTTTACAAAAACACCTAACTCTATATTAGCAATAAAATAAATCCAAAATTGTACACAAGAGATTTCATTTGATTATAGGTTCAGTGCAAAGTTCACAAGTGTTTTGCTTCATATACCTTCCAAATTGTACGCATTACTTTATCAACTCTACATGTAAAGTGACTGTGAACTTCTAGGTGACTATAACACCAACTTCATTGTCTAACAATGTTGTTCATAATTCATGGTTTCTTTAAACTAAATTCAGAATTGATCTGCTAACAGATTGCAAATTTCATGTGAGACTGTTTCCTTGCTAGATCTTACAGTCAGTCTAAACATTTGAGCTTGTTTGTTTGGTTCCAATCGCATGAGACAACCTACCTGCTGTACTCTAGTATGAACAATTCCTGCACACACAAAATTGTCAGGGTTAGGATCAATACCATCCAGCAGCTGCATACCAAACCCAGCTAATTTGGTGCGAGTTGCAGGTATGTCAATAGAACCTTGAGCCTTAAAAATCTTTTGTGCCCTTTGCTGTTCTCCTCCCAAATTTTTCCATCTTGCAAAAAATGATTCTCCATTCATTTCAGTGGGTTCAAAGAACTTGTTCAATGTAAGTGGTAATTTCATAGTAATCTTTTGTGGTACATTATTGTACACAAATGAAACAGACATACTTGGAGCATCAACAAAATCTTCAATACACTCAGCTGTCAGCATTTGTTGTATCTGAGCACCTGCTTCCAGTACAGGTTCCATAGGCTTCATTTGCACATTCAATTTATGCAAATCAGTCCAGTGTAGTTCAGGGCGAACAGTTTGGATGGGGAACTGAGTTTTGTTTCCATAGAATAGACCGATCCTTCCTAAATTCTGTCTGAATTCGCTTTTTACTCCAATCTGAATAAGGTCATTTTCAAAGAGAACACCATTATTTTTGAACAAAAATTTCTTGATATTGTTTTGTTGAACTGTACTTGGACTGATTTTTGGAGCAGTATAGAGATCTCCAAGTACATCAAGCAAACCATTACCAGTTGCTGGTGCAGTAGTTCCAGGAGGAGTGGACAGTCCAAGCAAATCAGCACTAGAGCTATTTGTATTATTGGTAGAGTTAATCACAGCAGTAGGTGCTGCTGTGGGTTGAGGACTCTTTGACTCCCTCACATCATCTGGAATACGGCCAGGCTTCTTCTTCTTTAGAACAGCCAAGATTGAAGATTCTCTTTCTGGGAATGCAGGCATTTCTTCCAATACTGTAGCTAAAACATCAGAACTTGCGACAATGCTTAATTGTAGATATTCAGAGGCTCTTTGTTGTAATTCAACATCAGATGATCGTAAGTTGGAGTCAGCACGAAATACTTCTTGGACACGATTTTTTATTTCAGGGAAGAGATTCACAAGTTTGATGTAGGTAGATAACAAAAGGGCTCTTGTGGCAGCTGAACACAGATGGTATTTAGAATGAAGTAGCTCAAACTGAACCTGAGGTGAGGATCGTGTATCTCCAGCTATCAAGTTTCCAAATTCCCCAAGAATGTAGCCACCCACTTTCACCATATTTTCATGACATGTTGGTGCTTGTAATGCCTCAAACACAGTTTTAGCAGCATAACCTTGGACTTCTTCTCTGTTGATTACAATCTGTATGACTCTGTACCAAACTTCTTCTGATACATAATCTCCAGCAATTCTTATAAGATTAAGAATCACATCCACATACCATGTGAAATCTGTAGCATATTTTTCAGCCAAAATAGCTACCTTTAGAACCATTTCCTCCCTTATAGAATAGTCAGCTGTTTCCAAGTAAGCTAACATCTCTTGAACAATTTCCTCAGCATTAGTTTTATCACACATGGCATACAACAAGTCTACAGCCTGTTGTCGGACTGATACATCTTTTTCCATCTTCATGGATAAAATGACAACTTCCTGATGTTTCTTGACAGCTTCATGGGAAAATTCTGATGTAGCTAGATGGCACATGGACTCCAGGGCAAGGTATCTTAAATTTGTCTCACGGTTACTAAGGAATTGGCCAAGCTGGTTACATGCCCGCACAAGTAAATTAGGTTCACTGTCATTATGTATAATAAGACTGATGGCCTCAAATAAGACTGCATTCTTAGCATTAGAATGTTGCACTTTTTTAGATTTTGGTGGTTCTTGAGCCTTATTGAAAATAGTTTCCAAACATTCCGATAGACGGCCCCTTACACCAGGCTCTTCCGATGGTGGAGTGTAGTTTTGCAGCAAACGTAGCAGTTTTACAGAAAGCCAGGGGGCGGGCACAAAATAATATGTGTAATCTTGCAAATCTGTGTAACTAGCAGTTACAATCCTACTCAGCCTAGCAACAGCCAGTGTTACGCAACCCTTATACTCTTCAGGATTCTTTTTAACAAGAGCATCAATAAGAGATGTTGCTGCTGTTACAACTCCCATGTGTGGATCATTTAACAGATGTATGATTCGAGAAGTCCACTCACCTCCTGGAATTATTTCAGGTGACTTCCTGAAGAGTCTCAATAGGCATAGAGCAGCAGATTGCTTCACCACATCCATAGTATCTCCTGAGACCAAAAGCTTGGGGATTTCGGTTCCAAATGCTTCAGCCATATCTTTGCTGCCAATGTTGGCAATGCATTGCAGAGCCAAGTTGACATGTATCGGATTACGTGATTGCAGATCATTTTTAATGCTCTGGATGATAAGCTTAATTAGATCACTGTTGGTATTAACCAACACAGATATGAACAAATACCCGATTTGTTTTTCAGAATACTTATTGGATGAAAGTAAGTTGACTGCTTCCATATGACCGAAGTCGATATCGTGACCCAGCAAAAAGATAAATAAGAGTTTACACACGTATTTCTTTTTTTGATATCCATCAAGAGTTTTGTCACCTTTGAACTTACTTCTTATGTTGGCCAGCTCTTTATTGATCCTCTTAATTTCCGCTTCTTTGCTTTTACAATTTCGTATGTCTGATATGAAGACTGCGAGCCCTCGCATTCCATCTCCCCTGACGGCAGGCATATTGCCAAGTGACTTATCGAACACCAGTTTTATGCCTTTTCTTTACACTTTCAAACGAAATAAAGTCTCCAAAATACTACCACTAACGTATAAGATGGAAAAATTGTAAATCGGCGTTGAATTACAACTAATCAATTAGCGGCCGTCATTACATTAATCGGAAAAGATGAGTTTCTTCTGATGGTTCTACAACGCCTTCCTTTTCCATAGATCCGTTTTTGAAACGTCAGACTGAGCTTATTGTTTATGGATCAATATTGTACGCCAATCAAGGGCTTCTTAAACTTTTATGATCCTTATCCCCGTTACATAAAGTACAAATTCGGAAAGACTTCATTTTGACAGCTGAAATAAAGCCAGTGGAGCATTCAATAATTTTCGTTCGAAAATAGATATAATGAAGAATGAAAGAAAGAATGATTTTCGTATGTTTAAAAACAAATCTTATTAGAAAAGATGGTAGTACTAATCATAAAGTAACTGTGTATAAAATGTAGTGATTAAGTAAATATATAATATCCAATTTCTTTACTCCACTGACAACTCTTGTACTTCACTAGTCTCAGTGTCTATTATAAAAGTACTTAGTCTATGGCCGAATGTCGAATTTGTCCAATGTTCGTCTTTCCATCAGTCACGAGACAAATGTAATAAAAATCGAAAATACATCTAAAGACCTACGAAACTTCATTTTAAATTCGTATTGTAGCTAAATATGACTTCTATGTGTTATTGTTCTGCAAAAATGTCTTCGTTAGTTTCATCTGATCTCTTGTGAAAGGCTGGTGTCAAAGTACGATTCAACTAATGAATGATGCAGTCTATTTTCTGGACAGGGAGACTGCTATCACGTGCTTTAAGAAATGGACTATCAAATTTCTCGAGTGCTGCTGAATTAAATGTTTCGACGACAAAACACCCATATTTAGTTTCAGTAGTGTGTGGTTTTCCAAAAGACATTGCTAATGGAAGAACTCGCAAAGGACAATTCGGTGACGACGCATGGTTCTCCACCAATTCCAGCAACGCGGATGTTATTGGTAAGAATATTGTTAACAATTATAGTTTGTTTTTGTCACTTTATTATCATTTCATATTATTGCCTGTTTTCGTTTTATCATGGTTCCTTGATCTAACATGTTAGCTTATTACGCTGTAATTTTATTTGAAGTATCGCGAAATTATCTTTTTTGTGTCTTTGCTTTTCATCCGCATTTGATACTAATAGTAATTACTAGACATTAAAAATAATAGTGAAAAATGTTCAGGGAAAAACACTTTGTTTAAAGGTAACAAAGCACAATAAACAGGTTTTTGCCACTTATTTCCAATTAGTGTGAAACTTATTGTAAATCATGTTAATGATCATCCACTCAAGAAATATGAAGCGCTTGAGAATATTTTGTTATTTATTGCTAATAAACATAAGATAATCATTAAACTAATTATTTTAATGGCATGAGGTTAGCTGCACTTGATTATGAAGAATCATTTTATTTATACTTTGCTAAATGGCAATAACTCAATAACAATCATAAATTATTAATCTATCATTATAATTATAAAACTGTTTTAAGTAATCTAAATGATATTGTGATTACAAAATTTAGATTAGAAATGCATGAATGTAAAGTTTTGTTATTATATTTTAATCCATACTATCAATCAAAATTGTTCAACACATGATCCATATCTGATCTTACGAGTTTCATATACTATAATTATATGATCAAACAATGTATAATAAAAAAACATGAATTTGCTATTGTTTCATAGTTATAATATTACAGATGTGATCCTTTGCAACAGATTTAAGTATAAGTGCAACATAAGACCTGGCCTCTCCTCTATTTAGTATATAAGAACTGAACAATATACATTAGACAATAATCTAAATAACAATTAGATATAACAAAGTTTGTTGATTATAAAACATCTTGAAAAATAAACACAATTGCTTCATAGCCCATTGTGTGAAAATGATTATAAACAAATGATTGTAATAATATCTATTCAAAAAGTCTCCACTGAAACCAGTTGGCTGGCTATAGGTAGTATGTTACTTTAAATGCTTTGCATGTGACAGGGCTGTCAACCTTCATGTTTTGACTTTAAGCACAGTCAGTGCACTTGATAAATATGCTGAGAACATTATACCTAAAAGGAAAATGTTTTATTTATTAAACCTGTTTAGCAAACTTCTTTTTATGGAATTATCCCTAAGGTAATCTTTAGAAGTAAAACAATTACAGGAAAACTGTAAATTATTCAAATCATTTCTATTTTCAATACCAGCTTTTTCATTGATTTATAATGTTGTTAATCAATTTTACTCATTGATAACTCACATTTTAGATTTAGTTTTACAAACAATTTTGCAGTACTTGCAAAATCACATTGATGAAATCAATATATATATCCATCGCTTTTTCTTTTATATAATCTCTTACTTTTATTTTATTAATTGTATGTTATTTAATAGCATGTTATCAAAGATTTTATACCTGTTTTATCGCTTTTATCATCTTTAATCATTAATGGTCCTAAACTTAATTTAACAGCACATTTGTGGTGTCATCTTCATTTCATTTGAATCTCATCAGCACTTTGTTATGGTGACAACAATATAAAATTTCTTTAATTTTTATTTGATTATTGTTTAAACAAAAGAACATCTCATGATTTATTCATTGAAATAACAGTTAAAATACAACCAATAGCCAGTAAGGTGTTTAAACTTGTTAATTTTATACACATTAAAAAGTCTTAGTAAGGAATTTAATTGGAACATTAAACCTCTTTCTTAGGTGTGGCAGATGGTGTAGGAGGATGGCGTGCTTACGGGATCGACCCCGGAGAGTTCTCATCGTACTTGATGCGGACATGCGAGAGGCTCGTCCAAATGGGACACTTCAAGATGACAGAACCAGGAGATCTGCTGGCGAAGTCCTATTATGAATTATTGGAACATAAGAAACCAATATTAGGTAGGTCTAATCTTCATTCCTTCGAATTGACTTTCAGTATTACCTGGAAATAATTCAGAAATATGTCATTCAATTATCCTAATAGATTTTCAATCTTATAATGTTGTGATAAAGTTGAAAATCCATTACTGTATCTGACTGTGTCTGAAATCTTATCTGAAAATCGGAAAAATAAGATTTCTATTTAAATAACAAAGTGTTACAAACCAACATCACAAACAGTTTGTTTAAAAAATTTGTCTCTTTTGAACATGCATATAGCTGAGAATATATTCACCTTGACCAATTTAGATACAGATAGACTGTGTTAAATTTAATGATTAAGATATATTCATGGCTGCATGTTTTGTTTATGTCACACTCAATTGAACAATACAAAGTCCTCTTTTATTTTCCTCTGCAAAACATGTGATCTCTTGCACCAGTCAACTAAATAAATTATTGATAACTCTATGGTTGGTATAGACATTATTAATATTTTCTTTGTAATGCGATATGACTTCCTGTGTCGTTCTGTTTGCATGTTCATTTAAAAACTTTAGGTTATAAATTATAATAAATTTTCTCCTCTTATTCTATGACAAGGTTCCTATTATATTATAGAACAAAATATAGTATTAGCTTCTGCCCGCGAATCCGTACGCGCAATCCCGTTTTCTCCCGTTCCCATAGGATTTTCAGGACTTTTTTTTTAATCATCACCTTCTCTTAATAATAACAAATACAACAAAAATAGAATTAGTGAAATCGGTACAGCCATTCAAGCGTGAGGCCGTGACCAAGGGAAAAATAGATGTATATAGATATAGATTGGAATGATTATTATTTATTTTTGACAATAGCTAATAAAAATGTTTTGTGAGCTGTATAAATGATCAGACTTCGACATATTGAAATTCTAAGGAGGAAACAAACAAATTACATATTAAATGAATTCTCTAATGTTGCCGTCCTTGCGGGTTTTAACGACCATGACAGAAGTATTCAAATGATAGTGAAACAAAAAATATTATAACTAATCATAATATGCCTACATTTATATAAATGTAGGAATATTCCTAAAGGCGAAGGAAAAATTATTTTTGTTAGTTCAAACCCCATGAAATGGAAGGTGTCCATCGGCATACACTGGACACTATTTTAAATTGCGTGTTAATAGACTTTCGAAAACTTAAAAACTCAAGATTACTCAGATTTTCTTAGTTACTCAGATTTTCGAACTTGACTATTCTAGAAATCAAATTCGAAATCCCCTGGATTAGTCGCGTTTGCAATTGACCCTATAGAGGTGCTTTAATGCGTGGGATAATAAATTATCGCATTGTTTGTTACAGGAAGCAGCACAGCATGTGTAATGATCCTAGATCGGTCAGAGAGCGTGATGCGGGCAGCAAATATCGGCGACAGCGGGTACATGGTTGTCCGCGGAGGTCGTGTGGTGCATCGCTCACATGAACAGCAACACTACTTCAACACGCCCTACCAACTCAGCCTACCGCCGCCCGGACACGACCGGAATGTGCTAAGCGATAGGTAAATAACTAAAGACAACAACAAATATATTTCTACATAGCTACTCGTATTTGCGTTTTGAGAAATCATCCTCAAATTAGACAGGTTGACACCAATAGGTAATAATAAATAAATAAATAATAAATCTGTCTTTGGTGTCCTTAAGATACAATGTCTGTGATGCAGTGAGAGACTGTTTATATTTGCGTTGGTTTGGTGAAAAAAGGGTGAAATCTTATCATTACTTTGTAAAATGAACAACTATATACGTAAATATATCTGCCATATTTATACAGGTAAAAACACAGTAGGTCAAACAAAATCAAGATTATTTTAAAATGACATTGACTACTGACTGTCGTGGGATTGTTATTTGTGTATTTATCTCGCGTCTACACTTCTATGATAAAAGAAGTATAGTGCGTCATAATTTCTTGATGATAAAATCTGAATTAATGCGAAAGGTTACTTCAATACTGATAGTAGTATAAATACAACTGAAGACTCAATCTGTACTATGGGTAATAGGATTATGATTCAAACCATCTACATTTTGAATTAACATTAAACTGATTTAGTCATATTTTAACCATAGTAATGTCTAGCATTCCACAATAGTGTACTTAAACCAATAAAGTCGTGCACTGCGTACTGTTGACAGTTTCAAAACTTTCAATTTGGTCAGGTGCCAAAACATTTTACAAAGTATAATGCGCTATGCGTTATGTCGTTATATTTTGAAAAGTACTGTAGTTTTATACATACGGTTGTATACTTCCGCCCACTATTACAATTTACGCGGACCATTTTGACAGTCTGAATGGGCCAAATAACCGCACTGAAGCAGTGTAAACTAGAGACCAGCTAACTGCCTTCATGCGGTTTTAATAATATGGCTGGCTACATGAGGCAGCCTACTTGTATTTTCTGCCCCATGACTTTAATCCGTATTAAAACGGAACAAAAGGTGTTTATCTCTTAAACAAATTAGTTCGACTATAATTAATTCCATATGGCTTGCAGACAATGTTTTGTAATGCAAAAATATGTAATTGAGAACGAGTCCACATAGGTACATCGATCAGCAGTCAATTATAGGATTGTCCTTTAAATCGTTACTATTTTTAGCATCTTAATGAAACTGCATCGTTGCAGTACAATTAACTAATTAAACTTTATTTACCAACATTGGCTATGATAGATAAATTTTATTCAGACTCATTATAAATGCAATGCATATAAAATTATCAGACAAAGTTAAAAAGTGCACATTAATGAACTATTTTGACCTTGTACAATCGCATTTGCGGGTCAAAGGTCTGTAATATATGACATCCCGTTAAAATTCTTCTTAATTAGTTGACTAAAATGAGGTTTTCCTTATCTCGTTTCGAGCAGTGAGGAAACGTGAAACACTAACACGTTATTTTATCCACTTGTATCTAGATTTGGTCACTACAGTCATAAGACTCATTATTCTCCAACCACGAGACTAGTAGTCATGTGCTCATTCCACATACAGCTGTTATATTTCTGTATGCACTAATATTAGAATTTTTAGCTCATTGGATATTTGCCAGGTCTTTAAACTTGCGCGTTCTCTTGAAATTTATGGAATTGTGTTTACTTGTTTGTTATTGGCACGGCTTACGAAAAGAATTTCATTTATTCTTTAAATCCTCTGTTCTGAGTAATAATCACGAATCAAGCAAGGTAATTTTAAATGACTACGCAATGTATGCCATTCTTATACATATGAGGTCGTTGACACTTACTTAATTACATCATTGACATAAAATAAATGAGATATTGTTGTCATAACTTGTTCACCTTAAATGTATAGATATAACCGTGCGTAATGTACTCAGGCATCCTAGAATTGAGCGGTTACGTCTTGGCGCCCTAATTACGTCCCGCTATTATGTAGATAAGTGGACGAGAATAAAGTCCAATATTTTTTTACTCTCATGAAGTGGTCTGTCGCTCTTCACATGTATTGCGTCATTTCAGAAACATTATGTTGTTATTTAAATGAGAACTGAGTGGTTTACATTATCTGTGCTTATGTACAATCTTCATATGTAAAGTGGTCGTGAGCATGATTGTTCAGCTAGTGTTCCTGTCTAGTCGAGTATGTAATCTATGTGAAATATTCTCACTAAAAAAAAAACAACTGAAAACCCTTTTATCACTGCATAATAGGAAAACAAATGACCAAAACTTAAAATAAAGAATCACCGGCCTGTTATGGACTATTTCCATTCAAGAAGACAATAATGTTCTTGTTTATAGGTTAGTACCTAGTAGGTAGCCCATAGGTAGGTAATGTAAAACGATAATAAAAACCTACCTAATTATTATTATAGGTAATGAACCTGTCACTTGTAATAATAAAGAGTTGTTACGGACAGGGTGGCAACATAAAACAGTTTTCACATTCATATTCATTATCACAACATTCGAAGCATGTTGTTTACATAGTGATCTCGATTAAAACTGGCGTGGATCAATCATACCACTTTTACTCTTATTTATAAAAGGGTTATATCGGTTAATGGTGTCGGTCGGTCATCGTGTAGTCACACACATGCATGCCTGAATGTCATGCCATTCATGCCGTGTCAGACACCCTTGCAATCAACCAAACTGCAAGGTGCAGTCTTTTATTATAGTACAATAGTAGGTACCTATACCTATTAGTACTACAAACATATTCCGAAATCCAAGACATTAATTAATAAAAAAAACTACTATCAAATGATTAAGGTTTAAGCTCGATAATACTGACTAATCAATCATTGTATATTTATATCATAACTTCAGTAAGAAGGCTTAACTTATTTTAAAACTTCCGCCGCTGGTTTTACTAAGGCCCGTATTAATAAATAAGTCTCAATCACGATATCAAGACCGGCATCAGGTGATACGTTCTCAAGATGCGATCAGCATCTTAATGTCGACGCTAATTAATAAACCTATATCCACACGATCTCAGGTGATACCGCGGTTTGGATCGGGTTATCAAGATTCGTAATTTGACACTCAATGAAATCCTGATGTTAAGACTTGTTACGTCACAGCGAACGAACTATTACATCTTTCGTTCATTCCGTTTAGTAATAGCTTTGTAGAACGACAATATTTAACTCTGTATGCATAGGAATAAAAGTTTTTTTCCAGTTTAAATTGATTTAAGTTTTAGGAAACTATATTACTTTTTTATATTGTATACATTATGATTTGTTTGACCATAAAAAACACTATTTGTTATAAAGTTACGTTTAATTTTGTGACAAAAGCACATACCTACCAGGGATTGCGCGTCACCTCAATATTATATCTGTCTCTTTCTCTCAATTGTTTATTAGGTACTTGATAATACAATCATACATATCAGTCTTTCGTGTTTATTTACAAGTTACTTATTAATCGACTGCCTCGTTGGCCGAGTGGTCGCAAGTGCGACTGCCGGGCAAGGGGTCTCGGGTTCGATTCCCGGGTCGGGCAAAGTACTGCTGGGGTTTTTAAATATTATCAGTAGTAGCACGGAGTCTGGATTGTGCCCAGTATATGGCAATAGGCTCACCCCCTATTACATGGGACTCATAACATAAATAGTGAAATGTGGGTGTTACATTGTACTTACAGTGGCATAATGTGCACCTCTGCTTACCCCTTCGGGGATAAAAGGCGTGATGTTATGTTACTTATTAATATTTTAGTATAGGTTTTATGGAGTAATGCTAGCAGTCGTGATACTTTTCTAACGACGTTTGATACTTTAGGCTGAGATAAATAAATGAGATCCCCGCGCACAAATTGAAAGTTTTTGTGATTATTATTTGTAAATCGTTTAACATACATAACAAATTTAACTTTTCTATGTATACAATTCAATTGATCAAAATAATTTACCTGAAAGAATGCTGTAGCGTAAAACCTCAAAGTAAGCAAGACTGCAATTTTTGGTGCAACTGGCAGCCCTCTGTTATCACTTTTTACCAAATTATTACTTATCAACGATACGATATCAACAGCACTGATTCTTGATTAAATCGAAACCGTTTTGCGTAGGTAATTCGAAGGGATTTGTCGCGTCCCTTATATAAACTTTAGGTAGGTACTTAATAGATTTTGAAAAGGCCATAAAATATCATCGTATTAGTCGACTTCATCTTCATAATTGATTTCGGAAATAATATTCTCAATATTCATGGTTCCCGCGAAATACTTAGGTACGAGTTCACGATATTAAGTCCAGGGTCGACTGAACTTAACAATCGTGGTCTTGATAACCGTCCTAATACCGATCTTGAAACCCGAGTAATGTTTATTAAACAATACGATCTCAGGTGATGACAAGGTCTTAAACCGCGTATTAGGTTTTGTTTATTAATATGTCGGAATATCAAACAGGATCTTAACATGTCACTCTTACGCTGATATCGGTTTATTAATACGGGCCTAAAAAGCAAACAATTTACCAGATCCATCTTCAAGTGTATATTTTTTATTATCAGGCCAGAATCAGCGGAGACGTCAGAGTTCACAGTGGAATGTGGGGACGTGATCTTGGTGGCGACAGACGGCGTGTTTGACAACGTTCCCGAGCCAGTATTGGTGGCTGAGATGAGACGCGCACAAAGCCTCGCCGGGGAAACGAAGAAGCTGCAGGCTGTTGCCAACTCCATCGCGTGGATGGCGCGCAACCTCTCCTTTGATGGCTGCTACATGTCGCCTTTCGCTAAAAGCGCGCGACAGAACGGCATTGATGCTATTGGTAAGATTTTTTACAATGCTAATACATTTGAAAAATTATATTTAATTTGATTAAGAAATAATGAACCAAATCACGTGAAACAGTCGCGTCTTACGTAGCTTCGCGTTGTATTAATTTTGGCTCTAAAATTGGAAAGAATAGTACAGCTAAAATAAAGCTTAATTGCTTCTCTTCGTTTATTTAAACAATAGAATGATAGGTCATAACAATGGAATTAATTTCAATGCCATCACCTAAATGTGTGTTAATGTGACTAACTCTAGTGTTTGTTTACAGGGGGAAAACCGGACGACATAACGGTGCTACTTGCTATCGTAGCGCTATGAAAATGTCCATATGTGATTTATGTAGCTAGATTCTAGGTACATTTTTTTGTTGAAGATTACTACAAAATTTAGTTAAATACTAGTGATAAACAACGAAGCCAAAAATGAAGTTTGGACCCTTTTTTTGTAACTGATCTGTAATTATTTTTGGATGCTTTTGGTTATAAGTGAAGGAGGTGCCCATTTCATTTGATTCAATGCGATTTATCAAGAAACGGATATGTATGTTTCTAATCTGTTTTATATGTATATTTGTCCTTTAATTGTTACATTGTGCATAGAAATGTGTAAATAATTTTGTACTATATCTTCGGTTTTGTAATAATAGATGTGTCTGTATGATCTCAAAAGTTGTTTGTATGTTTTATAGTGATGTACAGGACCAGTCCATGTAGTTGTCAATAGGTCACCTCCTAAACTTGATATGGTCTACCTATGTTAGATTTCAAATAGAATTGTTTATTCAGAGATATCACGCTGTGACGTCACGATCTGACTGTTGTGCTTCTAAATTATTGTGATTTAGATAGATGAAGCTGCTTGATGTCGTTGTAGTGCTGAAAACGTAAGTGCAGTTTACTTGCTGTAAGATTGAATGAATTTTGAGTGTGTAATTGGGTCAGCGAAAGTTATCCGTGACCGACATTACCAATCTTTGAAACAACAGACCCACTTTCTGCTATCTATTGTGTTATGATTACACACAAACTTAACAATTTGATAGAGTATCTACATACTATACCGACTTTTTGATCGTTCTTGTTCTTATAAGCGACATACTGTGTGTGTGGTCGATAGTAAAGAAGTCAATTAAAATGTAACGTTGCGAGCGAAAAATACTTAGCGTAAATATTTCTTCAGTACTCGCAAAAAAATTGAGTTATGTTAATGTTGTCGTAGTAATTGATAATGTACGCAGGTCTATAATGACATGCCGATTATAAGAACACTGAAAAGTCAGAGTGTGCAGGTCAATGCATTGTATAATGATAACATTGTGATTTTATATTACCTTTAAATGAGTATGTGAGAACAAATCGTATTTAACATGAAAGAAATATCATGCCGCCTTTTATATTTTGATTTTGTTGGCCCAATTGTATAAAATAGTGTTGTAATTGTGTGATTTCAAAGTTGATGAGTATGTCCTTTTAAATAATTGATTTTACATCAACTCTGTGTCTTGGAATTGAGTGTGTGTTTGAAGGAAGACTGAATACAACTAGATATACTGTTCTTGTTGTTACTAGTAGTTTTATTAATGTTACGAAACTTTATTTGAATGAAGCGATCACAACTAACGGTTCTATGTCTAAGACACTTTATGTTCTTTTTATACATTTTTATGTAAATTATATGTGTTATGATTTGTATGTGCAATTATTTTTCAAACAGTTATTAGGACCATTGTCGCAGCTTACACTTTGATGTGAATACTAAATAAATCATAGCTGTTCTATACAGCGGCAATCGTTATCATATTAACATTAATATATAAATTGCATTTGACTATTATTTAATGTAATATATTACTTGGCGGGTAAAACGAAACTGACCAATATAAAAATCTAAAAATAATCGGCTTTTGTCAACAAGTCGCAATCATTGCGAACAAAGTTGGCATTTCATAGACGTGACATAGTTCATTGTATTGATGTCATCGCCATTGTAAGTTTCGTTTTAGTCGCGACCTCCATGTTCAAGCATTGTCGAAACTAATCTAGATATCTTTGAGGTACTAAATTGTTGTGCCGGATTAGCCGTGGCGCACAATTTGTAGATGCAAATCAGTAGTGAAACAGTATCTAAAAGTTAGCGCATATTAAAAGTATGTCGAATGTATTTATTGGCTGTAAGTAAGTAGTCACTGATCAAACGCTTATCATTACTTATTTGCTCGGACTTATCAACTAATTGTGTTATTAAAATTCACCATGATATTGCGTGAACATAGAATAAACAATTCTGATTACGATCTATTCTTTATTTTTATCTAATGTCCTATCAGAACCTTACCCTCCGGCTCCAGCTCGACGTGCAGGAGAAGGAACGGGGTGGTTTTTAGTCAGTAAGAGTCTGACACTCCCTTCCGCCTCACCCAGGCGGGAGCAGTCATTCGATGATTTTCCCCCCTTAAAAAAAAACCCTTACATTCTTGTGATCTTAGATTAATAATTCTTTTATAAAAAAACCGACTTCAACCCCCTCTTTGTTTAAAGTCGGTAAATTAATAAATACTAAAACATTTTTGGACTGCCCGGGCCGGGCAAGGGGTCTTGGATTCGATTCCTGAGACGGGCAAAGTATTACTTAGTAAAAATATCTCAGTAGTAGCACGGAGGCTGGAATTGTGCCCGGTATATGGCTATAGGCTCACCCCTTATTACATGGGACTCATAACATAAATTAATAATGAAAAGTTGGTTGTTACATTGTACAGTGGCATTAAGTGTCGTAATGTGCACCTCTGCCTGCCTCTTCAGGGATAAAAAGGCGTGATGTTATGTTATGTGAAAACATTTTTCTAAAAACCCGCATTAAAATCGGTTCAGCCAACAGGTGAAACGGAGAACCTCCTTTCTTTTTGAAGTCGGTTTAAAAGTTTTATTGTGGAAAGTTAGTAGTGGAAAATATTTGTTTATTTTATAGGACTCGAAAGAATATTTTTAATTCCCAAAATATTTAACTTGAAAAATATACTATGAACAAATCTGTGTCCATATACATGTTAGAAGTAGAGTAGAGTATGCAATAAGTAAGAATGAGGGGATTATTTAGGTGTGCTTTTAATCAATGAAAAAATTTATATTTATCAATAGTTTGTATTCACAAATAACAGACCCTTATCAATAAACATTTTTACACAAAATACATTATCGATTCACCACTATGACGTAAACGTAATCACGATGCATTTACTTTGTACAAGTCTAGCTAGATACAGTGTGTTCACTTTATCACCGTTACCCACGACAACAAGGGCGCCATCTATTATACACACTGACGTACAATCCAGATAATATTAATTTAATTTTACCTTTTACTCATTGTTAGAACGAAAAATGACTTTTTCAGTAAATCATCTTTTTTAGTCATTTTCTAAATGTAATTAGTAATCACAAATACTAGTACTGCCAGGTACTGTCATATTAAATAACTAAATAGTGTTGCCATATTCTACTTATCTTCTTCTTAGAGGTAAACGGCAAATTAAGTTAGAACAATAATATTGTCGCCTAAACCATTCCAAATTAAAACTATTGCGTATTACTTGAAAGAAAACAAGATTACATAGTACCTAGATAATTTGATATTGAATTACTTTCTAGAAATATAAAAATATATCTTTTCAACCAAAGTCCTTTGCTTCTCTTATAGAATTAGGTTTTGAAGAAATTTATAAATAAAAGAAAGAAAAAAGAAATCATGAAACATAATATTCTTAAATTAATATTTTGGCGTGTATTGGATGTTCTAATCAACTAACTTATCTGGCTTCATCTTCATCATTACGACGACGCCAGTCAAATCCACCTGGTCTTAGGTGATCAAGATCTGGAAGTGGGCCATAATCTGGTTCAGGGGCAGGATCAAACAGCTTCTTCCTGAAATTCATCAACAGACAAAATTAAATTCATTAAGACTGCACAGTTGGTGCAACATGTTGTGGGTTCGATTCTCAACCCAACAACAGATTGTTGTGTTATTGTTCCGGGTCTGGGTTTCATGTGTATGTGAAACTGTATTGTCTGTAAACACACCCACGACACGAGAAAACAGGATTTCAAAAAATATTTTTATAAGACTTGTCTTCTCTATACTTACAAAAACTTTGGTGTCTTTAATATTTTTTGACCCCCATTTTGTCTTGGTAGTACATCTTCCATAAAGAAGTATATGTGGCCAATAGCCATTCCCACTAAGTCTACTGATATTGCATTACCAAGTAAAACTGAGAAGCCCAGTAACACCCAGGGAAGGTAAGGAGCCTGAAACCAAAAAGTAGTTATATTGAAAAAGATGTTAAAATAAGTTATTTAGTAAATGTAGATATTATTATTATTAGATATATAATATGTAATACAATACCTGGAAGTTCATCAGGCCAAAGAAGTTCATTCTCACAAAGACATTTCTACGAGACCATACATACACAATCATAATGGTAAATGCTTGTCCTAAAAATAATAAATTCACGAAGAAAGCACCTATCTGTTATAAATTGTTAAGGAAATTTTAATACTTTGGCAAACAGTCATCCTTTATTGTAATTGGCAATGTTGATACAGTCCACAGCCAACTATTATATCACTGCCATCAACTTAATAACATTATCTTCATTGTTAGCTCACTTGCAATGCAAATTATGCAGTGTTAATCAGATTCTTATCTTCCTAATTGGAAATTCCGCAATTAGAACCTAATGTCAAAACAGATCTGAAAAAGTAAAATAAAAAAAGGATACAATCATGAGGACTCCGCCAAACACAAACATTACAACAAAGTCTGCAGTTCTTCCTCTGAAAGAGCCCTCTTCAAGCATTCTACAGTATCTGTAGGTAAATATCATATTGAAGAAAAAGTTGAATCCTAAATTTCCAAAAAAGAGGAATGTACTTATTAGCCTCCATAGTTGATATTTCCTTAATATTAGATTAGGGTTAAAATATAATTGAAATGGTGATACTAGATCCAATTGCTGAAACAGAAAAGTGGTTACAATGTTTATACACAATCATATGACATTTACAAGCAAAATATAGTAATGATTCAGCAAGTGACACGTAAAATTAAATAAACAATAAAACGAAACTTACAACAGCTAATGTAGTGACAACACAAGCTGTAGTATATGCTCTGGTGACTGGGGGTATGAGCATATATTCTTGGAGTAGCGTTTGGTATGCCATTTTACAGTTCAGACTTAGTTTTACCACTAAACTTTAACATACAAAAGAAAATTAGCTAAGATAACGAAGTCACAGTTCGACTCGACATGATTGGGCCACATCAGAATCAAATAATTGTCCACAATAGGATGTGTTGATTACAGTTAGGTGAACTACGAAGTAACCTTCATTTAGTCTTCAAGTGTATTCAATTTCAAGAAGTTATAGATATTAATATTATACAATCATCCGCTCTTAATTTAAACAAGAATTATTTGAATAATATCATAAAATCTACAAATATCGAGCAAAATTTGACAGAAACAAAGATCAGATAATGACAGTTGTGACAGTTGACAAATTACTTTCACATATTTTTTTTAGTGGCAATCTATTGTATCAATAAAGGTGTTGTTCCCACTTCCACCATGTCTGTCATCCAATAGCAAAATCAAATGCCTCAGTCTAAAAAAACATTTTCCATTTTTGGGACAAAAAAAATAATCTATTAATTATTTCACTGTATATATATTTTTAAGACTGTGTTCTTTCAAATTTTTGTATGCTCGCACACAGTTAAATCCCAAATTCCTGTTCCTATTATGCCGATCGGAAGGATCGATCTGAATGGCAGATTGATTTTATGATAGGACACCATTTGTTCGTCGATTAAGAGATTGGGGCGTCAATCACCAGAATCTACTTGCCTACCACAATTATTACTATACTACAAAGCAAACACAGTGCGATATTTTAAGGGGGTATTGATCCCCTATACTTATTATACTCTTTGGGGTATTGATTAGTCACAAGAACGGTATTTTGGGAATTGGGTTCATTTCTTGAGTTGGGCAAGGAATAGTGTCTTGTATATCATTTGCTTTGCTGTTTACCTTCCCATCTCCAGTAAAAATCATATGTTGTGCATGAGTTTATGTGAAATTGTATCTTATGTCTATAAAAAGAGAATGAAATAAAAAAGTAAAATTCAGATTGAAATAAGTATGATTTATTAAATAATATAATTATGATATTAATAAACAAATACAGAAGCTAAATCATCATAATCATAGGTTCTCTTAAGGAATAAATCTATCAAAGATACTCCAGATATATTACACAGCCCAGTATTAATTGGTAGAGCTGTGAGGTTAATGTATAAAGACTGTCCAGGTTCCAGTGGCCCCAGCTTCTTGTTTGAAATGCCACACCAGAGTAGGCTTGAATCTTGTAGAGATCTCAACTTCAAAATTAAATCTATTGTTCTTTCACTAGCATTCACAATTTTACATTGAAAATCGAAAGGCTCCTCCACAGAAACTTTACTTGGTAACTTTTCAAATGTGAGTCGGATATCTCCATAATCAGGTGTCATTCTCTGTAACTGACTTGTCTGTAACCGCCCCTTTTCACCTAAATTGGATCTCCACACAATATCAAGCTTTCCAATATTTTTAGCAGCTGCCAGTAGCTTAATTTCTTTTGAAATGTTCTCTCTTGGAGTCAAACAGTATAGGTACTGACAGCTCTCTTGAGGCTGAAGTAAAGTTACATCACCAAACACGGACATTCCATCGTTAACTTCATTCAAAGATTTCACATTAAATTGTTGAGAGCTCTCCAAAGAAACCTGCTCTAATATGATAGGACCAGAAGTTATGTTTTGCACTTGAGCTTCAAGATAGACATCATCAGACTCAGCATTGTAAAATTTAGTTTTCACATCCAATGGTTTCATTACTTCGAACTTGAAGAACTTTCTGAATGAAGCAAGTGTGTTGTAGTTAGACATGTATGTCACTTCACAGACAAGAATGTGTGTGCCAAGGTCCTTAACTTCATGGTGTATCACATCACTGAGTGTTTCATCTACATCCAGCATTGTAGGTGACAGGTTCTGCTGTGTTGTTAACAATATCCTCTGTGAGTTTGTCTGTAAATCAGCTTTGATGGAAACACTTTGAACAGGATTGTTAGTTTCATTATGAACGCAAACGTAACATGAAAATGTTTCACCTAGATATATATTCCCAAAGCTTTGTGGGAGTAATAAGAACTGACCAGCTGCAAGGGTTTCCATCTGAGTGACTGAAGTAGCATCATCTTTAAGGTAGTTGTTCAAAATATTTCCAGGCAAATCTTTGGAATCACAAGTTACTATTTTTGGACTTATTAAAGCAGGTTTTGTCAACCGCATTACTTTCAATGCAACTAAATGTTCTACCACATCCTTTGGATCCATTTTATGTAGGTACTTGGGAACAAATTGTTAACACAAAAAAGTCATATATGGTAGATCTGCTTCTAAGGACACAGAATAATTAAATATTTTTCTATTTTTCACGAGATATAATGAAATTATTCAACTTTACTCTTTTTTATTGATTAAAACATGACGTTTTCACCTGCACACAAATCTTTGTTGATTTCGAAATTGTCAAAGTCAAACTTGTCACAAAAATGTCAGAATGACAGACAATAATATTGGTTTTAAAAACTTATACTTACCCTACATTTTCCTTATTTCTTTCTTCATTGACATTTTCTGAGATTCTATCTAATCAAGGACGATAGTCGTAGTAATAAATTAATACCAAGGTTTCACTCGTCCTGGTGTCTCTCAATCAATTATTGATATAAAAAAATCAGATACTCAGCTTAAAATATTTAGTCTATGATCAAATCAAATGTCGCTTCCGTATGTCAGTTGGTCAAGTCGGTCAAGTCAAATCTGAAGATTGCTGAAGATTGTGATTTGTGCGGGCTTGTAGTGTTAAATCGTGTATTATCGTGAAAGTGTATTGTATCCTATTTTCTAAATCTAATTAAGAAAATGGTTTTAACAAAGGAATTCAGAATATGCATGCCGATGACGGTCGAAGAGGTACACAATTAGTGATTTGTTGTAACTGCTGCGCAATCTTTTTATTTTGTAACAGATTTAATTTATTTTATATTAAAACAGTGTCTATATTGCACATAATTTTAAATTGCTCTAATGGCAAACATAGTCTTTTCTCCTTTCTTATTTTAAGTCACTTTTAATATAATTTTTAGCGATCAGATTTGCAAACTACAGTATTACGTTTCATGGTTATATATGTTGTATTTACGACAAAAGCGGCCTTGGAAATACCTATCAGGCCTTGATTTACAGGCGTAGCTATACTAATGCTCGCTGTATGGGTGGAGAATTAGGCCTGGTATTATGATTTTTTTTAGTTTTCAATAGAAAATGAATTCAATAGATGAACGTTAATATAACAGACATAAGCTTATCGTTTTAATTAAACACATCTTATCGTTAATTACTTAGTACAAAAGTGAGGTTTAAGTTCATACTTATGTAAACATAGTCTAGACAGCGGGAATCATTAGAAACATGTGTATCATTATCTGTTTTTTGTAGTACCGCATTGGTCAGCTGTACATGATAGCTAGACATAGCTATGAACAGTCCAGCAATGGGGAAGGGGTGGAAGTTGTGGCTAATGAGCAGGTCACTGATGAAGTTAATGGAGTGGGACAGTATACTGAGAAGAGAATCCATCTATCTAGGTGTGTATTATCAAATCCTCTACATTTACTTAATCAAGATTATCCTGTCAAGTTTCGCATCATATTGATATAAAACCAATCGTCCTAAATGTGACTCTAGCATGATATTTTATCGAAACAGTTCACTTGGATTAAAATCTTATATGACCTAGATTTCCGGTTTCAACTGTAATTCCCTCCCATTCCTGTTAATTTTTATCTTATCACTGAAATGCAATGAAAAATATCTAAATATGTCACGGTTCTTTGTAAATATTTGATATGCTGAATGATAGTGATTCAGGAAATATGTATTTATATTAAACCATTTCCTGTAACAATTCATTAATGGCTATTACTTATGCTATCAATTTAAATATTTATTGTCTTATTATAACTTGTGATAACACTTACTTTTTATGGTATATCTAAGTATTTTATTCATGCTAAGAATAGCACTATAACTTTTATAACAATATTACCTTATTTCATTTTAAAGTGTCTATGTTTTCCTTGTTTAACAGTCATTTGCCGTACTGGGTCCAGTCCCTGATACCAAAAATCTTTTATGTCACTGAAAAAGCATGGAATTATTACCCATACACTATTACAGGTAAATAATACTTGAATGGATTCATTCATACAAACTCAAATCATCCTTTTTTGAAGAACTATAAGTACAATCCTTCTACTGTAATAATTTAAATTATTTTATTTTAAAGGTATGTGACCCTTTGAATGGATTGATTTCCTGTAGTCTAAGTAGGTTGTCCCATTGTATTTTATTGGTATAGTTTTCCTTTTAAATGTTATCTTCAATATGCTACCTGAACCTTTGCTTTGACAGTCTTCAAAATACAATTTATCATCTATTAAAATTCTAATTTAATAAGCTCTACAGATCTATGCTCAAAGGATCTTGCCTAGATTCCCGTTAATCTGAGTCTGTTTCTTTACTTGATAAATTGTTAATAAAGATTTTTTTATCTTTCATGTTGCTGACCTACCCAGAATATACAGTAAGTATAACTTTACACAGTTTTTGTGGAGAACATTTTTAGATAAAATGTTTTCCTGTATAATTGATAATAATAATAATAATATTTGTTTCCTTATTTTCCAGTGTTCATTTATTCCAAAGTTTGCTATCTCAATCCAAACACGATATGAGGATAATAATGGGACTACAGAGAATGTATGTTACTGATGTAAAATTTTATAGAGTTAGAATACTTTGGAAGATACCCATTACAATATTCTTTTTATTATAATTTTTAGTGTTTGGGAATGACACCAGAAGAATTGGAACAAAGGGAAGTTGATTTCCTAGATATTGCTTATGATGAGATCAAGCCACACCACTATAAGGAGGCAGAAGACCCTAAGTTCTTCAAGTCACAGAAGACAGGTAGAGGTCCGCTAGTGGAAGGCTGGAGGGAGAACCATCAGCCCATCATGTGCTGCTACAAAGCCGTGAGCGTCAAATTTGAGGTGTGGGGCTTGCAGACTAAAGTGGAGGAGTATGTTCAAGGCGTAAGTTTATTCTCGATATTAATAGAGCAATCGTTTGCAGTGCGTGGTTTACCTACGCTTCTAGTTTGAGGAAACAAACAAAGTGAAATGTTGTAGATTGCCTGGAAGTTCTATTTTTATTTAATTTTTTTTGTCTTTCGAATGTTCATCGTTTACGATTTGCGTTACAGGCGATTCGAGAAATACTCTTGCTTGGACATCGTCAGGCGTTTGCTTGGATGGATGACTGGTTCAACATGACCATAGAAGATGTGCGGGAATACGAACGTGAAATGCAGGCAAAAACTAATATCAAGGTATGTTCTCTTATCAGACAAGCTCATCACAAATGTATCCTATCAATTTTGACTAGATAAGGTTTATTAGGAAACTTGCGAGTACTTCAACTATGTTATAACTGGGATTACATGATTCAAAATATTTTTTCAGTTAAAATCTACCATAGAGAGTGCCGAGGGATCTAACGAGGACAAGAATTCTGATTCTTCTAAACCACAAACACCAAAGAGTCCCAAGACACCGAAGAGTACGAGCAGCACTCCTACAGCTGAAGGTCGGTCGTGGTTCAACTGGTCCTAAGTTGGACACCACTGAGAAGGGCTTGAATCCTAGCTATTTATTTAGATCCCTGCGTGTTAAGTCTACAGCTGTCTTTGTTACGCATTATTTACATCCGGAGTTTGGTTTGGTAGAACATAGTTTAGTCTTTAGCTTAAAAATGGCTAAAACTCGCAGTATCAAGCCCTTCAGTATAAAATTGAATTTGATCTCATCTTGCTGTCTCGACAGGGTTTGATTTTGTCGAATTGATGTGTTCACCTATTGCCTTCGGAGTTATATCTTCCACTACTGTCTTTCCTTATGATTTCATAATGAATAATTATGCAATTTTGTTCCTAGTTATTTTACTTGTAAGTTATACTCATTGTTGAAATGGTGTTAGTTAGACAATATTATTTAATGAAACCTTATCTAGGGGATGCTCTATTCTAAGGAGATTTTATAATTGAAACCCTGCTTGATGTGAGAATGGAATGCAGAATAATATCGGCGAGCGAGTTAGTAAAACCTGATAGAGATCATCCATAAGAATAAATTAAGATGCCTCTAAAAGTACATAGCGGAATTATAATGGGCCATATAACTCGAATAATAGACGACCTCTATTTATAAGTGTAAGTTGTAATATTTCCTATACGTATATAGGCACCTTAATGTCCTATTCAGTAAAGTATTTTTGAGATTGACATTGAAAATGGGGAATCGTCTCGTATTGGGGTATGTAAGTATATTATTTGTTTGTACAGATACAAAATTGTGCAACTAAGACTTCAGCCTCATATGTATGTATATTAAAATAGTTCGATATTTCGACGACTTTTATGTCGCTTTATTGACTTCTATTCTGACTGTGTAACCCCAAAGGGGAGCTTATTCCTATATAACATTCTTTAAATATTTCCTAGTTATGTATGTATGTATGTTAGTATATGTTTTAGATAACTTTATGTTTGATGTTGTAGATTTTATTAGTATGTTGTCTTTATTGTGTGTTAGTAACCTTTGAACAAGGCCTTTAGAAATGGTTGTATTTAAGTAATGTCGAATTATCTACAGATTATGTAAGGAAACGGGTATGTTGAATAAACTGGAGTAATATCATAGTTATGTCTAAGGATACGGAATGAATATAAAAAAGGTTTTGTAGTATATGAGTGTTATATGTGCAATATATACAGAATGTTCTAGAAATGTAAACTATTGACCAAAGTCCTCGGAATTATATTGTGGTTTCTATATAAATGGTTATAGGCTTAATGCCGAAGCATTACTTACTTTTAATAGTAAGTAATGTTTCTGTATTGATACATACAGGTCTTGATGTAAATTATAATAATAAATGTTTAAATAATGACAAGTTGAGCTTGAACAATGAACAAATACATTTATTATAGGTACCTAAGTAGTAAAAGCTTGCTTGAATAAAGGAGTACAACATTTTTCTCCTGATTATAAGTACAAAATTACAGATTAAGTTATTCTCAGCCAGTCAACTGCAAATAGGTATTATTTATTTCTATTGTATCTATTTAAAATAAAGCATTTCTTCTGTCTAATTACTTAGATTAAAAAAGATTAAGTTTCTCGAATATTGAAGTCACTACAATAAAGTCTCGATAATATTATATTCTATTAATGTATCAAATCAATAGGCCCAAACCGAGATAGGTCGGGTATGATCGTAAGAGTAATTTGTTTTATCCACATTGTTGTTGGCTGGCTCATGTGTTTCAGTCCTGTTTCGAAGAGTTTTTCCATAGTGCGCTACGTATATGCTTATTAGGTCGTTCCTAGTATAATTGTTTTCTACATATGAATTCTTATGAATTGTTTAAACCTCGAAAACTATATTGAAATTATGGCGTCCGCAAAAATATCATAAATATTTATCGTTGTACATAATTGGAATTTTTAAGTCACAAATTGATAAACGGCTATAAATATTACTAAGTTTGCAAGTTGTGTTTAAATGTAACTTATCGCTAAATGTTTAATGTACGACGTTGTCAATCAAATATAATGATTGTTTATCGATTATGTTGTTTCATTGGTATTACTTATCCCCATGTCTTCCAAGCGTATGTATTTCTCTCTATATTTCTATGTATTTAATGTATCTATATCAATCTAAAATCACATTAACTTGTCTTCAGTGAATGTTATATACAAAAAATGACAGGAAAAGAACTGATTAGCCATATGTGTATCTTGACATCTATTTGTTAATACAAACAAATCGTAGCTTTTTTTGCACACCGTCACCTCTGGCTATTCCTGAAAATTCAGCGATTTTTCATATTGCACCTATTTCTGAGTTCTGCGTTTTATTTAACTTCCATCTCCTGTCGTGTCGCATATCGCTCTTGTTAGATGATGAGTGTGAGGAGTTGTATGCATTTCTAATAATACTATTTAATCATTTTCTATGAGTTCTGGTATCCATTGTAGATGTGGTCCGACGCTGGTGTAGCTGCTGGCTTTAATGATCTACAAAACTTCGTCTTTGGGAAGCACACCAGTATGAGAGCTAGTTGCTCAGCTGTTTTTTAAGTCTCAAATATTTTTTTTATATCTATTGTAATGTAATTTACGATTATGAAGACATTCAGATACAATGTAAATTGTTTAATGAATAAATGAAATGAAAAATGAAAATGCAGCAGGTACGTACTGGTCTGCATCTCTGGTCACGCAGCGCGCTACAGGCGGTGCGTGTCGACCCTAGACACGCGCCCTCGCATAGCATCCTTACGCAACTCTAGCAGCCTGTGACATTTTTGTGGTGTCCGAGCCGACTGCAGCGCACTGCGTAACCAGTAGCTGTAGCCAAATGCCATTTAGCGCTTGTCTACATGTAGAATAGAAAACCAAATTATATGGAATTGACGTAAATTGCTAAAGCGCTAAAGTGGCGTTTGCAGAGATGCAGAACAACGTTTACATTGAAGTTATTTTATTTTTCTAATTCGGTATGATTAACTGTTTTATACAAGTTTGTGCAGATTATAGGCCAGTCATACATTAGTGTAGAAAATACAATACCACCGTCGACATCCACAACTCCTATTATTCTCCGGAATCCCTCAAATCGCGCCAACAGATTGAGATTTAAAACGACTTTAAGTACCCTCGTAAACTCCACAGTAGTGTTAATAACATATTACACTAAAATTTATTCAAATATTTTTATTACCTTTCTGAAATACAGCATCGCGTTACTAGGTATACACAAATGAAAACTGACTAGCGAGAATTATATTCTTAATCTTATCCTGGATAGTCGCGGAGAACCTAACGGGTAACCGGGGTTCCAGCTCGACGTGCAGAAGAAGGAACAGGGTGGTTTTTAGTCAATAAGAGTCTGACACTCCTTCCCGCCCCACCAAGGCGGGAGCAGTCAATCGATGATTTTCCGATGATGATGAAAAAAAAATCTTATCCTGGATAGTGAAAAATAGTAATTAATTGCTTTTGGACTGAATTTAGTTATATTCGTTTTAATTGTTTTATCATACCCAATCAGTAACCACCAATTTCGTTACAATTAAATTAATTGATTTAGAAACGAATGATGCGGTGCAGGGTCACATTATAATGCATTCGAGTACGACACATTGCGGTCAACAGCGATCGACTGGCAACCACAAAATTAATTTTGGCAAATTATCCTTTATGTACTTATGTAGCTACAGTCATTTAATAACTACACAGATATAATTGTGTCATGATAGGCAGGGAGAAATAAAGAAGGCACTAATGAGCAATTCTTCAATTCTTGAGACCAAATACGTGAATGCAATCTGAGGTGGAAATTGTGAAAATGGGCTGGTAGGCTATGTTTGTTCGGCGGAGGTGACCTGAGTTCCGCATAGCACACGTGACACGCTCGAGGAGTGCCCAGCGAGAGCCTCTGAGCGGCGGAACCTGGTTGCCAGGATCGCGCGAGACCTGTCTCTGCCAGTAGGTAGGTATTAATTAAGACTATGCTGGCAGAGACAGAAAACTGGAGGGAAGTGGCCTCCTTTTCTGAGACTGTAATGTCCCAAAAGGTGGCTGCTGAGCGGGATCGTGAGAGGGACGATTCTGCTCGTAGAAGGCGCCGAGGAGGTCCCGGTGTCCCGTACAGGATAGTTTTTAGTGAAGTACAAATCCCACACCCCCTTTTTTATTTAGTCTTTTTCCCCAATAAGCTAGGCACCTTATAAAGGTTTCACTCCATCATAAAAAAAATGCAATATTTGTTGCAGAACTGATAACTGCGTTGACGAAGACGTAGATACGTACCTAGATGTCATAATCACCTACCAGCTTTTAGGAAAGGCTACCTATATCCAGGTGGATGGAAACGTGGTGATGATAAGTAATGACACTGAACAGGTACGGAAGTTTGAAATTCTAAAGACTATCGTTTGAATCCGAATTTAATCCCTAGAATCAATCATCCTGTATGAGATCTCGTATCCATTGTAGATGTGGACCTACGCTGGTGTAGACTGCTGGCAGCCCCGGCACGGCGCAGCTGATGCCGTGACTGCTCACTGCTTGGATACTACCCGAGCAGAACAGAGGACCACCCGAGTCACCCTACAAGAATATAGAAAAATATCTTGAGTGGCCAATATTTATACTAATAAATTGGAGGAATAAATAAACAGAAGTTTAAACAAAACGATCAATGCCATTGTAAACGACAAATCCAAATTCATCGCCGTATTCTTGAAATTCATTGCTGGCTAATTCTACCGTCCCAATCCCAACCATTTCGTTTGCTCAATTGGCAAATAAATTCTCCTTGGAAACGCTACAAAGTAACAGAATAAGGGTTACGTCGACAGAAGGTACAATGTTGTCGGGTTTTCTAATTTTCAAACCTTCGCTCGCTCATCAATACGTTAATGTCCTTTCGTTGCCATCCGCGACGGTACGGCGAGAACATTCTGCATAGTCTAGACAGAAATAATTAATCTACTAAGTAAAATGCTATTTATATCCTTGTCAGGTACCTAAAATTGGTTAAATAGCTACCTAATTACTTTGTAGATAATAGATAACACACTATCTACATACCTATCTGTTGTAGTAGGTTTTTGACAATAACACGTACCTATCTACTTTAATAAATTGGTTATCGTCCATTCGTCCCAGTATTAATATACAGGTGATTAAATTGAGATACCACACTGCTGGTATAGTACGGTTAATTTAACAGCGGTAATGAGAATGAATAGAATCCATTTATTTGGTTAATGGTACCTGGCAGGCGTCGACGCCTTCGCCAACAGCACACATCATGCCGCTGTCATATCGGGGCGCTGCGTACGGGCCCAGTGTCGCCGTGCACTCGTCCAAGGAGACTATGCGCAGAGTGCCGGCTGACAACTGCTCCGATGTGGCTCCTGAGTCCACTTCTTTGTAGCCGTACCCGTATATTGTGCATTCTCCTGCAATGGAGCCAGTACCGTCTTTACCATAAGGGCACTCGGGGCTCTTGCCCAAGGACCCTATCCTCAGGGGGCGGGACCGATAATTTCTACGGTAACGGACACACACACGTTACATATTGCGCGACAACCAGCTAACCTGTAGCGGGTTCAATTTCCGCACGGAGCAAATCTTTCTGTGCTTCATAAATTGTTGTTTCGGGTCTGAGTGTCTCGTGTATGTGAAGCAGTATATTGTAAATGCATCGTATAGGAGAAAATCCCACGGTGGATCAACTTTACAAAAAAATGAAAAAGACATTCCAAAAGGCCCTCATCGTAGTCTAAAACGGCCCTGAATGAAGCCCACATCTTTAATACTGACATCACATCACACACATAACATCACGCCTTTTATCCTCAAAGAGGTAGGCGGAGGTGCACATTATGCCACTGTACAATGTAACACCCACTTTTCACTATTTACCCGAACCCGAACCCGAGACCCCTTGCTCGGCAGTCGCAATTGCGACCACTCGGCCAACGAGGCAGTCTTTAATACTGAAAGGCGTTTAATAATGTTATAATAATATGTAACGACTTATGACCACGTATCTGGCACTTACCTGATAGTCCGAAAGTGTATGTGGGCAACAGGGAGCGGGAAAGCCAGGTGACGTCACTGAGGTTTAGCGCGATCCGTAGCACAGCCACGTCATGCGCTCTTGTGATCCTGAAACCATACAACGTGATCGAGCGCTCGCGCTGTGCTGTAACGATGACGCGGATTTATTCAATCGTAATCCGCCCCGTCCCGCTGCTTCGTTAGCTTTGCACTTCTATATTGGATTTGGTTTTAATGGGTTCAAGGCGATCACGATTCAAGGCGATATCATTAATATTTTGTACAAGTTCTTAGTAATAATGAATTGTTTATTTGGACAAATAATTTGATGCATTATGCAGGACGCGAAAAAATGAAGCCAAAAAGTTATTTCTTATCCGTTTCCATTCGTGCAATCGGTTCTTGCAATTTTATCTGAAAATCCTCATGGATTTGTTATCATTTTACAAAAAATATAAAATTCTTACGGATTATAAAGAGGATGTTTGATAATCTGCAAAACGTCGGCTTTGGGCGGCACATCACCATGTGAGCAGTAGTTGTTCAGCTGCAGCAGGTACTGGTCTGCATCTCTGGTCACGCAGTGCGCCGCAGTCAGCGCAGAGGTCGGAGACAGGATGGTAGCTCCACACAAATGACCCAGGCTGCTAGAGTTTTTTAGAGATGCTACGTGGGGTTGTAAACCTGTGAAAATAAATGCAGATATACTTAAGTAGTTAGTAGTTGTATATAATATTATGTGATTGTTGTCGAGTTTGCAAAGACTACTGTTGATGTAGTGCGTCGTACCTATGTCTAGAATGACCTAATGATTAGGATATTCTTTGATGATAAACATAAATCTAAAGAGAGTCAATCAGTAATCTGGTAAATTCCTTTTTACAAATTTATTTTTTATCATCCCCATTATTAGTAGATATTACATAAGATAAGACCTAATTTCGTCTTTGAATACATAGCGAACCAACCGATCTCACAGCCCCCACGTTACGAAGCGAACATTCACATAATGTTTGTTTGGACTTGTTTACGATCAAACGAGCGCATTACCAAACCCTTTAGTCCTCGTGTCGTTGTTTTTTTATTTTGTGTTCATTGTCTGACCTCTGCAGTCCTAAGGGAAATCAACTTTCTTCAATATACGCTTATCAGTGCAAGGCATACATTGGTTTAATAAAATAAGCCATGCTAGTACCTTTGAGTAAACAGAGTAGCCGTTTGGTAAATATATTGACACATACCTAAGTAGGTACCTACATTAATATATTGAAGTTGGAAAGTGTGCTTGCTTGTTTGAACGTATTGAAATCTTTGTTTATAGTGATTCAAATGTTTTTGAAAAGGTAAATCATATAATCGAAATTTTTTTGGACTATTACCACAGGAACTTATATACCTAGGTAATAATTAGAAGTGTTATAACAGACTGCCTCGTTGGCCGAGTGGTCGCAAGTGCTACTGCCGGGCAAGGGGTCAGGCAAAGTACCTATTACTGGGTTTTATAAAAAAAATCTCAGTAGTAGCACGAAGTCTGGAATTGTGCTCGGTATATGGCAATAGGCTCATCCCCTACTACATGGGACTCACAACATAAATAGTGAAAAAAGTGTAAATGTAACACCCACTGTTACATTGTACAGTGGCATAATGTACACCTTTGCCTACCCCTTCGGGGATAAAAGGCGTGATGTTATGTTATGTTAATAACAGTGCTTCTATACCACATCTCATCTAGAAAGATAAAAAGTTCAGATGAAACAAAACATACATATTTTCCTAGGAAGACAAACGTAGCGAATTAGTAATAAGTGATAGCTATGTTATACACGGTTAGTGCGGTGGCTGGGCAACCTGGTGTCACGCAACGTGTCTCGGATTCGATTCCCGCACGGAGCAACTCTTTGTGTGATCCACAAATTGTTGTTCAGGGTCTGGGTGTCATGTAGAGGTATATATTATGAACTTGTGTGTTTGTAAACGCACCCATGACACGACACAGGAGAAAATCCTAGTGTATAGCAACGCTTTTAAAAAAGAAAGAAGTAAGTAAGAAAGAAAAGAGTTTAATAATTAGATGTAAAATTAATAAACTCAGCTCGTAAAACTGATTAGCTAATTTCTGTTGCTTCCATTTTTTCATTGTGATATGTTTACCTAATTAAGACAACGAACAGATAGATACTTAGATATCAACAAATTGTTTAATTGAAACTTTTTACCACTTTAATTCCTGATCTATTACATTTACAAATGTAAACAGTAGTGACCTCTAACTTAATTTTAGATACACTACAAGAAGATATCCAACATTAGAACAGTATTTATATTTGGTGAGCACAAATTATTTTATCCGAAAAGTATTTATAGAAGTTCTCGATAATGTGACTATTGAAAATGTAACAGTGGCGGTCTTGTAGTAATTTAGTGGGTTGGATTCCTGTGTCTATTAGTTCGTGATATACACTAAAACGGGTAACATAACATCACGCCTTTTATCCCCGAAGGGGTAGGCAGAGGTGCACATTATGTCACTGTACAATGTAACACCCACTTTTCACTATTTATGTTATGAGTCCCATGTAATAGGGTGTGAGCCTATTGCCACATACCGGGCACAATTCAAGACTCCGTGCTACTACTGAAAATTTTTAAAAACCCAGTAATACTTTGCCCGACCCGGGAATCAAACCCGAGACCCCTTGTCTGGCAGTCGCACTTGCGACCACTCGGCCAACGAGGCAGTAAAACGGGTATTTAGTACCTATTATTCATTGTATCTAAGGATTAGAGATGTGGATTCGACTTTGTTCACGTTTTGATTGGGTAACGAAATAAAATGAAGTGACGATGTAAGTGATTCTGTAAATATTCATAACCTATGTATAAACTATATAGCGCCATCCGTTGACGTTTTTTATGTCTCAAATAGTATTCTAATCTTCATCAAAACAGTCAGATACCAAATACCTGAAAAGAAATACGGAAAGTGCAATACCACAGTCGACATCCACAGCGCCAATCACTCTCTTTACCCTCCCACATTGCGCCAACAGAATAAGATTTAAAACGACTTTAAGTACTATCATAAACACTATAGTATTCTTGTTACAACGCATTGCACTATAAATATTAAGTACTAGGATTTACACAAATACTAGATACCGAGAGATATATTGTACGCGTTTTAAATTCCTTTTTACAAATTATATAGTTGTAATTTGTACACATGTAGGTAACTGTTGTACAGAAATAGTGCAAATTACAGTGGCAAGTCGTGACAACATAAATTACTGAATGTATTTAATCAGGTGTTTATGTGAGCATTAAAACAGAACAGTTGAATATCAAATATTTTTCGATGAATTTGTGTGTAAACACGAGCATTACGGCTATTGTTATGTCGTACAAATGTGTGTAATTTATCTCTAAATACTTATCTCCGATGACGTAATAATCAATCCTATTTTTCTCTTAGATTACGATGACTCCAATCTCAAAAACTCGTGACGATTAGGTTCATTTTAATGTCGAACATTAATATTTTCAAAAGTAAAATTAATCATCCACTGTATTACTTATTTCAACTTTGTTTGTAACAGGTCATCGTCATAAAATAAAGCAAGTGAACGAACTTAACTAATGACTTAGCATAATTTTCCAATAAAATATAACGAAAGCAGTGTTCATTGTGTTCAAAGCTGATTAAAATTAAGGGTAGCGGTCGAAGGCCACCCCTAATGTTATTGTTATGTTCTTTATCAGGGTTGCAAGCACGCTTGGGACTACACGATACCTATTTTTCGGTTAAACACAAGCAGATTTTCGCTTCGGTGTACGTATATGTACCTATATCGAACAGTCTTGTTTTGACTATTGCTTGATAAAATTGCTTAGCAATCAAATTATGTTCTCTGGATTTTCTTAGAGAGGGTATTTCATTACTGTGTGTACCAGTGCCTAGACATAGTGAGACAAACATTTTAAAATAACTGCTTTCACCAAATTGAATCCTGGAACTACTTACTTTAACAAAAGTTAATTAAAACGATATCAACCTTCTATAAAAGGCCATAATGCTTTCGGCATAAAAGAAAACGGTTTTAGGGCAAAGTCAAATGTACGGTCGAACTCAGGTCACCCTTGACAAGTCATTACTCATTATGGGCCCACGCAGGCAGGTACATGCCTATACATAGCATGAGCCTACCAGTAGCCTTGGTTTATTGTCTACGAAACACTTAAACGAAGTAGAAGTGGAAGTGAATCAGATTGTTACGAGAAAATCAAAGAATAACATCTCTGATCCAGTCGGTTCTCGTGTCTGCTTAAAATCATATGCTGTGTTAAGATAAAGTGCTACAAATTAGTCTGAGTCGGTGTTGAGTGAGCTTAAAATAGTATTTCTATAATTATTTAGTGTTATTGTTGTGGTTTGCATGTGATGCCAAAACGTAGCGACAACAGACAGGTGGGAGCGGGCAGCGGGCAAGCCGCGAGGTTTATGTAACGCGAGGGCGCGTTAGTGCGCGGCGGCAGTCGGCAGTCGGGGCACAGCGCGCCATGGACCGGGCGAGCGGCAGCCCGCCGCCCAGCCCCCCCGCGCAGACCGGCTTCAGCGCCTTCTGCAGCGCGCTCTCTGACACGCTCTCGGTACGTACCCACCACGCGCACCGCGCATCGCACCGCTACTCTACACCTACACACCCACTCGCCATTTATTCTTTATGACATCCCGCCATCGTCCAAAACGCATTTTGGCGCCGTTTCGTTTAATCCGTTCTCGATAAATTACGAGAATCGAAGATGAGTGTCGCGTTGCGGTCTATTTTGAGGCGCACGTGGTCTTCGAGGTCGGCGAGCGAGGCCTTGGCGTCCGGTGCTGGACATCACTGAAGAATCAGAATAAAAGTCATGGAGGGAATAAAAAATATAAACAAGTTTATTATTAGAGTGCTCGTTGAGGCCGGGTCGCACGGTCGCGATTTGTCCGATGCCTGTGATCTACAGAAATACCCGCGCATTAAACGCCCGCCTGGTGCGACGTACAAAGGCCGAGCGCGACATCGCGCTGTGCTCCTCAGCAACCTTGCGACCACCACCGGCACCAGTTGTGCCGCCTGCTTGCTCTGCCGAGCGCCTCCGCTCCGCGCCGCGCCCGCTCTCTCGCATCGCTCGCCTCAGCGACCACCCATAGGTACACCACTAATCTATCAGATACAGCTGCACTTCTAACTGATGCCATTTTCCAACCTCAACTTAACAGCACAAATAACAAATGGAATTGTTTATAATTAATAGTGTTGGTGCTTTATTGAAATCCTGTTTTGTGATACAGTGATACTAAAATGCATCGGACAATCAGAAAGTTTTAAGAAACACTTCGGAAGACATTGTTAGCCGGTTAGCTGCAGTACGTGTGGTTTGTTTATCTGTTCGGTGGCGTCGCGCCGGTGTCTGTACCGGTGGACCGAAGTTATTTGAACTTAGGTGATCGTTGTTTTCCCGTTTGATTTTGATGTTTTTTTTTTATGGCAAATCCCAATTTCTGCTAGACGATTATATTGAGTTGACATAAACAAAACATAACGACGTATCGACTAAAACAGAGCTGAAATATACAGACACTCTTCAATTGGTCCTAGGTTCAAGGTTAATCGGATTAACCTTATTACGGACGGGAGTAATGTTTTTCAGTGGGTATTCGTAAATAAGACGTAGGTAGTCATTTTGATTGGATTCTTTGAAAATACTGGATACCTGAAGCTTTCTATTCATTCGTATCAAAGAAGCCTTGATGAGGTATAATGGTCTCGCATAACGATGTAAGACAATATCCAGATGTAGGTGTACGCGTACTTGTCAGTATGAGTAGGTATGTTTACGTGTTTGAGCGTGGTGCAAGGTTGGTCCAACGATTTGACCGCATCGATCGGTGACGTGCCACCCTGCCCCTACTTACGCGCTTTCTTCAATCAGAAAGAACTTCCGATAAAACCCTTAAAGTAAGAGCCAAGGAACAGGAAAATAAAACGTTATTTTAAAATAAAATTTCATTAAAAGATATTACTTTTTGAGCTAAAATAACCAGCACAAAAAGTCATTAAGAGAATGACAAATGAAGCAATTTAGAAGTAAATTGTTAGTGTACAAAATGTTCCCGTCATCGATCGGTATTCGCTAAGTGTCCTATAATTTGAAAATACATTTATATAATGAGAGTTAAGCTTAAATAAAATTGTTCTTTTCAATTTTGAAATTGGAGTAATTCAGTCGAATAACTAGTGAATAAATTATTAAACAAATATACCTACGTAGTTCTTATGAATGCATTCATGTTTTGCATCTATAGTCCATTTCATAATTAGAAATACTTAAAGTTAAAGCGCTTTGGGTAACTAACCCCATTACATCAGACAGTAATCGTGAAACATAGTTTTATAAACACGATAGTCTGAATGGGTATTTTGATTCAACTTCTAAATTGGAGATAGATGGTTTATTTCAGACTATCACACGATTTTATCTAAGAAATTTACATTCTTCTCTCTTTCACACTTTAACCTAAAAAAACGAACATACATGCAAATGCAGTCGGAAAGCAACAGCTATAACGCTCATTTATGTATTGTTTAACAATACATAAATGAGCATCTTGAATATAGCCCCTAGGGTAGATAGAAACTAGTAGAATTATCTTTTCAAACACTAACGCGAGTAAGCCATTTAACATAATTCATTAATAATTCTATTATTTATAAATAACGTTTAAAAAAACTGATTTCATTCCCTCTTTTTTTAAATTGGTTAATTAATATACATACTTAAACCTTTCCCTAATGAAAACCGTATCAAAAGTCGTTCAGGCAATGGTAAGATAATTGCGCACAAACATGCATACGCCAAACTAAGATACTCCTTTTTGTTTTGAAGTCAGTTAAAAAGGAGTGTTACACAAAAGTTATTAATACAAAAACAAATACATATTATTACTTTTACAATACATTTTACTTATCCTCATTAAAAAAAACACAACCGTAAAATATGTATGTATTTATATTATTATGCATAATCAAAAGATCATTATCATTATCATTATGCGCTGTTCCCTATCATTATGGGTCGTCGCATGTTTGCAAGCTCTTCCATTCATTTTACTTACTATCTTATTTCACCCTGCTCTTATCAGCCTTCAGGGAAAATACTTGGCTTTTATAACAACCCCCTAATAGACAGTTTCCTCTCAGCTTACTTGCTATTAGCACCACTTTCAGGCTTCCTGTAAATCCATTAGGTAAAATGCATTATTTTCCATCCCTCTCAAGCTGGTCTTATTACGTAACGTCGGTCGTTTTTATTCCTGGAGGCTATGGTGTGCACTTTCAATGTCACGAGCACTTTGCACCAGCACGATGTAACAGTGAATGTACTGCAATTTAACTGGTTCAATCCAAGACTCAGTAATGCTAAAAATAACCGAAAAACGTCTTAACAGTTCTTTGTCCGACCAGGGAATCAATCCCAAAACCTTTGTTTTTTGAGGAGGGAAAGTTATCCACTGACTTCTCCCGCCTTGCGTTAGTTCCTTGGTGGGAGAGTCAGACTCTTACTAATTAAAGACCACACCGTTTCTACTCTGCTCTTTGAGCCGGAATCACGTTAAGCTTTCCGCGGGTCCATCACAACATCCTTACTCGACCATTCGATTAAAGTTTTGAAATATATAGAAAGCAGAACTTACTGAAAAATACACGTGAAAAGTATATAATGTATTTCCTTTTCTAAACTCGAAATCGAATCCCAGAAAACTCATACTCTACAGCCCTATTTATCCCTTACTGCTTTATTTATGCCCTATTTATCTATCGCAATATATTCCAGATACCTTACTAAGTTGTATTATAAACCAACATAATGTCTGTTATATCTGCATAACATAGTAACTTCAAAGTTCAAACTCGATTATATGAACTACATAACGAAGTTGTGAAACTATCAGGACTAATGTTTCGGAGCTGCGATGCAAACTTTATAACAGCTTTGGTTAATTCTTTTATAGAACTTGTTAACTGCAAGTTTGTATCGAATTGTTTGCATACAATATTGTTTGATTTGTTGTTCAATTTGATGCAAGGATTTTATACGAAGATAATTATAAACAATTTAAAGTTTAAATCATGCTATGCATCATTTTTATATAGGCTGCGCGACATCGCCGCGACCGCGCACTCTGCTAATGAGGAAGAGTCCCTTTGTGACTCGAAACTAGTAGAGATTTTCTCAGTAAGTTTTAGTTAATTCAGCATGTCTCACAATAGTTGTTACTATAAACACATAAAAATACAGTTAATTATATATAATTATAAAAATACTATTAATTTGAAACCAAATAATACAGCTTCTGTTCTTTGTTGGTCATGTTCATTGGTTGAGTAGATAAAACGCAGAGAAATAAAACGTAACAAACAATTCAAAGTTTTCACATTTATATTTCTTGGTCAGAATATCAAAATACTTAAACACATGAATTAAACAGGAAAAATGCAATGAATTGTAGCAATGCAATGCGATTTGTGCCATTTCAGTATTAAACAACTTACGTAGCCCGTAGGCCCCGTAGCACATTCGTAGCACATTTCGTAGTACAGGGAACAATTAAACGCTACAAGAGAACTGATTGATTACTCATTGAATTCTTTAATTACTCAATGTCACTCAACGTTCACATTATCTTACGATCCCATTTTTCTTTTTTCTCATAGTAATAGGAGTAAAACTGTAACAAGTGTTGTGTATTGTAAAAAATCTGAATTATTATCCCACATTCTTACTCGTTGTCTCAAAACATTTTAAAATCAAAGAGATTTATGTTGCAGTATCTCACGCGCTCAGTTTTAGAGTTTCATGCTTACAATGTAAAACTGAATCCGTTGCCACTTCGATAAATTACGTCTGACTGTATAGTCAGTTTTAATGTGTGTATGTGTGTGTGTGTGTGTGTGGTTGTTTACCATTCCTTATGTTACAACTGGTATTCTGTTATTATCATAAATTAAATAAGGGTTATTTCAAAATAATAAATTACCGGTTTTAAATCGCATTTACAAAAAATTCCCACCTTAACGACGTAGACCCTCTACGGCGTAGACAACCTGCTACGGCGTAGAGGATCTACAACGTCGAATCTACTACGGAATGATAGCGCGCACTTTCGATTCGCACTTGACCACAATTTTTTTTTGCAACACTGGACAGTATGTGGCGTCTGTGTAGAATTTAAATTATGATTTCAGATATTGTGAAGAAGTTTTTCATTTGGCATAACTACATACGTCGTGGACAAACCTTTTTAAAAATGCGTAGGATTTGTTATGTTGAGCCGAATCCAAATTGGTCGCATGAGAAAGAAGCACGCGTGTCTGTAAAACTGAAGATAAATAACTTGTATTAGTAAGTCGTTACCGGTTGTGCAGTGGGAATAGCATTCGGACAGTGTTTTGTATCAGCAACAGCCAGTACACTTGGAACATTATAAATAGAAAATAGAGAACACAATCGGGGAACTCGGCCACTGCTCCTGCTATTTTCGATCGGAACTTGTCCCGAAATCAAGAACACGGCCAGGTTACCGAGAACTGGTCGAGTATGAATGTGCGTTGTCATTGGGGGCGCGTCTTGTTCCGGAACATACGTGTCGGGTTACAACGGTTCGCCCACTTCGTAAGTCTTTTCATCTCAATTCTTTTGCAAAATCTTCGAACTACTACCGCTTACGTATTTTAGCTTTGTTATGCATGGAAATGGCTCTGTTTAATATAAAATTTCCTTATAAAACTACTTAAAATTCACGAAGAATACACGATAAGTAATCTTGGTACGAGTAAAAGTTCAAAAACCTTTAGAATATCAACGACGTTCATAAGTTCGATCAATTAGGCGACCGCAACTTATCTGAATAACAATGATCTGGCTCCTTGTTTCATAACCTTGACCTAGTTGCGGAAGGTCATTGACATCTGACTTTGCAATAAGTACCTACATCTTCTAATATTAGCGCATAGGTACATATTTCCTCGAGCAAAATATGTTTGACGTATTACAGCTAACTGGAATAACTTCTAAACAATAAATCGTAAAAGGGGAACTGATGCAATATCTAAGTGCGGTCTATATACTATGCAAGTGAGAATAAACATCATAAAAAAATATATAGACTCGCATTCGAGTCTTAGTTTGTAATAAATCAGAAAACTCACAAACATTGAGCGCTATCATTGCTATCGGTGGAGTAGCGCATTTTATATAATCTCCAAGTTTATTCTGGAAAAAGGCCAATTTAAAAGCTAAGGTATAGGTAGACGCCATGAATTATTACACCGTAGAATACATACATAAGCTGAGTAACCATGAAAATATTTTCGTTAAATAAATACAGGAATAATTTCAAAGGTGAAATATTAGTCAGCTAATGAATTCTTATCTGCCATAACATTGCCTCTATTACACAAGGTTGTCTAAAGAAATTAGGCTTTTCATTATAAACACTAGATTGTGAATTCATTTAACAAATTGCAAACGATCAATCATTTTAATAAGCCTGTATGTAAGATGTGAATGGTCTTTTAACATTCTAAAAGCATAATGTAATGGAGACTCCGACAGTAGTGAACAATAACTGTCAGATCAGACAATAATTTAGTTAGGGACTACCACTAATTAGTTAAATACCCGTTTGAAACATTTGTATCACAATAATAGTCATTAGTCGAGCTATTAGCGCTGTGGTTATTGGTTAAACAGATCAAACATGCTTCTATCACTCTCAAGTCTCGAGTATCTATTGTCCGATATTTTTCCACGAGAAAATGTTGTGACGTAATAAACAACAGCATCTACTTGCAAGTTTCCAAATGAAAAATAAATAGCGCCGGCTAGCCAATTAGCAACACAATTGTTTACAAAGTGTTTCCTACACTGTATTTTTAATAATATCGAGAGAAAAACATGATTGTTTTTTGGAGATCGATAATCATCGAAGTGCTCGTTTCGTTTTAATTTTTCCTCGTTATTGTCGAGTGGAATTACATTCGATACTTGCGATGTTTCGTTGAAAATTTCCGGAGAAATAAACTCGCGTGATTCCGAGAATAATTCTGTTTAAATATCAAAGCGTTGGGATCGTTATCAGCTATATTAGTTGTCGAACAAATCGCTTCTCTTGTTAATAAAGTGGCTAGTCAAGAGTTCTTTATCACGTCCACGTTTTCTAATTACTTGAGTAGGCTACTGACAACCCATTAAGAAAGTTACTCACCAACTCATTTTGTGTGATAAGGACAAGGTGTAATTGTACTAATTGTTGTAACACGACATTTGACTGCTATAGTAATTATGTGTGGTGATGGACGACTCACGGTTGTGTCGAGACATATCTAAAGCTTTTAATTTTACATATTAAATTAAAAATTACCTTTGTTTGAATACAAGTGCCCGTTGTTAACAGTAGTGTTTCTATCTTTACAGGGAATGGCTACCACGTCGAGAAGCAGAAGAAAAGTAAGTTTTGATTTAATTTTTCACTACATCTGTTCTCGGAAATTTTATAATTATCGACGTAGTGTGACGTTAGATCATCTATAGTCTATAACCTTACTCAATAAAAACACAGTATTTATAGCTTGATGAGTTCGAGAGATTAATGAGTTAAATAAATAAACAAGCTCTTCATAATATTAGTGTAACTACTTCAATTAAAGCATTATATTGACCCAATTTATAACGAGCATGCTTCATCACCACACTGTATCTCAATAATATTACGTGGACACATTTGTATCAAGAATAGGTGCCGTCCTTTTACATAGATCTCTGTTTATGTTCTAGGTGAAACTTTGTTGAAGGTCTTTCGCAGCTTCGTAAAATAAATCAGAATATACATTGCAAAGTCGTATATTACTGTTCGGTGCGCTTTTACTGTATCCCTCGAGGACATAGCTATGACATTTGTCTGCTCACATGAAATGTGGGGAATCTTTCAAAGCGCCTCTCACTACCCGCCGTCAAGGGTCGGCAAGTATGCAGCGTATGTTTGCGAACAGTTCACAACTATGTAATTTGAAACATTCCTCGTCGGCTTTGGTCATTTATTTTGAACGTTTTGACCTGCTCAGTGTTCTGCTTAGACTTGCTGCAAAGACTCGAATATATTCCGTAAAAGAATGAAATACCAGCCGTGGGCGAGGTACCTACCTAATAGCATTTACCTCTACCTTCATATGTGTTAGTGATGGTCGTTGGCCGCCTCAGTCATGCTATTTAAAGGTCGTCAGTGTAGTGTTTTATAAATACATGTGAACTATTAACATTATTTTATTTTTATTCAGAGCATCTGATAAACTACGTACTCATGTAACTGTCAAGCTCGTTTAAATTAGTAAACGTATAATAATAGAGAGACGCCGCGCGCTGAATGCCAAACCAAATAAGAATTCTCATTATCAGAAAGCTCCAGCATCCAAGGCGTATTGTCTATTATTTGTTGTGAAGCTCAACAATTGGGTCAATGCGACTCAATAGCTTACACAGTTATATGTAATTATTAATGAACAATTATTTTCGTGCGCAATATGGCATCTTTCTCGTAAAACTGTTTTAATTTTAGGATTGCGTTTGTACCGATATGACTGTTGTTTAATAATAATACGGTTGATTTAACGCGTTCTTTGAAGCGCGGTATGTTCGGCGTCTACTCATCTTGATGCCCGATACATCACGACTCGGTTTATTTACCTACAAAGAGTTGGGCATGTCACATTTTTTCACAAAGCGGGAGGTGTTTACTGGCCACGTCGCGAGTTGACGCCGTGCCAAGCACGACGCGAGCTATTTCAATGCGAAATCCACTCGGTCGCACTCGCACCCCACCGCGCTTTATAACGCTAATCTCTCTATCAATCATTACGATTATTTTTATTTAGAATACTTTTCCTCATGAAAAATCACTTTTCACGCAACGCGTTCATGTAGGAAATATAGATTCGGTTCAATATGGGTCAATGTTAGTAAGCTTTCGTATAAATCTTTGCTAAGTATTTGTATCTGTTATTATGATTAATATTATCTGGCCTTAAATAATTTTATTGCGGTAATAAACAAATAAAATAAGAATTTAGTGGAGAGCGTGGATCTATATTTGTAGTAGTTTGTTTGTAAAAGCGTATTTTATATTGGTTATTTTTTTTTGCTTGTATTTAATTAGGTCGTCACAATTCACTTACTAGTACGATTTGGCATGGTTATCACAGCCAATATGAACAAATTGGCACCAGACACCGTGATCACGCGCAAGCTATGTCAAGGTTACGTGGAATGCCTAATTCTAATTTATTGTGAATACTTCATTACTGTAAATATTACTCCAAATGTAGATTGAATGGAAAACAGCTAAATCTAACTCTGTAATTTTACACACATAATCAAGAAGTCGTTTTATATCTTTTATGACTTTTATGAGTAATTTTCCCACTTCTTCCGCGGCTTTCCTTTATAATGTAGGAGGGGTTTGCGCTTTAAATCAAATCATACAATATTTAAATGTACTGGCCAGTGACGGACGTTGCAATCAAGGTGAAATAAGATTAAAATTCTATATTTTATCGAGTCTTACTAGATCGGCATACTAGAAAGGACACTATTTGGTAACTTGATTTACTTTAAGGACCTAAGTATTTGATTTATAGCTCCGTAGTTTATCCGTAGTAATTAAATCTGTGATGAAACTAAACTCATTTTCGCTTCGAAAAGTAAATTACTTACTTAGACTAAATGATTTCTCTTTCCATAACAGATTGGTGAAAACAAACTAGTCTATTAATTAGGTACTAAAATATTATTTTCATTATTTGCCTTTTTTTCTTTATATTAAGTCGAAAGTAGTAAGAAGAGATCATCGTAGTTTCGGTTTTTGTGATAGAAATACCTAAATGAAAAATGTTGATCACACAAATTAATAATATAATTATGATACTTTGGTCATGGGACTCGTACCTACGTATTTAACTAATGAAACAATCAATTAGATAGTAAAGAGATTTATAATAGTACGAAAATTAAAATAAATAAAGTACTGGATAAGCCAAACAAAACAAGTAGCAAGGAGGTTACACCTAAACTTTATGCGCAGTTCTCGCGGTCGCGGGTATGAGACTATTCCAGCACTTTATGTATTACTTCAAGAAGGTTATATTACGTAACTTAGGTACTTTATGTCAGGGTTACTGTACTTCATACATAGTTCTCATAGTTCTCAAAGTGGCTACACGAAAAATCTGGGTCTTGCATAAACTTGTATTAAGTGTGTACTTACCTTATATTGAGGAACTCTGGTTGTGAACATTCTTTGCACGTTACTACTTTTGGACATGTAACGTTTCTTTAGAAGTGAATCATCGTAGTGTTTTGCGAAAGGTTTCTTGAAAACGTGACATCAAAAGACTGTCTGTCTGTCAAAAGTGGTATCAAAGATGTTCGTAATAATAGGGTAGTTGCCTAAATTTTATTCTAATGTCCGTATGGTAGATTAATTTAAAACATTAGACACGTATTTTTTATTTCTCACAGAATTAAATACTTTCGACGATATAATAATCTGAAATCTCGTGTGACGTCACAATACGCCACATTTTGTAGCACTTAGTGACGTAACGACCTCCCACTCCTAAACTTAACTCCATTTTATCAAAGTATTTTAACTTTATACAAGAAAATAAAAAAATATGTGTCTATATTTTTTCATTATCTAACTGACGGTCTAATTAGATTTTTATTTTTCAATCCCTGGCAACAACTACCCTATTGTGTTAATAATTTAAAGTATTTTTCATAGAGTTTAACTATAAATAGTAAATGTAATTCAGTATGACAGAAACAAAACTCAGTTCGTCGAGGTGGCTGCTTAGTTTGTCATCTATTGGACGTACCAAACAACACTAAACAAACTTGTTATTTCATATTAGTTTCTTAATTGAATAACAATGTTTGGAAGCTATTCAATTTAATGACAAGAGAAATAAAGATATCTTTACAATGATTTAGTAATTTTGACAGGAGCTAATTCTATAATGGCTTGGCACCATAGAGCAACACGGGCCACCGGCGGACCGGAGGGGAGTAGCCATACGCAGGCGTTCCCCTCTGTCAAAGTATAAGTCCAAATGGTCCTATGCGTACAATAAAACTAGTTGCAACTCAACTGCTCACCAGACTAAATCTAGTTGCGTTAGTGAATCGACGGCGTCGTAAAAATGCCGAATTGTTCTGTTTTTTGCTACAACAAGAGATCTGCCACGTCAAATTTACAAAAACATGGTGTTACCTTTCATATTAAGTAATTTTTAACCACATTATTGCTATTTACTTCTTATAAACTTAAAAAAACAACAATATTATCAATCGTCTTGTTTCGGATTTGTTTACCAACAAATCCGTGCGTACTCATACAAAACGCGGATCGGTCGAGCGACAAATCCGAGTTTTTTTCCTAGAATTCGCTGTCGCCGAGCGATAGCGTTGTTGCCGGTTTGTTTGTAGATAGTTATCGATAAAAATGTAAAAGCTGAAGTCAAATGTGAGATTTTTTGGGATTAAGTTTTCTGATTTAAATAAAAAATACTGAGTGAGAACTTCAACTATATTTATTATTATTATTATTTTATTTATTTATTGCAGATTTCCTAAAGATCCAAATTTAAGAGATATATGTAAGACATTTTGTCATAACAGACCAACCTGGATTCCCACAAGAAATATTGCCATTTGCTCAAATCAAGATGTATTAGCAAGATTAATAATGCAAAATAAACTGATACAATAATTTCTAACTTATTGAAAAAAACAAAACCCCCAAAAATGTATTCGTCATATCTAAAGAAAATTAATCTATTTTAAAAACCAGTGATAGTTCCATATCAGTATTTCATCGCTGGTTTTTAAATGGGATTAGTAATTTAATTTATTTAAAAAAATTAAAATTTTATTTGTTATTATTATCTTGTCTGATTATTGTAGTAGTAGGTAGTTAGGGGTATAATAATTAATTAGGTAAAAAAAATGGTATAATAATTAAAGTCAATAATAATATCTGTCTTTGAATAAATTTTTAAAGCTAATTTCCTTAACGGAGTTCTTGAATTTATCGATAATGCGTATCGATAATTGTTACAACTGCGGGTGTAAGTGTAGTTGCGTCATATTATTACACTATTACGACAGGGATTGTTTAAATGTGTGTGTGAAATTGTCAGTGTATTTTTCAATTGTCATAGTGTGAGTTTCGTAGTGACATAGAATGTTTTTGTGTGAGAATTTGAGAATGTGTGATTTCCCCCCGCAAAAAATGACAGACAGTTTTGTATCGGTTTATAACGCAATGGCTACTCCCCTCCGTGTTGCTCTATGCTTGGCACAAATCAGATCTCTGTGTGGTCAGGATTTTAAGCGTTTCTTACTATGCTAAGCATTTTTTTACATTATTTTTTAATAGGAAGCATGGGCGGGAATATTATGTGGGCAGGTAGACATAGCGGAGCTTGGAGCCAAATGCAGTAGTAACATGTTACATTTAAAGATCACAATGGTAATGACATAGTCCTATAAATAGGGGCGTCTGCGACCGCTAGAACAGTTCATTTCTCTGCGTGTTTAGTCGACGCAGAGAAATAATCCAGCCAGCCCGTCACCAGCCCGTCACCACCGTAACTATACCCTCGCCACCATGAGTGATGTAGGTACCTACACACAACCCCTCCCCTTTTCACAAATTTTACAAAACGATGTAGACAAACGTATTATTATTTTCACTAGATAAGCATGCTTTATTGATCAGACAATAGTCCGATAAAACGAATGACAAGATTGATAACAGCAGCAAATTGATAAAAAAAAATCAGTATCAGTTCGCTTTATTTTCTTACATTACTCGTTAATAAACACTGCGCGTTGGCAGTGCAGTCAGACGCGATATAGATTGTGAAATAGTGTGTATGTCTGATAACAGTGCGGTGTTTGCTCCACAGCAGGAAGATGAGAAAAAGAGTAAGAAGAAACAGTCGCCCGTGGACGACCGGCCCGTAGTCCCAGCACCCAGTGAAGCTATGCTCAACAGTAAGTATCTACATACCTACAGTACATACTCAGTTACTCACACTCTTCTCAATGTATCACCTACTTTTCAAGTTCCACTTACCACTTCGTAAATAACGAGCACCACTCAAAACTTCAGATATTATTCAAAACTAAATAACTCAGATAAAATATGTTTTTATTTCACAATTTATCTTTTGCTATGCGACGTTTCTGAAAGATTTACTTTAAGATATTTTTCCTGTTTCATATTTTAAAAAGATTTTTATAAATTTAGTTTTGTGCGCTAGACCATAAAATATGTTTTTTTATTTCGTTACTGTTTTTATTTGGAATTCGCAATAAACTAACTTGATATTTTAATTGATGTTTACATTTTGTCGCCTCATGGATTGACCCGAAAATTGTGGGTTTGGGCTAATTGTATGATCGATTGATCCACCCACACTCGCTGTTCGGTGCCAATGTATTAAACTAGGCATTGTTTATCTTTGTACTGTTTGACATCAATCAGAACTATTGTTGTCACTTCCAGGAAAGTCCATTATATTGGTTACTTTTATTTCTTTGTTTACTTTCTTTTGCGAATGTTGTCTTTCATGGATTAACGAAATTAAAATGTTTGTGGATATGTCAACAACTCAAATCTAGGTAAGTCAGTTGTCGAAAAGAATAGTTGTTTTTTGTTCGATAAAAGAGATAAAGCATGGTGGCCACGAAATCTTATCTTAGTGCAAAGCCAAAAGGAAGTATGACGCACAATAAAGACATGTCATTGTCGTATTTACGAAGTGAGAACATACTATGTAGCAATCTAATGTTTGTTACATCCAATGACTTATTACAGAGCGATCTCATTAACAATGAAATCCAGTGATAAGCTAATCATGACGTTGTTTATTGCAAATTTATTTGTACACCAATTGTACGAGTACACCCCGGCGGGTTGTCAATGCAGATATTTTATTAAAAGCATCTAATCACAGATTAAGCAAATTGATTAATGAACGTAGAGTGGGCGGGTAGATTTGAATACGAATGAGATTAATTTCGACAAGATTTATTAAACAAATTAGCAAATAGCTGCCACCGTTGAGATGCGATTAAAATAAAGCTGCTAATAAAATATAAGAATTTATTACTAAATCAATATTGTTTCGTAGTAACTTCAATTAATATTCATGATTGTTTTTGGCTTCGTGCGCCTAGCAGCCATTGACTACTCATTACTTCGTAATCTCAAACTGGCACAATTTTTTTTAATGTTGGTTTTAATCCGTAATATTAAAGAGCAGACATTAAAGCCTAGAAGTTCAGCCTTTCTTTCCCTCCTTATACTAGTTGAAAACTTTTTTGTTCGAACTATTCTGATCTAAAATCAACATTCAAAACAACCCAGTATAGAGAGAGAGAGAAAACAATACAAAGATTTTGTTTCGTATATCACTTCATTATAACATCTTTTTGAGAAGAAAAAATTAGGTATTTTCCTTAGTCAAAAATAAATTATTTCGACTGTTCAATACAATAAATAAAATATTAAAAAATAATCACACTTTCATTCATTGATTTTATGACCAACTTAATTTTAGTATTTTTCTAGCATATTTTTAAGAAATAAGTATGCTGTTTGACGCAAAAAAAACGTGACGTCACAATACACAATCTCGTACAAATTCGACAGTTCGAAAAAAGTATTGAATTCGTCTAGTTGTCAAGTACCCAATTTTAAAACTGGCACTCTCTGTATAACTCGTTTATTCTGCCGATTATGAAATTCAGTCAGTACATGCGAAAATATCGTTGGGAAAACCTTATTCGATTTGTCCTTGAACACTGCATGCGTGCATGCACGTGTCAGACTAAGCACCGTGTCATACTGATACATATTTAATCGCGATTTCGATGTATATCAATAAAACCAGGTATATCCTACTAATATTATAAATTCGAAAGTGTGTGACGATGTTTATACATCGATATATATGTATGTTATAATTTCATGAAAAAACTATTTTAGTTTGGATGACATTTGGTGCAGAGATAGATATAGTCTGGATTGATATATAATAGGGGTATTTTTTATCCTTGTCGAAACCGCTGGCAGAATGAAAGTCAAAGTCAAAGCATTTATTTCAATTAAAGCATAATTTGGTAGGTACTTTTGAAACGTCAACAAATACAAAATAAATAATAGTCTGTCAGTCAGTCCGTCAGTGAAGCTAGGTGAAGCTAAATACAATTCTTACTAAAAAAAAAACAAAAATCGATCAACATAATATATCCAGTATCAGTGTTATACTATATCTGCTAAGTGATCTTGAACTTGAGCATTTTAATATGAAGTGGAGTAATATGAATGTTTCATGAAAACAAAACAAACCATTAAGAATGATAATGGATGAAAGCATCTGCATTAGCAGCAGTGACTGTGAGATTATTATACCTCTAATTAAACGTGATTATTGAAAAGAAGCCATCGGATCTTTAATAACATATACAATTATTATACAGGTACTCTAAAGTATACTGTATGAAAATTGATATGAACGGAAGCTTCGAAAATGAGTATGCCATGTATGCTTCATAGAGACTCTTTCCAATGCTCGTGGACGTAAAGGACGCTATTTTTTTGGCACTGCCGCCGATAAAACCATTTTGTTGGTTTTCCAAAACATTTTCATTTGAATTTCATTTCAATTTAAAGAATCTCTGCGATTGCTCAATAATATAATTGGGATGATGCCACCGTATGAAAATTAAAAAATCTAATTAGTCCGCAAGTTAAGTAATGAAAAAATCATTAGACACGTTTTTTTTGTTTTGCTGTACAAAAAAATAATACTTAGAAAAACGAATTAAAGTTTAGGACTGGGAGCTAAAACGTCATTTCTACGTATAAAATGAACATAGAAGTGACGTCATGCGACATTTTAAATCGATATATCGTCGAAAGTATTCGTTGCTGTAAGAAAATAAAAAATACCTGTCTAATGATTTAAAATAATCTACCAGACGGACATTAAAATAATAACTAGATATATACCCTATTACATAGGAATACGGTATAAAATGAGCAAGTGTATTTTCCTGATATAATTTGTAAACAGAAATGTTTACCACGCGTTTCCTGGCACAAGAATGACAAGAATCAAATATCTTGAAGCTTAGATCACATGATGCGATTGTTTACACAATAACTGCAGGTACAGTCAGCCAAACTATTCGATATGCAGTCAAGAATATAAAGATTGACTCAGACTCAGACAGAGACACTTCATTGATTGGTTACTAAACCCACCAATGATTACAAAAGCCTTATGTACCATCACTTGTTTCTGTGTACATTAAAGTTTAAAAAAAAGAAAGATATGACTTTGTTAAAAAGCATGCCGCTTAGTATGACAATGACTATTCATATTTGTACTGTGTCAATCTTTATTTTAACCGACCTCTCAAGGAGCTGTTTTCATTCAGATAATGTTTTTTTCTTATCTGCACACTTAATAGTTTGTCTAACCCAACATAGAACATATACGTACCATTCTGTTACATGTATATTGTATGAGTTTAATGTACACAAGACGAAATCCTCTTGCATGAGGACATTATCAATCAAGTTGTTATCAGTGAGTGTAAACATTTGTATATAATGTCACGGTCTGCTCCGCCTGTTGGCTATCTAAGTATCTACCTCTAGTGCGATCATTGAAAGGTACACTACTATTCTATAGTTGTATGGGGATTGATGTGATGCTCTTTTGTATTTTATTTATTGACGGATGAAAAATTATGTTCGATACTATTATTCAGACCCATTCTCTATGGCAATCAGTCAATTTATTTATTTCTTTAAGTTATAATATACACGTAAACATATATAGTTTTAGTATTAATTATGATAGGGCCGTTGACTATGTTATGAATGAATTATATCTCAAATATCATTAATGGCTATCTGTTACAATTATACACCTCTGTAATATCCAGTACAAAATTGTAATCGCCTTATTCAGTTAAGAAACAAAGTATGACGTAGATACAATGAACAATGTTATTGTATCCGACGATCTCCATCCTCGCTTCATACCGCTAGCATCTGTACCAGGAACGTTTAAAATAATCATGTAAATCGAAGAAAATGAGTCGAGTCACGAAAAAAATCGCGTTTCCTAGAACATTGTATAGGTGGAAGATATTTGTGGAACGGTGGCGATACGCCGGGAATATCACTGTTTGGACGCACTGGTCATTATCACCGGCATTCCTATATAATCTGTGGTCTAATATAACTGGTCGCTAGGCGATTAACGTTTATTGATGGTTGCGCACTAATTGTGTTGCGTTTTGTTTTCTTTAATTTGATGAAAATGTATAAGATGTTCAAGTATAATAAGAAAGTATATTAGTTTAGTGATCATGTGAATAGTACTTCACTCATTTGTCCCCAGTAATTCGTGTTCGTTTTCAACTATTCATGGCTATACCATAAATATTCTATAGCTTGAATTACATATTTACCAAGTTTATGAGCCATATTTCGATATTTCTTCGCAAATTGATAGCATAAACAGTTGCCTTTATGTTAATCCAGGTCATGGTTTAAGTGAATATCGAGTTATTTAGTAATTTGTACATCTTTCAACATTTCAAAGAAACCTTCACAATTCACATGTCTCATACAAAATGATGTCATCGTAGTCACTGATTTGATGTAGGTATCGTTCAAGTGATTCATTGACCAGTGAGATAATAATTTTATATCGTTTTGGTATACAGAACAACTGATTTAAAATAACATTTAGGTAGGTACAGGCACTGAAAATTATTGAAACATATCTCAAACGAAATGAAAATATCCTACCAACCACACGTGAAAAAATTAACACACATGACACTTAACGACAACTTTTTTCACGGTTTTTTCAAATGACTCAATTTCAAACACTCTAGTCTGCAGATGAGTTTCGTAATCCACACATCACAGGTTTTCGTAATGTGCTAATAAAATTAAAAGAACATGGTCTCCTGGTCTGATAAATGTCTGAGCTAAAAATATAGATGAAGAATTCGGAAATGATGTCAGAACTCAGAATAAAGACGATCTCCTCATTTAGTCATCTGAATTACATTGGACAGAATGTTTGAAGCTACTACTTAAGTACTTACTGGTGAAGTCGAAATTGATAAATCAACCACAGGAACAGCTTCTATGCATTTAAGTGACATAAGAAATTTTTTGAACAGTTATTTTGACTACTTAATGATAGGATATGGATATAACTTGTCTACCGTTTCCTTTCACCCTTAGAATATTTATCATGTTTAAGTTTCATTTACGTAAGGTATCTAAATTTAAATTAAGAATTTATACGGAATAAAATATAGAGCTGTATGCAGAACTTGCATAATATTAATCGTCACTGAGAACAGTTTTAAAATTGCAAATACAAAACCACCGAGTCGCCAGTATTTCGTGAAACATGTTTACGAAAACAAGAACAATGAGGCGGTCACGTCACGTCACACCGGCTGTCTATCTATAAAGAAATCCATGGCTAACATCAATCTTCTCTTTAAAAAGTTAACGAGTAGTTTTACGTCCCATATTTTTCTATTTCGACATTTCCATGTTTCATCCAGCGTTGTTAACGGTCTATCTGTCGGTCTGTTGATGTTTTCTTTTCTATAGTCTTATCTAGATAGCAATGGCTCAAAATAATTTAGTGCTGAGATAAAACAAGTACGCGTAACAATGTTTAATCTTTTGTCAATATTGCCTGGTATGTATATGACGAGACGAGACTATTTTAGTGAAACGTAGTGTAGATAGGAAAGGTACGATCGCGTCTAGATAAAACTTGCGATAAACATAAGATGTGCCCGAAACACGACTAATAAAATATAACGAGCCTGTGAATTATTTATCGATTTCAATAATATTACAAGTGTGATGACCATGAATAGGGGAAATGATTTCTGTGAGTATACTATCAGTGTTTTGTTCTTGATAAATAGTTGTTGTGTGACTTTTCCTCGTAACATTTGAAACGTTTACAGCATGTATTTACACGCGTTGTAAAAAGGTTCTTTTAACATTTTACCACCTTGTTTTATGTCGGTAAAATGTAGCGGTTTTATTTTAGCAGCCTTTCTGGAAATTCTGGTTTAATCTCAAATGTCTGCGAGAGAACTCGTAACTCAGAGAGCATAATTTCTGGGCGCATATTAAATAGTTTCGTTCTTTCCTTTGCGATCTTAGAACTGACTTTTTATACTGGGTTTTGTTCCTGCTTGCAATTCCACCGAAATCGTGATTGTGTAATGTAGTATATATGTATGTACTACTTAGCATACACCCTTGAAACACAGGTGCTACACTTTTTATTATTTCGTAAGGTGAAATACAAAATTCCTGCTACGCCGTAGCGTGTATTTGTGCCTCGAATGTAACTTGCTACGGCGTAGCACAGTTACTTAAACTTTAAATTGCTACGACGTAGTATTTTTTCATATGTTTTTATAATAGTTTTTTATCGAAAGGGCTTTCGTCGCTAACGTTAAATGTTCGTGATTTTCGAAGCTAAAGTGTTGACATTCCGATAGAGTATGTAAGACGGGAATACAGGATAGTGACGTAATGGCTTGAAGCTACAATATTTTAACATGGATGCTCCATTTACTTGAAACTGTTACGGAACACTTACATCATAAGATGTTTTCTGTCCCACTTACTAAGTTGTTTGTGCTTTTTGAACTACATTGAAAACTTGAGGGTTCTCCGAAATTAATTACGTGTGTTTATCATAATTGCTAAGAAATGTGAGATCGTTATTATGTTAATAACGATCTCACATTTCACTGTTACAATATAGACTTTCTCGGTAGTCCCTTGATTGAAACTTAAACCACCAAGAAGGAAAATTCGAACCCAGATTTGAATATTTCAATCGGCGAAGTTATGAAGAATTTTGTTCAAAAGCATAGACAATAATTTTAATTTGCCGAGTACAATTTATCTTCATATAGTATATAAATAATAACTCAAAATAACTTCTCTATCTATAAACCTATCGTTCGTCCAGTCTTTATCCATTCATAATGATATCATATTCAGATAGGTATAACATTTATTGTTTCATTTCCTTCAGATCTACGCACGGCATTCGGTCTGCTGGACCGCGACAGTGATGGTCACGTGACTCCAGCCGAGCTGCAGTTCATGCTCCGGAACCTCGGCATCACCGTCAGCGACGACCTCATCGGTGAACTCATTAAGGATGCCAGTAAAACTGGTTAGTATGTTGTTTACATTGGTTATTATTGTATTTTTTTAAATATTGCTCTTGTGGCTCATCTAAGAGCCTTGTTTAGCAGTCGATGTTTTTCGTCTAAAAATTATGATAATGATCTTTGATATGCATTAAAGAAGGTACACTCTTTCTTGTTCTTGCCACCTTTTTCCAACTGTTTTTTCGTTTAAGAGAGAGATCCTGGTTCTTAAACTCTAATCAAATTGATGTTGGTTAACTCAGTCAATCTATATTTAACTTGTAACTTACCCATTTTTAAAAACGATTAGCAGAATACAGGTAGGTACTTCTTATAATTAAATTCGATGAAAGAACAGAATATATATGACGCAAAACGCAAGAATATAATTTGACGGAAACTTATTAGTGAGCAAAATTGGCCCTAAACCTGACTTTGTCAAGGTAGATGTTTGTTTCTATAATATTCAGTTGGCTAGCCAAACCAAATTACGTCATAAATATCGCGTCCCACGCTTTGGTCGCATGCAAGAAGTCCATCATACTCGGTAATGGGGCGATGGGCGTAAATCGTTGCGGTTTGTTCGCAAATTACGGCGCACCGACACGACGAACGGTAGCCTGTCGATCAGACGCGGACTAAACCTGGAGACCGGCCTAGGCAAGTACTTCGTTTTGCCGTTGGGCAGTTGGGCACGCCCGTCTCGCGTCGCCCCTTTGTAACCTAGGGCCCCTAAGCACTTACCTAGTTCACTTTTAGGACAATAGGGCTCTGCTGACGATCATTGCATGCCAGCTCGCCATTAAATACCTCCTATCCTACTTATACAGATGCATATGTAGCCAGTTTATGTTCAGAACGTCATAAATTACAATGCAAAGCGACTCGTAATTGCCTGTCATTTATTCATCGCAGCTTTTACACAAAACATGGCAATCGCGTGATCTCATCAACAACTTTGTTTTAATCAAATATTATTTTTGTATTTTCTTTTCCTCGTGAAAATACTATAACTGTATAAATTAAAAGGTGAAGGTTTTTCGTTCTGTTAAGGTAACGTCAAAAACGTTACCAACAAGTTGTTTTCTTTAACAAGTTGATTTGACTTTTTATGCTTAAATAAATATTTATGAACGATCGTCGTATTTTATGACTCAATAACATTTGGGAGGCACGCACGCGGTATATGTTGAGGTTACGGAGTATTACGAAGAAGGTACATATGAAAATTTGAGACGATAATGTCATTTATCTAGGCGCAATTTCCTTTGTCTAACCTTGACGCGTTCGAGACAGAGTTCAAATTACAATAAACTTTCTAGATCTGGGTTAAAATAATAGAGGGAAACAGAATAACTTTAAATTTTAAGTAAGTATTTTTTATTAGTAGCAACGGTTTATAGAGTATACATGTTATATCAGACAAGTCATAAAATGTCCACTATATGACTACACTATTTAGTTTTTACATTGAATATCTGCCCACATAGTGAGAGTTTTGTGACATTCAATAAATTATGCATATTATTACTGCTATGCACTGTTTTATGCTAGCAAGTGTTCAACTGTGAATGTCAGTTACAAAGAGCACGGAGCTGTAACAGTTAAAATTAAAATCTGTTTACATTATCCTGATATATTGCGTCATATAGTAATTGCTGAAAGAATGTTGGCATAGAAAATATATGAAAACTTTAGTAAAAGTAGACGCTTTAGTAATTTTCCTCATTATAATACAAAGCGTGAGCAGTAAGTTTTATATTGCCTACAGCATGAATAAACAAAAACTGATTAAATCGATGACGCAGTTAATTCAGAGGGTTATTGTAAAATGGCGTGCGCGCCAAGTCGGGCGGCTTCCGGCGCGCGCGACCCTCAACCTGCCGATTGCCGGGGAGGTACCTAAGTACCCCCGTTACCTGCGCTTTTCCAAGTCGTAGTGACGTAATTGATAAAGTTCCACTTGATCACTCATCACTGGACTGCCTAATTGGCTATATAACTTGGTTCATTACTTTGCGTGTCCCGAGATAGGTACTCTGTTAACTTTTAGTATTGCAGGCTTGCGCCATAAGCTAAGTGATTGACGGCTTTATGGTGCCTTACAAAACTTGTAAAAATAAAACAAGACTTGACTTTATTGGTGATAAAGACCGCAATATTCATTCACTATTTATTTGCTTTACGAACCGCAGCCAGTACTTCATACTTGTATGAACAAAACAATTTACATTGTAGATATACGTATGTTTGTTTCAGAGTATGACGCCCGATGCAGATAGCTCCTTGCCAAATGCATAGTTATGTACTGACACAAGTACAATAAATAACATTCTTTCCTTAAAAATACGAGACATTTCTCGATAAACCATTTTCGCGGTCTTTTGTTATTTCCTGTGATTACTAATGGACTTATCAGATAATATGTAAAGATAAGTACAGTAGTACACGTAAAATATATTAAATTAAATTGAGACAGTTCAGGGCTTCAATGCCGCTATCACAGAGCGGGGTACCCCCACGCCACGCCCGCTCTATCTACCATCGCACCCTGGTAATCTCTTGATCCAATCAGATTGTGTCCTAGCCGAGCACGAGGTTAACATTCTGAACACGATAGAAAAACTATCCATTAATTTGATACGAGTTTGTCACGTTCCCGCGCCGCCACTGTGATTTATGTGTATCACGCCACCGCTGCTAAATGTATGAAGATTCATGCCATGCATAAATATGTACCTACTATGTAGACAAATAACCCGCTGCTGTCGTGTAAGATACCTACTTTAAATAATAGTCTGCTTCGGGAGCAATTCTAGAAAATAAAGGTGCAGCGGACAGCCACAGGTGGTGCTAAATTCCCTCAATGTTGTCTACGTACCGTCTCTACCTCTAAAAGTTGCACATCTGGCACGCTCCGCATAAATTTGAATAAATTACCTCCAGCAAGAAATTCTAAACACACCCTCGTATTAAATATAAGGATAATTATTTTTGTTTATTAGCAGGAATGAACAATAATCTTAGTAAGCAACATAAAAATATACTGCGATCGTAAGACTGCCTACAATAATAAAACTTTATGAATGACGAGGTCTCACTTTATGGCTAAACATTGATAATGACTGTTATAATTAACTGGAATTAATGCTGTAAGCAGAGGGCGGACTGCTGACGTCATGACTTTAACGACTTTCCCTGCCACCGCGTTAATTAATTAAGATTTAACGACTTTAAGCCCTTTTGTTAATTGTCACATAACATTTTGTTACATATTATTTGGGGGCGATTTTATATTATTTTAATAATAATAATGGTGGGGTGCGCGTTTATTTTGTCGTAAATCTTTATCTGTGACCTGAAAAAGGTTTTCGTAGGAGGTCGGTTGTGTTGTGCGGGTTGGAATGTCGGAACACATTACGAAAGAAAGTCGTTTAAACGTGTAACTGTTCATGTTTGTACGGCTTTACGGTACGGGGGAGCGCGGCACGCTCTTGTTCCAGAATTATTCTGTAATATTTTTACATAATGTTTGATAAGCATGTTTAGCAACACCGTACAAGACAACGTTTGTATTTTGCATTCTTTCCCTCTAGCATAATATCCCGTTTGGCTCTAAGTCTAATGGGGAATTTAAAGCTACATTGTCAAAGTACCATCATTGAACGTCAGTTTTCGACTGCTTTAGGGATTTTTAAATCAAATAGTAGCATTTTAATCTGCTTGGGAATTCAACTGCAGGTTTTAAAGACATATTTGATATCAAATTTCAGGTAATAGGTTATTAACTTATTATACTATTGATGGATTTGAACTGAATAAATTGTCCAATCGTATGAACTTTACTGAACATATGAAATTATGTTAATTGCAGGTAACGGTCTAATAGACGAGAATGACTTCATGCAATGGGTGACGAAGATACAGGCGTTACAAGGGCTGGATGTCACGACGAGCGGCGGCGACTCTGAAGAGGAGATCACAAGAGATCTACTCGCAGCATTTAAGTGAGTACAGACACCATCGTTCATCCTTATTTAATTACAACTAGCTTTTACCTGCGGCTTTGTCCGCGTATTACTGTTTCATCCTGTAGGAACATTTAATCTGGCTAAAAAGTTAGCCTATACCCTGCCTGTATACCAAATTTCATCAAAATCCGTTAGTAGTTTCAGCGTGATTGACGGACAAACATCCAAACAAAGAAGCTTTCACATTTGTAATAATAATATCATTACTAACAGATTATCATTGGCAATCCAATTCAATAATTATAGATGCTCTCCTGGAGTTAGATATGTGGTGTATGTATAATGTCTTGATAATAACAAAAATGACAATTATCTATCCAATTCCTAGTCCGGTATGTACGTACACATGACTAGTAGATGATAGTAGGTAGACTTATCTATAGTCGATACCAACCCACGGAAACCTATTTTTCAACCCCTTTTTATGTAAAGTTTGACTGATTCCAGTAAGGACTTCTCTACTTACCTAATTAAAGTTTTGAACCTTAAATTCTGCAATAAAAAATAGTTTGCTAAAATCCATTGATTTTAATATACTGATTTCCTTTTAAAATATTTCCAGGGTGTTCGACCGCGATGACAACGGGTATATAACGCGGGACGAGCTTCGAGCAGCGTTGGAGATGATCGGCGAACCAGTTACTGACGCGCAGCTGAATCAAGTCCTGGCACTAGGAGACATCGACCATGATGGCAGGATTGACTATGAAGGTAATTTACCCAGTACACAATTTTACAAGTGGAGTAGCATGTACCACAAACAGAAAGAACAGAAGTTGACGTGTCCAAACTTTATTGCAGCTCCATCTACGCAACAAATCTTTGAAAATCAAGACGTTTGAAAGAGTTTAGTTAGATACTTGTCTAAACTTACGTTACAGCGTTACAGTGAGATTTTACTACAAACTCTTGTGTTTTAAATTTTCAGAATTTGTAAAGATGCTGTTGTAACCTGTACCTCGCTGAACAAGACCTCATTAGTTATAATGTAGCGTAAAGATGGACGGTCGGCGACGAGTGGTACTGATCTGATTGCGGGAGGCGGGTGCGGCAACGATACCCTCACGATTATGGTAGTACAATTACTACCAAATATATCACCCACTTACAGATCATATGCAAGTACTTAATAGTCGGCAAATGTTAAAATTGTTGTAAATAGGAATAATTTTGTAATTAATAAAATAACAAATAATCTGTAGTTACTAATTTAGGATATTAATGTTACCGATGTATAATTAAATATATATTTTGCATACGTAATTTGTTTATCGAATATTATACTACCTACTTATGTAATAAAATGGCCTAAGTAAAACACGATCTATATTTTTTAATAAAAGACATCAAAACATGGATAAACCTATTTATGTATACTTGAGAACAGTTTAGTATAAAGAGAACTTCAGTACAAATATTTATTTTACTGCGGAATTTAATTTTTTTAATAAACTATGTATTTACTCTTAGCTTAAGACCTTAGCAATTTAGCGTATTAGTTATTGAAATACCAGCCTACCTATAGCTAAATTCATTGCGATTATTTCTTTGATAAAGAAAACCAGACGTCCTTCCATAAAATAATATCCAAAAATACTTTTTGAATAGTTTTCATCGATCAATTCGAACGTTTGAATGCAATGTCTACTTACAAGAATATTAATATAATAATATTGTAATTTTATGGTTGTGAATGATAAGTTACAACAGATTGTTATACTTATGAATTAAAGTGGTATGAGTATTGATTATTTATTTTTTATAACGCAATTTGCACATCATCGCTGTTATTTATTTTTTTAATTTTTTAATCTGCGCGCGAAACGATTTCATTGGCAGCCATTTTTAACCGCGAAAATATTAAATACAAAATAAATGACGTGGTGTGAAAAGGTGCGTGCGTACCTATAGCTGCTCCAGTAAAAATAAATTAATATCATTAATTTACCTACATTGATTACTTTCTGAAAGTGTATCTTTTGTTTCAAGATATAGAACAAAGTTTCTAAGTTTGTTGATCTTTCCAATAACAATAAGTGCCCCCCTACACTAATTTACCTACCTACCAAAAATTCTGAGGAATGAAAGTGAGTAATACATTTTGAATATATTATTTATTTCTGTGCCACAGTAGAAAACCAGATGGTAGTAAGCACCTAGGCAATATTTATTCTAAATAAATATTTTAATAGAATCCCATCAAATCAAATTAATCCATGCCTGCCATGAATTTGCCGATAAAATCGTATCGTTTTGGCTCAATAGTTGGATTCCAATGTCTGATCACATGAGACTTCTGTTGCCACGAACTCGTTATTTCTTTGAGTTCGATGTAGCCCTGTAACCATAAATCTGTTTTAAATTGGTTTTAAGTACCTGAATAACTAACTACTTAGGCACTAGAAATAAAAATTGTATTCGAGAAAAATTACCTATTTCTATAGTAGGCACAATATTACTTAGCTTTTACGTTTTACTTTGGGATAGGGAGACAAACGACCAAACAGTAAGCAATCATATGACGGTAAGCAGTTCGTGCTTCCCATGGACACTTCGCAACACCAGAGGAGTTACAAATGCACCTAATGGGTTACCGGCATTTTGGGAAGGATGCCTGAATCTTCGGTAACCTCACTGACATTGCGAAGCACAACACAATGAGCAACATTATGAAATTAATAAGCAAGTTCTATGTTCATGTGTAATCTAAGGTAAAAGGAAATAACAATGTTTTACCTTTATCACCAGTAAATCGATGATTCGTACATCAGTGATGCAGGCGTTCCTATAAAAATACTCTCTCAACTTCCATCGACAGTCTTGTTCATTCTTCTCAATGTCGAAATATTTTACTAAAAGTACAATTTCATATTATAAGTGTTTATCGGATTGAATATTATAGGGTATTAAGAATTGAAATTCTCACGGACTTTGGACCTACACGTTAGGTACCCGAGGACATAGGCTGAATAGTGAAAAACTGGCGAATAGAGAACGTTATGTTTGGTATAGTATAGGTAGGAATGCTTGCTCGCTCTGCACATGCCTTCGAGAAATAGGTAAATATTCCATCGTAACTTACTGATGTAAGGAATGTATCTATAAAACGCCCTGTACAGTCCGATCGCACGTCTACGAGCTTCTTTGCAATCTTTGGACATCAAAGGTCTGACGACCTTGTAGCCTACTTCACACATTATGTTGTTGCTGTTGTCAGAGAATTTTTATGATTTGACGTTTTCAAAATGTTTGTCGTTTACCTATCGAAAATGTCAATTTTGAAGTATAGTGGGCAAGGTTTTACTTTTTACTCATTTTGATTTAGATGTAGGTTTTATCAAATTATTTTTAGACTTAAAGGTTACTTAACAGTCCTAAATCAGTTAAAAAATGACTATACCTATTGCTACTGTTTTTTGGACAAAGTTTTAATATTTTTTTGGACAAAGTTTTCTTATCTACATATTAGTGTGAACAAAATATCACATTGGTGTGAATAGTATTTTTAAATATGAAATAAACAGTCTATTACATTATGGTCTTCAAAGTATGTGTGCTAGAGTAGGGAAAATACTTGTTTACTGAAATGAGACATTAAAGTTAATCGAAGACAGTTCAAGATTTTCTGCATCCTTTGTATTATTTTACAAAGATTCTGCTAATAAATGCAAGGGTGTTTCGAGTACTAAGGCTAACTATAGTATCCTCTTACTATCACCTAAGGTTTATCGCTACCAATAAGTACACGAAAAAAGATAATTGGGTATACTAAACAAAAACTACATTGAAATTGCAACAAATATTATTTGAATGATCTATTTCTCAACATTTTTTTTATAACTTAGTTTATGATTTGACTATGTACATATTTCTATATTGAAATTGTTTATTCATTATTGCCAGTAAAGAATTTTGAAAGGAAATCTTTAGGTTTTGGTTCTTCAGTGGGCTTGAAGTAGGACATTACATGTCCTTTTTGTTTCCATATGTTTACTGTTTCCTTGAGCTCCATTTGACCCTGTAATAGATAATGGATCCATGTATTACCACTTTATAAGTCATGTGTATGACAAATAACGGACAGACAGCAGAGACTATTGGCTGATATTTTTAATGCCACATGATTTTATTAGAGAAATATTTTACAATTGTTCCATAATTACTAATAACTGTCAAATGTCAATTTTATTCTACAGTTAAAAGTTAACTCGTCGAGTACCGGTTTTATAGACACAATTAAAGAACAATAGGTCGCGGTCACCGGTGACCGCTTGGTGTTTGACAGTTTAACTGTTAATAAAAAATCAGCCTGTAGTAATTGGGTTTACAATTATTAATGATTTCAAAAAAAGAAAGAGGTTCTCATTTTAATCTATATGTTTGTGTGTGATTATCTCGCAATTGGCTGAACCGATTATGATGCGGTTTTCAGAAAATTGTTTGTTACACTTAGGAGAAGCGTTAAGTATACTAATAAACCAATCCACCCATCCACAAAAATGAGAGGGGTTTGAAGTCAGCATTCCTAAATGTAGTGTATTAAACAATGATTACCCTTTGAGTATGGAACCTTCAAAAGAAGTATTAATTATTAGGTTCACTATAATTATGACTAATTTGATCAAAGAGATTAAGAACAATCATATAGCTAAAGAAATATATCCCCAAAGAGAAATAAATAAAAATTAAAACTTGGGTTAAATAAATTAAATAAATAAATAATGTTCATTTTTTTGGACAATAAAACAGTACACATTTGTACAATTGTACAACAGTACACATTTTATACGACTGCCTCGTTGGCCGAGTGGTCGCAAGTGCGACTGCAAAGTATTACTGGGTTTTTAAATATTCTCAGTAGTAGCATGGAGTCTGGAATTGTGCCCGGTATATGGCAATAGGCTCACCCCCTATTACATGGGACTCATAACATAAATAGTGAAAAGTGGGTGTTACATTGTACAGTGGTATAATGTCCTCTGCCTACCCCTTCAGGGATAAAAGGTGTGATGTTATGTTATGCTATTTTGTACAATTATATTGCATTAACTACATAATTATATGTATTGTGGATGACTGGCGCTTAAGCTGGGCTCAACTCAAGGTCTGTATTTCAAGACACCAATTAATAATAAATGATATTGTTGTTATATGGGGATCATTAATAAATATTGAATCAATTAGTTACCTTGATGACAAGCATATCAATAACCCTGACATCAGTGACATCTTTGTTTTTAAGGAACAGTTCCTTCAGCTTAGCTCGGCATTGGTCTTCACTCTTTGGCATGTCATAGTCCATGACTGAAATAACAAGTTAACAAAAGATAAAAAAGCTGGTCAACTGACAATGACAATTAGGGTCTATTTACAGAAGTTTGACATCATCGCAATAAAATATTTGCATTTACGCTGTTATTATTGAAATATACAGTTGCCTCATATAAGATCTGGCTGCATTTACTGGCTCTAATAAGGATACTTGTTGGAAATGTGAAACCAGGGAATTTTTAGAACATTATTTGTATACTAACTTAACCTATGTCACAAGTAACCATTGTTTAGTGTTTGAGTGTAATATAGCAACTTAAAGGGGACGATAATGGCTTTTAAAAGAAGCGAAAAGATAAAAAGGTTGTAAACATAACACGGTTTGAAGCAGAACTGATGACATAACAGGCTGCTTACCCATGTAAGGGATTTGGCGATACCAAGCCTTGTACAAGCTCAATACTCGCATTTTAGCCTCCCCATGATTCATGGAAAGCACTGGCCTTACACTTTTAGTTCCCACTTGGATAGTTTTCCTTGCGGACATTTTTCTGGCTAAAATTCAACACTCGCGTCGCAAATTCGAAATGTTTTGATTTTGACAATGACATTTGACATGACATTGACAGTATAGTTAAAATGTTGCTATTATCTTATTCATTCTAAATAGGTTTAGGGAACAGAGTGTATAGTTCCCTAAGATCGGAAAAGGAGGATCCTCCGACCAGGCGAGGTGATCGTGCCTGGCGGGCTTTCTGCCCAACAGTTGTTCGTTGGGATTTCTATCCGTGTTTATTCGCTTGTAAACTTTGCATGTGCGATGTAGGATTCTTGTGACGTCATCCGTTGACATGTGGCACTCGTCGCCACATCACTCCCTCCCAAGACCGGAGGTCGATCCCGCTGAGACGGCTGTCGATGCTTGAGATGAGCGGTGCCAGAGCCAGTGTAGAACGTCCCTAGTTCCAGTGGGTCGGAACCGTGCCGCTGAGTGCCCAGTGAGTCGGGTGAGCGGTGCAGGGTGAAACTCCAGTGAGTCGGAGAGATGAGCTCGCAGTGTCCCACGGTGAGTCGGGGAAGAGATGCTGCGAGGGTAGGTGCGTAGTGGCTGGCGTCTGCGTTGACGGGAGGAGGTGTCCTTCAGACCGTGTGCAGAAGTGCTGTGCCTACCTGGTGAGGCCGTAGGGAAGAACCAGGCTGCACGACTTCGTTGCAGGCGATGGTGGTCCCTGATGAGGCCGAGGATGCTGGTTGGCTGCGACTTGATTACCGCTCAGTGGAGAAGTAATGAATGAGAGGGATGGCGATACGGATGACGGTGCTAATCTGCTCCGTGAAGTGAAGGTTGTTTCCAATCACGTCGGGGTCATCACTGTAGGGAACAGAGAGTATAGTTCCCTAAGATCGGAAAAGGAGGATCCTCCGACCAGGCGAGGTGATCGTGCCTGGCGGGCTTTCTGCCCAACAGTTGTTCGTTGGGATTTCTATCCGTGTTTATTCGCTTGTAAACTTTGCATGTGCGATGTAGGATTCTTGTGACGTCATCCGTTGACATGTGGCACTCGTCGCCACATAGGTTTTATTTCAATGTACTTTTACTAAATAGGACCATCAAATTGGCGCAACGTAGGATAAAACCTCAGCCCACTTATACTTTGCTACTAACACCAGGTTCATGGTGGTTATTACGTCCATGACCAGTTTCTAAAATAAACTTTAAAAAAATGTATTCAAAGTTGCCTTGTAATTAAATGCATATATCCGTTTTCAAACAAACTATGAAAGCGGTGCCGGTGGTAATTTTGTAACATCTCTGCCAACTGCCGTGGTAAAAGGCCAAAGAGTATAACAAGTATAGGGGAAGGCATAGCAGAAGTTTATATATTATTGATCTATTATAGGTACGCAAAATTACTGATTCTGGAAGAGAAATAACATCCGGTTTATATGTATCACGGAATATAGAATATGTATAGTATGGCTTATAATAGCGGCAGGTTTATCTAATATCTTATTAACTACCTACCATTCTTGTAGGTTTCACCTAAGAGTCCTCTGTCCTAACACGATTCCTAACCTTTGAAAACTTAGATAAGCGGTCGATATAAGAGACACAAAATGTCTTTGGTTATATTCAGTTTTTTTATTTCTTAAAGTTTGATGAACATTAAACATACATACAATTGTTATGCGCAACAAAATATTATTTTATGTGGTTAAAAATAAAAATAAATTAAAATTATTGTCTTTTACAAAAATCGTTAAGACAATTTTGAGACATAAATACCTACTATTAAATCTAGAACAATTTTTTATAAGGTCAATGGACATGTTTTAGCTCCGAATTTTGGTATTAGCGCTGCACTAAAAGGATTAATCAAGTGGACGTCCTTTGTTCTGCCAGGCATATAGGTGAAGAATATATCTCTGCAAAAAAAAGTTTAATCAATATCAAATTAAAGCACCATTCATCTAGAACAATAATAATTATTATTTAAAAAATAATTTGTTTACTTACAAAAATGCTTTGCTAGGGTAATAATCGTATTTGCAAGTAGACCACCAAAGACGTGTTTGCTCCAATTGTTTTATTCTATTTCTCGTTATAAAATCATTCATCTGGTAATCATGCTGTAAAAATATTTCGTGAGTTACAAGTCTTAATGGATAGTACCTACCTAAATAAGAGATGATAGTAGGTAATATATCAGGCTGAACTTTATAACCCTATTTCCTGCACATAGTTGCATGAAGGACATTTACATTTGGATGCGAACAAACCGATTTTCAATAACCAAATAAGCCTTAAAGGCTCGTACACAAAACTGCGATGCGATGCGATTTCGTGCAACAAGGCGTCTCTCCCAGGGTGACCATTCCTTCGACGACCGTCAACCATATTTTAAATTGAAAACTAGGTCGTGACATCGTTCGTAAAAAGAAGTGTGCATTTTTGTTATTGCTTAAGAGATACAGGAAAAAGAAAAAAAAGATTTTGATGCGCGATGGGAATCGATTCGCAATTTCTTTAGATGCGTAAAAGGAGCTCGCAAATTTTTGCGATGCGGCCTCGCATTACTGATAGCCACTATCTACTGTAGTAAATGAGTCTAGAACTAAGTACCATTTTCTGCACTAATTTTCGATGTGACCATTTTATGCTTTTTATCTGTTTTAAAGTGAACGGAATCTGTTTAGCGCGTGCTCTAAAGTCCATGTGCTTTAGTTCAAGCCAACGTCGCTGAGACTGCAGTATCATGCGTTCTGGAACAAGTAATCTATATATATAAAAGAAAGTCGTGTTAGTTACACTATTTATAACTTAAGAACGACTGAATCGATTTAGATGAAATTTGGCGGGGTCGTAGCTTAGAACCAGGAGACGGACATAGGATACTTTTTATCAAAATTTTTTTTTTTTTACTTTTACCGAAAATCACGAACGGGAACGGGGGGGAAATGGGATTGCGCGTACGAAGTCGCGGGCAGAAGCTAGTTATTAAATAAAATCAAATCAGCTCAAACTTTATTAAACTAAAAAGCATAGGTATACAGCTACTAAAAATAACTAAAATAAAACATTTAAAATCAAAAGGATTAATCAAATGAATCAAATCAGACTTACTATGTTTCGTTTCTGTCAATTTTCCTTTTACTCGATTCCTGGCCCATTGTTGAAGATTATTTAGCAAATTGGCCTCTGGCAAGTGAGGAATAAGCAATGGCGTGGTTTCCGCGACATCCGCCAAAAATGCCTGGAAAAGGTAGATTGTAGAAGGATCCAATCTGTACCTAGACACTGTTTAGTTTTAGAGATAAGATAAAAAAAACATACCGAGAGTAGTTCACTTTCCTTCAAGCCAGAAGCATTTAAAATTGGCGTAGACGGCTCAGGCTGCAAAGTGAAAAATAAATTAAGTAGATACGTTCTACTTATCACGAAGGATTAAAATATTCTTCTTAGATAACCTCTGTAAGTAATGTGTTGTTGTTTTATGTTTATGGTACACAGATAATTGAGGACAATAAATAAGTCAGAGTAAATCCAATATAAGGATGGTATCTCTGTATCTCACCGTAGCTTCATTTGATCTCATAGCTTCTTCAAATGTTTCTTTAATGAAGTCTTCCACGGGATCAAATTGATAAATCTTGGCTTTATCGAACCAGAAAGATCCATGTCTCGTGGATGGATAGAAATATTTCTCTTTAGGCCGCGTTCCAGTATTATACATGTCGTATAAATGTCCACATTTACAACGGGACTCGTCTAAATAGTCCACTACTGTGGACTCCCTGTAAATTCATAGTTTTACAGTTATTGGTAAGTGTGACTTTGATTTTTACTGGGTGGGTTCGCTTTTGCCTGAATATTTGAAAGAAATAAGTAGTTAGTCTTATTTCCACACACAGCTCTATCTTATTTCTCCTCTCGCCAGTGGCGGACTAAGCCTGTCAGGAGCAAACAAGATCCCTGACGCGATTTTTATCCCTCACGACGGGGGATGGGGGGTTGGAACTCTTACTGGCTAAAAACAGTTAGTCCGTCCCTGCCTCTAGCTTATTTATATAATACACTACACTGTTATAAGATATTTTAAAGGATTATATGTTATATTTACATTGAGGTACCTATAGAATCTAATTTTAAGAAAATTGGTATACGTATCTATTAGTGTAGGAGCTAAAAATTAAAAGTGGGTACCATTTGACTAAACAGTCGCATTCACTGTCACATCTTTCATACGCGTCTCTCGGGTGCTTCCAGAAACCTTCAATGCAAGTGACAACCTCGCCGTTAGATATAGCAATACCATCGTTTATGGCAATGTAACCCGTCGGCAATAGAGAAACATCTAAAAACAAAAGCACAGAAGGTAATTTTACAAAGAATTAAATATCTACTCATGACTACGGATATTGAGTATTTCAAGTACATAATTACATCGTGTGGCGTCACGATTTACTACAATTTATTATAGGGTAGCGCGACGTAACGACTTCCCACTTCTAAACTTAACTACGTTTTATCTAGATATTGTTTTCTCATAAGACAAAATAATAAAAAAAACAACGCGCCTAACACTTTTTCATTAGGTATCTATAACTGATGGACTAATTACATTTTTAATTTACATACACTGTCTACCATACTATTAAGTATGGAAGGACTATAGGAGTTGGTGTCTGTTATAGCTGCAGACATAGGAAAAAACTAGGTATAGATACCTATTAGGGTACTATCTGTATACTTTTTACGATATCTTACTAGCGAGCAGGTAATGCGGTCTTCCACCCGTAAAGCTAACTCCTGAGATGAGATACTGGACGTTTGAGTAAGGAGTTTTAAACCTATGCTTCGGTCTCAACTTCAACATGCGCAGCTTAAGAATATACGCCGCCATCTTTGGATCTGTGTTACCTGAAATAAAAATAAACATTTATCGAAAGTTTTTGTATGTTCGTTATTTAATAACGTCAAAATGGCTGACTATGGTAGATAGGTAGGCTAGATTATGGTCTGAAGTAACATGTGTTATTCCACTGCTAGGCTACTACTTATTTTCTACTCCACGGGAACGCGGGCGCGAAATCGCTAGTAGGACCTAAGTAAGTAGGTATGTTAGCATTCTTAGCTATGTTTTTTTTTTATATTTCATGGGCCGACGTTTGAGCACTATCTCGCATGGTGGTAAGCGATGATGCGGTCTACGATGGAGCACGTCGTCAGATAAGCAACCTATTCATAGACACCCAGGTTATACTCTTCAGGAAATTCAGACTCTCTAGCGGGTTAGGTTTAAAAGAAAAGAGGCCTATCTTTAATTTTCAACTTAGTTTACCACTCCTAAACGCAAAAAGCTACATTTAATGTAACTACATAGTCTACACTTCACAAAAACTTACATGCATAGTAAAAGTTTACCTAAGAAAGACGAAAAGACTTACGTAAAGTACTAGGTGGCTCCCAAAATTTGTATGTACAAGGTCTTTCAACTTCTTTCTCTTTTCTATTTCGCTCTTTACGTTTATCCAACTGTAAATAGAATTACATTTTGTTTAAACCCTATTTTATCACTCCTGGTTATATTTTTCAGTTTCGGTTAGGTCAGTTTTTCAAACGAATCTCTTAAAAAAAGCTAATACTTAAATAAACTGTGTAAGTGGTTGTACACGCTGACTCGCGGGCGCGGTCGCGAAATATCAAACATACTAGCTAATTTCGTACAGTTCCAACCGCTCTTCTCGGCTCCTATTGATCGCAGCGTGGTGTTTCATAGCCTATACCCTTCCTCGATAAATGGACTATCCAACATAAAAGTAATTTTTCAAATCGGACAAGTAGTTCCTGAGATTAGCGCGTTCAAACAAACAAACTCTTCAGCTTTATATAATATTATATGAATATATGAATTGTATGATTATACTAGCGGCCCGCCCCAGCTTCGCACGGGTGCAATATGCATTTATTATATATATATAGATGTATATATATAAACCTTCCTTAAAAACCACTCTATCTATTAAAAAAAACCGCATCAATATCCGTTGCGTAGTTTTAAAGATCTAAGCATACATAGGGATAGACAGACGGTGGATAGCGACTTTGTTATAAACTATGTAGTGATGATTACTGCCTTGTTGGCCCGAGTGGTCGCAAGTGCGACTGCCGGGCAAGGGGTCTCGGGTTCGATTCCCGGGTCGGGCAATATATTACTGAGTTTAAAAAAAAATCTCAGTAGTAGCACTGAGTCTTGTGGAATTGTGCCCGGTATATGGCAATATGCTCATCCCCTATTACATGGGACTCATAACATAAATTGTGAAAAGTGGGAGTTACATTTTAGATAGGTACAGTGGCATAATGTGCACCTCTACCTTCCGTTTCGGGGATAAAAGGCGTGATGTATGTAATGTTTATAGAGGTATATGATTACACGACATTCTGCTGCTTATACCGCACCTTGGTTTTGTACACTTGGATGTCATGTCATAAAATTATTATGTTTGATATTTCGCGACCGACCGCCGACTCGCATCCGCGCCCGCGAGTCTGCGTAGGCAAGCATTATAATATAAAACGTAAATGAAAAAAAAAGTAAATTGCTAAAATGTAAGTAGGTACTCACAAAGCTTGTGCTCTTGACAAGACCTTCAAGACTCTGCAATTCATAAAAAAAACTGAATTAGGTACATTCCGTATATTATTAATACTTAATTATGAAGATACCAGTGACCCAAATAAGACCATACCTAAATGAAATAACATACCTAGGCTAGGTAGGTAGGTAAGCAAAGCGAGTTGGTAGGTATAATTTGTTCTAGATTTTTTTTTAAACGTTGCCCCACACTAGGACTTTCTCCTGTGTCGTGGGTGCGTTTACAAACACACAAGTTCACATACACATGACACCCAGATCCGAAACAACAATCTGTAGATCACACAAAGAATTGTTCCGTGCGGGAATCGAACCCGCGACACGTTGCGCGGCAGCCAGTTGCCCAGTCACCGCGCCAACCGTGCAGTCAAATAGATTGAATAACTTACTTCAGCGCTCCTTAGTTTAAATTTATAGGACAATGGCGTAGGCAATTTCTTTTCCTGCTTAGGCTTATTAGAAGAATAAAATGGAACAGTGGACTTTTCCAAGTATTCTCCATATCTTCCATCCGGTTTTGGGGTTTTCTTTTTCGCTAAAAATGGATTTAAATTAGTTTTTTGGCGGCAAGCAGCAGTTTATAAAGATTGTCATTCTCCATTAAGTTTTTGATTTTGATAATAAGAATGATTCATCTAATTCTCAACACAATGACTTGTTATATTTTTGTGTAAGTAAGTTTTAAGTAGTTTCATAAACTGAAATTAATTCTAACGCATTTTATTTTAGGAGCCAGAAACAAATACGTGATGATTTTAGGCGTATAAATTACTAAGTTTCTAAGGGTGTCGAAAGGCCACAACTCGTCTACGAGTACGTACCTACCCATATAATTTCATACAGAAAAGTTTATTCAGGTAGTAGCACTGTTTACCCAACGCGGACTTCGAACCAGCACACGTTGCACTGCAGCTGATCACACAATGCACTAACCGTGCAATTATATCTAGCTAACATACGAATGCACACGCATTTGATGTATAAGTATGTAGATATTTGAAATCACATAATCACATATTATGAATGTAAAAGTCTTTGTTTGGATGTTTGTCCGTCAATAAAGGTGATACTACTAAACGAATTTTGATGAAATTTGGTACCTATATATATAGGCAAATTTGGTTATAAAATAGGTACTTTTATCCCGATAAAATACTTCCATGGGAAAAGCAGGAATCATATTCTAAGCTAATTAAGCCGGTACCCGCGTAACGGCTAGTTAAAAATATAGGTACATAAATCACGCCTTTTATCCTCGAAGGGGTAGGCAGAGGTGCACATTATACCACTGTACAATGTAACACCCACTTTTCACTATTTATGTTATGAGTCCCATGTAATAGGGGGTGAGCCTATTGCCATATACCGGGCACAGTTCCAGACTCCGTGCTACTACTGAGATTTTTTTAAAAACCCAGTAATACTTTGCCCGACCCGGGAATCGAACCCGAGACCCCTTGCCCGGCAGTCGCAATTGCGATCACTCGGCCAACGAGGCAGTCAGCACCTAGCAGTATAGGTACCTACCGACATATATATTCAATGAACTTACGTTTTTTACGCTCCTTTGAAACTATTTTCTTGCTTTCTGTTGCTTTATTGAGTGTTTCTACACACTCTTCCATGTCAACGAATACCAAGCACGATATCATAATCATAGCGTTCATGTCGTATTCTAGAAAAAAGAAACGTTACCTGACTTTACTAATAATAATCATAGGCATGTTTGAGTACATAAGTAGGTATTTACCTACCTAGAATTTAAGTAGGTATATGTAGCAAAAACGATGCAATCAGTAGCAGTCAGCGCCAGCAGTCAGTAGCTAATACCTGATATGCTAAATAAATATGTCAAATAAGAATAAAGGATCATATTCGGGTCGCGAAATGCTGCTACTTGAATGTAAGCCCTTAGCATAGCTTGAAACTAGTCGAGTTCCTCGTCAAATTATTACGTGAGTAAGCCGAAAAACATAATAATTAATTTAGTATGTCTCACGAAAGTTATAATATAAATAAGGGATCTTTTAAACTAAGCTGAACCGGTACATACTAGGTAAAAGATCACTCGGTGGCGCCTTGTAAATAGCTTCATAAAGGTTCCAGAAGAAGACACCAGGGTCCTCAACACTTTCTTCCATAGCCTTCATTAAAGTTTCCTTCGATATTTTACACGTGATTCCGAGATCAGACAGAGCTTTGCGCATGCGACGAGTCACATCTTCTAGCAAGTCTTGATGGATCATACGTTTCATTCGAGCAAGGACCTGCCTCTGCGGGCTTGAGAGTTCCACGTACCACCGAGGTCCAACTTCTTTTTCCAACCGTTTTGCTTTTCTTATATCTTATGAACAAAACTTATCATAAGTATTTAGATGTGGGTAGTTTGAATATCATTTACCTCCCGTATTTTTTAACGTATTAAATAATTTTGTGTTTTTACATTGATCTTCCTTGGTAAATAGAGGTATAATAACAATTAACATGTAGATAGTTAAACAGGAATAAGTTGTAGGTACTTGTTTCATAAAATAAAAGGTAAAAAAGTAAAATGTTACCTTCTGCGTGAAAATAAGCTTTCAACTCCTTGAGGAATCGGAGCCATTGTCCTACTTTCTCGTTGTATGGTTTTTGCGAGAGATTTTCCAGCATTTCCCTTTCTAGATAAACCCATACTGGCTCATTTTTACCATCAGACTCAGGCTAAATAAAAAACGAAAGACTGATTTAATTATCTAATTTATGTACGAGATAAATATATTCATTGTTGGGAAAAACCCGATCTATGAGTCATTAACTAAATAAATATATGTGGAAACTATGGAACGCCAATTGCTACGATTTTTCGATTCCTCAACAGTCATCAGTGTCAATGCATGCTCGTCGGTTAAGGCCTACCCCCTTGGGAGACAGGCGTGAGGTAGTGTATGTATATGTTACCGGCTAAACCCGATTTCAGGACAAACTTTTTTTTAAACTAGTTTTGCCTAGGCTAGTTCGCTTCTTTTAAAAAACACTTATTATTTGTTATAGTATGATTGTTCGTATTACCAATTAACCACAAGTTTTAACGACGAATCATTATAGTTTAATAAAAATTATTATTTTTCCAATTAGGTACTGAATATTTTTACAATTTATCTATTAATTTTGACTTTCTAGATATATTTGAATGTTTAGACTAGGCTATACCAGTTTATCCTAGAGTGTGCGTAGTTATATCAGGATCAACTAGTTTGTCCTAGCCTAAACTGGTTTATCCTATCGGGCTTAGGACAAATTAAGCCTAGGCAAAACTAGTTTGTCCTGAAATCGGGTTTGGCCGGTAACATTAGGTATAGTATAGATAGACTATGAGGCGTGCTATAATATAGCATATTCGCTTCGTTAGGTACCTAGGTACTTTTTTACGTACCTTTTGTTCCATAATTTTGTTAAATGTAGGCATTACAAACTTCCCCATTGTGATGAACTAGTAATTTATTCTTCGATCTAGAATGTATAAGGTAGGTAATTTAGACTAAATCATAATACGAAAATTTCGCAAAATTTAAAATTACGTTATTCAATTTTGATGACTTGATTACAAAATTATAATAATTTTGAATGTTACTATTCCATAGTCGATGGATGTTTACGTGCTAGTGTTAATTTTTTTATAATTTACGAATCGAAAAAGAGGTTTTTGATACTTTCTTCTTGGTATATGGGTTTTAAAACTCATTGTTATCTCGTGCGAGAGGTATTCGATATTAAATAAGATCAAGATGTAATCTAATCTACGCCTAAGCTGCTGTTAGCGTGAATAAAGGTTTCAGGTTCGATTCTTGGTTCCGGCAGAGCATAGGGTGATCCTGCCATCATGGTATAAAAAAAAATTAAAAATGCGCAGCTCTGCGTGTTCGTTAATTAAAGAACCCAATGTTACCTTTTAACAAGGGATTTTTAGAACATTTATAAAGATAGGTGTGTTCATATATTTTGGACGATAAAATAAAACATGTTATAATACAAATTCATAAAATATGTTTAATTATTTACATACACTCAATGTCATTGTCCACTTCCATTTCATTATCATACTGCGGACTGCGGTTGAGTTGGCTTTTAAACATTAACAATCATTCAACATACATGGTATGAAGCAAATAGTTAATTTATGTACTTTTTAAATTCATATTTTTAGTTTTGTCTAAAATATCTTTGTAAGGTGGATTGATGGGACTTTGTACAGGCTCTTTGTATTCATAGGATGTTTGCCCTTCCAACAACAGCGGGTATGATGTATCAGAATCATATGCACTTAAGTCCCCACAGGCATTGAATGGTACAATAAACCTATTAGGGCCTGTAAACTGATTAAAGTCACAGTATTTATGGTCTAGCAATGGGTTCACCATGTTTGGTACATATCCTTCAGGTGGCTGATAGTTTTGACACACTACAAAAGCCTCTATACTGGAATTTCTTGAACTTCTTGGCTTAGATACCGTCACATATTCAAAGAACTGTTTCAATTGCGAATATAAAAGAGAGATGTCTTCTCCTCTGAATATTTTGGCCACAAACACACCACCTATCTTTAATACATGTGTTGTAATATTGAGTGCAGCTAACAACAACTGTGACTGCACATATTCATCAATATCATGAAGCCCTGTTACATCTGGAGCTCCATCACAAACTACTAAATCAGCTTTCATTCCTTCAAATTCTTGGATTATAGCGTTTGCTGTAGACAGTTTTGTGATATCGCCCTGTATTTGTATTACACCAGGAAGAGCTGCCATTGCTTGTAAATCAACAGCAACAATTTTAACGTCCTCGACATTAGCCGCATTTTGTCGCAGATTTTTTGTTAGAACCTGACTCCAGCTACCGGGCGCTGCACATAGGTCCACGGCGCGAGTTACACCCTTAAATATATTGTGTTCTTCATTAATTTGCAGTAACTTAAAAGCACTTCTGGCTCGCCAGCCCTCTTCTTTAGCTAATCTATAGTAAATATCTCTCTTGTCTTTAGAAGTTTTGCCCATTTTATTTCAAGTAATTGAAGTTTTTAATGATAAGGAGTAAAGCAAAAACATACACGAATTCGCAAGTCGTGGATATCTTGTCAGTGTCAGATCAATCGAATGTCAACAGCTAATAACTATGTCATTGTAATGCCAAGTTCACACTAAGCTTGTATTGCTGTGCTGTGCTGCTCAGTTTTGCTCGCTTGATGCATGGCCATTGGCCATCGCATAAAAAGTACAGAAGATTTTACTCTATGGCGGAATGTCATAACACTGACAGCTGACACTGACAATTCATGACAGTTGTAAAGTAATATTTTTATTTTGCATTGCAATTTATTTTGAAGAATAAAATTCAAATCAGTTAGCTAATAGTTAGCCTGCTGGTAATACGTGTATAGTGTATGAATTCGTAATTGTTATTTATTAATAAAATTCGAAACACCGGCGCTAGTCGTAATCAAGGAATTACCACATAAATTGATCGTGAAAATGGACATAATAATGGATCAACTTAAGAGTGGCTTAAAGACATTGCTTTTAATGATGATGGAGGATTGGAAAATGTATCTGTGCCTTACAATTTTAATTAGCTTGTATCTTTATTATACAAGCACTTTTAATTTTTTCGAAAAGCGTGGTATTCCATACAGAAAGCCAGTTATATTTTTGGGTAACTTAGGCCCTAGATTGAGAGGCAAACAGTCATTTCACGAATTTCAATTAGAAACGTATAATTATTTCAAAGGAAATCGCTTTGGAGGTAAGTCGAACTTTTTTCTAAATTAAGACTTTATTTGACACACTATGCTTTACCACTGCAATAGTATTTACATAATATTAAAGTAAACAATTTTAAAGCTCTGTACCAAAGTAATACTCAATAACAAACTCTACTGTCATGAATAAAGATTTTAATAAATTGTAACAATTAATGGTTAATTTTATTTATTTCAAACATTTAAAGTTGTTTTCATTCATAACTTTCTAATTCAAAGCTCCATTAGAAAGTTTTATCACAAGAACCTTTCACTTTATTTTTTATTATTAGAATATTAAAATGAATTTCGCATCTAATTGCTAAAATATGTGATTGTTCATTTTGTCCTAAACATGCATAAATAGGTTCGAAAAGCGTTCGATTTTTTATGTATCAAACAAAAATTATTAATGAGAACAATTTCAGTAATATAACAAGTCAAACCAATTCTTGCTATAATAAATCATTCAAGTCTATATGAGAAAAATTATTACAATCAAAAGTTAGAAAATGAAAACCTAAAGAAAATCTTTTATATATTTTAATATTTTTTATATTTATACATAACTCATGTGAATTATTATGTTTTCGGCTTACTCACGCAATTATTTGACGAGGAACTCGACTAGTTTCAAGCCATGCTAGAGGCTCATATTCATGAGCAGCATTCAGTAGCAGCGCGACAGTAGCCGCGTCGCAGGTCGCGAAATTAAAAACTAGTCGAGTTCCTCGACAAATAATTACGCTAGTAAGCCGAAAATATAATAATTTATTTAATATGTCTCACGAAAGTCTAATACAAATAACCCATGTGTCTTTCATAGGGGTAGGCAGAGACCATGAAATTCCATTTTTTAAATATTTTTAAAATACTTGTAGTTCTAATAAATAAACTCCATTTAAGTAAAAAACCTCTTGAATGGAGCTTATTTATTAGAGTGAATAGGTTGCTTATGGATCGATGTGCTCCATCGTAGGCCACATCATCGCTTACCACCAGGCGAAATAGTGGTCAAAAATCGGTCCCATCTAAAATAAAAAAACCTCTGGTATGCATTTTCTTATTTTGCTTTCTTCATTGCAGGAATATTTGAAGGAAGAAGACCACTGTTGACAATTCTTGACCCTGACTTAATCAAAGCAATAACAATCAGGGACTTCGATCATTTTACAGACAGGATGGCTATGAATGCCAAAGAGCCAAAGTTCTGGAGCCGATCTCTTTTGAATTTAAAGGTACTATCATTAATTTATTTAAGATACTGGCATACTACTTTTCATAAATTTTAATCATAAACAATTATCCTTGTGGTTTCTTAAGTAAATCACAAAATGTGAATCCATGTAAGATATGGTTTGCTATACTGGTGGTCAAGGTCAACCACAAAGAGTTACGAACTAAAGGTCATAAAGTCCGAAGTACAAGGAATTCATACATACTGATACTTATGATTATGTGAACACACAAAGATCTTTTCTCTTCCAAATTGTTTTAAAAAAAAATCTATCCATATAAAACTGGTTTGTTTTATTTGGTGGATAAAGGTCAACTGGTTAAAAAATAATAGTTCTAAGTCCAAGGTCCAAGGACCTTAAGCTGAATCACACTCATAAATATACCGAAATATTTCTTTTCCAAATCACTCTAAAATTCATTCCACAAAAAGTGAATTGTTTTTCTGGTGGGTAAAGGTCAACTCCACAGAGTTACAAACTAATAGATCAAAGTCCGAAAGTCCATGGTCCATAAACATTCACAAATTAATGTGAACACCACAATTATGTTATTATATTGCATGACTTGTAAATAATAAAAATCTTTTATAATATAGCTGTATAAAATAGTGTAATTTAGGATTCTTTTAATTCAAATCAATAATGTTTAACACATTAAACGCCATGGGGGTCACCAGTCACATATGTTAGTGGAGGATTTGCCTTCAACAGGTTTTTATTGACAATCAAAACCTTAAGTTGAATGTGATGCGGAATGCAGACGGGCATTATTTTCATATTAATAAGTATGCTAAAACTCTAGGATTTCGCATAAACGATAAAAATAGTTTATGCAAATCTTATCAAATAATTCTGCAAAAAACCCGCAAATAGTCAATCTACATCCACATAAAAAACTGTTTTGTTTTCCTGGTGGGCAAAGGTCAACTCCACAGAGTTCCAAACGAATACATAGTTCAAAGTCCAAAAGTCCAAGGATCTTAAGATGATTCACAATTAATTTGAACATACCAATTATCCTCTTAAATTGCATGACTTGGCAATAACAAAAATTACAGGATGTTTATTGTTATTTATGAAATTACAGCAAGTGGCAAGATTAGGGAAGGCCGTTATTCAGCAGCAATCATTTTTCAGTTGGGGATTTGTCTTTAATATAATATTTTTTTCAGGGCTCAGAATGGAAAGCGGTCAGAAGTACATTAACACCCGTCTTCAGTTCATCACGTCTTAGACATATGCTTCCGCTCATTGAAATGTGTTCTAAACAAATGGTTGAGTTTCTAAATCAATATGGTAAGTAGAAGTATACAATATTCCTATAATAACTTTGCTCCACATTAAGATTTTCTCCTGTGTCGTGGGTGCGTTTACAAACATACAAGTTCACATACACATGACACCCAGACCCGAAACAACAATTTGTGGATCACACATAGTGTTGTTCCGTGCGGGAATCGAACCCGCGACACGTTGTACGGCAGCCGGCTGCGTAGCCACCGCACCAACCGTGCAGTCAATATGTAAAATCTGTTTTGCTATGATAATGTAAATTGGGACAATAATAATAGGCACTGCGCAGTGAACTATCATTGTTTATTTATAATTATGTATGTCTGACACAATTATGCGTACTTGTTGTAATTATTACGCATCAATTATCTATTAGCATTTACAAAAATATATAAGCTATTCATAATATATGTATTGTATGCATGTATAACATAACGCCTTTTATTCCCGAAGGGGTACGCAGAGGTGCACATTGCGGCACTTAATGCCACCGTACAATGTAACACCCACTTTTCACTATTTATGTTTTATCTATCTTACTGCGACATGTACTTTATAAAATTTACGTAGTAGATATCTATGATTTTGGTTTGAGCTTAGTTATATTAATTTTATGTAGGTGAACATTTCTTTAAATCTTACTCAAGTGGTTCTGATTATATTATCATGTTGTTTCTATATTACTCAACACTAAGTTGTTGACTAGTATTAGAACCGTTATCTTATTGACATCTATTTGATAAATTGTGTATAAGATTTTACTTTATACTAGACAAAACATAATATAGGCAGTATGTATGTAGGCAATTTTAAAACCTGTCTCATGAGCTATTCAACCGGTTTTTATAGAGACATAAAATATACTGTTTTAAAACCAAGTATTAGCTGCAAATGTAATTTATCTTCAAAATGAATATAATAGAACTTAAAATCCTTTGACCTTTCTGTAAATTAAGATTTGTTAAAATCTCTTAAGTAGATAGAGATACGTACGTAAGTAGGTAGAATAGTATTTTTCGCACGCTTTGTTTGCGTGTTTAGTTTTTTTTTATGGCATAAGCCGGTAAACGAGCAGACGGATCACCTGATGGTAAGCAATCGGCGTCGCCCATGGACACCTGGAACACCGGAGGCGTTACAAGTGAAAATAATAAAAGAAGTGTTTTGAGCGAAAATAGCCAAAATCTTACAATGACATAGCAGTATTAAAACTATTTTATTCTTTTGGAGTTTTTTGTTACAAGTTTCTGTATTTAGGTGATTTCTTGATCTTTAGATTAAGACAAGTGAAGAATAAGATAAAGTACAATACCTATAGTAGGGTCGTTTCTTAAATTTTATTTTAATGTCCGTCTGGTAGATTAATTTAAAACATTAGACACGTATTTCTTCCTTCCTAACAAAATTAAATACTTTCGTCGATATAATGATTTGGAATATCGTGAGACGACTCACGACCTCTCACTCCTACACTTAACTCTATTTTATCTAAGTATTGTAACTTTATACAAGAAAATATATAACCTGTCTAATATATTTTCATTATCTAACTCAAGGACTAATTACATTTTTAATTTCCATAGCCTGTCAACTACCCTATTGTACAGGGTATAGGGTAGTACAATACAATAGTTAGTAACGGTAAAAGGGGGTGGATAGGGATCGAGAGGTGAATAGGGACAGAAGAGGGGTGAATCGATACTATGAACAATTTCCCAATATCTATTCACCCCTCTTCTGTCTCTATTCACCTCTCGATCCCTATCCACCCCATTTTACGGTACCCACAGAACACATAAATAAGGTCTTCTTTATAATATGTTCTGTGATAGTACCTACCTATAAGAATACTCTCACTCAAATATTTACTAAAAAGTTATTATAGACACACGAGAGCATTTAATTACATAGCAATGTTTACAATTTACAGATAAGAAGGATGTAGAGATGAAGCAAACAATAGGCCACTTTACGTTAGAAGTAATTGGGGCATGTGCATTCGGTGTCAAATGTGATGCCTTGTCTGATGAGAATGCGCACTTCTTCAAAGTAAGTAATTAGAAAAAAATAATTTGAATATAACAATAGAATAGGATAGATGTAAAATCCTCCAATCAGTTGATGAATGATTTTTCAAAGAAAGAACGCTTCACACTGTTTCTTATTTGCTCACCGATCGAAAAAAAAGTTGTATAGGGGGTGTTTGAATTTAATTATGCAAACCTGTCCTTGAAATCGAACGTTTTAAAATTCGTTTGTGATGAATGTGTAAGAAGCAGAATAAAGTCAGTCAGGACTTAAGATGCCCTGAATTGTCATTACACATACCTACTAATAATAGTATTTTTTTATATTTTAGGTAGCAGAGAAGTTTGACTACATGCCGATGCATAAGAGAATAATACTGTACTTTATCTTAATATTCGTGCCTCAGCTAATAAAATACTTGAACTTTTCGTTCCTGAATTTGGACTCTTCAAAGGAGTTGGTGAGAATTTTGAAAGTTGCGAAGGATGAGCGACAGAAATCTGGTGTTAAGTAAGTTTTTTTTTTAAATATACCTAGCTTTTTTTTTAATTTGTGAGTTTCTATTTTTTTATTTGTACTTTCTTTACAGGCAAAACGATTTTCTTCAAATCCTTGTTGACTTCTCCGAAACCGAAAAATCTGAATCTGAGAAAACAAAGTCTACTGTTCGTAAGTACTCACCTGGATTACTTGTAGTAGAAACATTACCTGCACTTTATTTTGCATTTAAAGTTACCTATCTAATGTAAATGATGCTGTGTAATTGTTTAAACATAGGTATTAATAAGAACACAAAGGGAGATAGTACCTACGTTACTCAGTACTTGGTACAATGCATGAAGTCTTATACCTAGGCAGATACATAATATCTACAGTGCAATCACGGGTTTAGATTTCCAATACGTAAACCTATACTCAGTGTAAAAAATCTTGCACCTATACATCGGTATTTTCTACCTACAGTGTAATCAAGGTTTTAGTTTTCATATACGGTATAAAAAATATAACAAAGGTCTTTTTTAAAATCTTTATTAATATTCTTTATGCCTTTATAGATTTAGATGACGCGACCGTGGATGCTCAGCTGCTATTATTCCTCATAGCTGGGTATGAGACCTCCAGTACTTTACTTTCCTTCGCTATATACGTATTGGCTACCAAACCTGAGATACAAGACAAGCTAAGGTCCCATATCATTGAGATGACAGAGGGAAAAGAAGTGGACTATGACCTCCTTGCGAAGTTGCAATATCTTGATGGATTTTTGTTGGGTAAGTTTCCTAAGTGGGTATTAGCCTTCATCAAAAATAAATTATTTCGACTGTTCAATTCAATAAAATATTCAAAAATAATCACACTTTCAGTAATTGATTTTATGACCAAGTTAATTTTAATATTATTCCAGCAATTTTTTAAGAAACAAGTATGCTGTTTGACCCTAATAAAACGTGACGTCACAATACCCAATCTCGTACAAAATTCGTAGAAAACTGTCGTTTTTGACAGTTCGAAAAAAGTATTGAATTTGACTAGTTAGTCTTGCCAACTGGCAAGTACTCAATTGTGCAGTATCTGTTTTACTTATATTTCTCATTATTATTACTATACTCCGTCTGTTTAGGTAGTTAACTATTTGTAAACAAACCATAAAAAGAGTTCTTTATAGTTGACATTTCCATGATTCAAAATACTTCATAAGAAAATAAAATTGTTTCCCTTTTTACGACAGTTTTCTCTATTAAATGTTGTGTTTCTGTTCCTTTTCACTTATTTCTTAGTAAATATTATATATATCTGCTTGAGGATATTAATTTAATAACATTTATTAAATAATATAATATTTCATTACAATAGACACCATAAAGAGCCTAAAATCCCAGGTATCCAAAACCCTTCTTTAAGAACGAAGCAAAATAATGTTGTCAAATTAAAGAGTACAACTAAGATGTAGCGCGACAATGAAAGTAGCGTGTATTACGTTTAGTCGTTTAGTCGGTTAATCAGGCGCCATTGACAGCTCTCTCGTCGTTTGCGCTCGCGTTCCTATTTTGTTGAATTTATCTTGTTTCTTTGTTTTGTTTTTGTTATTAAGTTATTTAAGTTTAGGTATACATCGTTTGTAATTAACGTGTTCAAATATATTGAAGAAACTTGGCCCAAAGACATATATCCGTACAAGAAAGAAATCCGTACATCAGATTCAGAATAGTTTCTATTTAAACATGATAATGAAATAGACCCATAGGCTAGGCTCTTGTACGATTTAGGCATTTGTACTTGTATGTGTGTGTATGACAAATGAACGATTTTAAAGTGAATTTAGTTAAAATTAAAACACGAGAAATATTTGAAGTAATAGTAGGTTAAGTATCTCTGTGTCACGTGGTTTTCTTTGTTTACCTTTAGTTAATTACCTAAACAGATGGACTATAAGTGTTTCGTTTGCAACCTCAATAATATTTGATAAGATTTGGGGTTGAACCGAAGTGAACTGCAGTACTGCTAAAATAGCAGTAGGTATTAGGTTGAAATACTTTGGTAGTTACCTTTTCAACGGCACAAATATTATATTGCTTACAGATCTAATCTGTACACCTACAGATTATGTAATAACTTAAGTCCAATTTAATGCTTAATACAAGGACTATTGAATTTTAGTAAATCTTTAAAAATATCTTATATCTCTTCCCTTTCAAATTGACAAAAAGTAAAACATAATTATACTACAATTAATCTATATAAGTATTACAAATATACGTATTAATGTACTCAAAGAGAAAATATAACAATGAATAAAAACTAACATAATGATTAAAACAACTTAAAATTATGATTAGAATAAATATATAAAAAAATAATTGATAATAAAAAATACCTAATTAACTAAATTAGCATACTACCTACTTATACCCAAGTATTTAATTAACTTTGCGCAGTATAAATCCTTGAACATTATGCTAACTTGGTCAGTCAATTACCATTAGTTACAAGTAGGTTCCTACAACATGTTTGCCCCAGTTATATCTAACCTTTTTTAGTTATAACTTATTTTAGTTCGCCCTATAGTAGTATTACACGTGTAGAATTAACATTACGGCGGAACGTGGTTAGTTTATCATGTTTATTGAAGCTAATATTCAATTCTAATACCAAAATTTATTATGTTCATGTACTGTGAACATACATTATACCTACTATTAGATCACACACAAATGTTACCAAGTATTTACAAATGCAATTTGCAGTGTAGATAACACTGTGTATATTATATTTAATTAGTCACGCTTAGTAATAAAGTGATAGGAATATAACACGGGTTTCAATCGTGTGAAATCTCTATATGTCAAGGAGCAAGTTCTTTCTGCATAGCGATTACGAACCGTCAATCGATGTCAATGACCTACAATTTTTATGTAAGATTACAGCCTAGGTAAATTGATATTTAATATATGAGAATTGAAGTTTAATCGTCGGCGATATGGACAAAATGTATGGTTTTATAAGACATACTAGCCTAATAGGTACTTACGTAGTTTTTAAAATTAGAATGATTTAAATTAAATGGACAACTTTAAAAGTTTTATCCCAAACAGTAATTGAGTGGAATATGATAACAAACCTCTTTGTATAGTATTAACATCTTTTCTAATGTGGAACTTATTATGTTTTCAGAAACATTACGTATATATCCCCCTGTATCTCGTGTGGACAGGGTGTGCACAAAGCCATACAATCTTCCTGGAACAAACATTGTTATCAAACCTGGCGAAGTGGTGGCTATACCTCTGTATGGTATCCAAATGGACCCTGAACACTACCCGGAACCGAAAGAATTTAAACCAGAAAGATTCCTAAATGAAAACAAGAGTGAGAGAGCTTCTCATTTGTATATGGCGTTTGGTGTCGGCCCTAGAAATTGTATTGGTAAGTAAAAAATACATACATATAGCATTTTTGTATAATAACTATCGTGAGACATGGTTTACTCACGTAAATGACTGAGAAGAGATCTATTAGTTTCAAGTCACAATGTGATTCTTATTCGTGAGTTGCGGGCACGGCGACCGTATACACAAGACTAAAAGTGTGTGCGTATGCCACATAACTAAAAGTGACTTTAATAACGATAACAATTATATCATTTAAAGAAATCCTGGCAAGCCTCCTATTCCATAACAAAGCTCTATAATGAATTTTATACAATTTATCTCTCTGATCTAATGTTTCATCATATTTTTATTATTGTTTTCCAAGAGTTTATCTTAGAATTATTACATAAGTCCCTTATCATTTCGTTACAGGTCTGAGATTCGCGATGTTATCAGCAAAACTAGCGATGGTTGACCTCGTGAAGAAGTTTAGATTTTCGCCGTGTGAGAAGACAGAGGACCCAATACAATTTGACAGGAGGTCACTTCTGTTGAAGGCGCGTGGTGGTTTATGGGTTCGTGTAGAAGCCATATAATTTAGGTACCCCATGAGTATTTTTGATATACACAATATTTATATATGTATTACTCATTAAAAAAGAAGTTAAGTTATATTTTATATTTATTGTAGAACTTTAAAGTACAAAGTAATTATGTTGCATTTAGAAAAATTGTTATTAACCAAATAATATCGACATGGAATTAAAACATGAATTAAATAATATACACACTTATCAAGCATAGAAGGGTACCTTATGAAAACTACAGTATTTATTAGTATTTAATTTAAATTTATTGATTAAATGTATATTCATCACAAAATACTAGCCATATTTTACAATAACAGTAGTGGATCTGCTTTGACCAAGTAATATTTCATATATATCTGTGATGCCTCACATTAGTTCATATAAATTCTTTTTATATCTAAGAGGCAGTATGCTCCATTCTTTTGTCTATAACCACTACTTCGGTTACGATTTCGAAAATGCAGCTATAAAGAATCCAATAGAATCCTTGTAAATAGGATCTACTTTCCTAAGTTCATTGTCTTCTGGTCCAAATCTCTGTACCATTAATCTGAAATAGTACATTACAGATGAGTATAACATATTAGTGTGATAGTTTAATTCCAATAATATACATAGAGAAAACATAAAATGTTTTGTTCAATTTTACAAAATATATTTTAATTAATTACAAAGATTCTTGCCAATTTGCCAATATTGTAAGCAATTATTTATTTACGTTTTAAAAATAAATATTTTAACCTACCTTTGCGCATCATTTAATCCTTTATTGGCTAATCCTGTTCCACCAAGGATTGGTTCAGCAGGTATTAGTTTTAGACATGGAAACTTCTCAAGTGCCCAGGCCACCATACCTTCGTTTTCTTCTTCTGTTATTGTGCATGTACTGTATACTAGTTTCCCGCCAACTTTTAGTACTTTCACAGCCTTAAAACAAGTCATATTGTTATAAGTTTTACCCATTTATGAGACCCATTATAGGCTTGGTCATTAAAATATTTTTTAGTTAATATTTACAACTAAAACAACAATAATAACAGTTGTAACATGTTCCTAGTACACTCACCTCTGCAAACAATTTTCGTTGAACAAACTTGTAAGAACCTATCATCTTTGGGGTCATTTTATTTACTAACTGTGGCCTTTGTCCCAATCCACTGCAAGGAGCATCTAACAGCACTTTATCGAAACTATTTGGTGGAAAGGGAGGTCCACTATTTATCCCTTTACTTTCTTCAGAACAACATTTAGTTGAGTCAAAAGCATATGCCGTAACACAAGTCACTCCTTGAATTTCGCAACTTTCCTTTATTTTTGCAGCCTTCTGTGGCGTTTTATCTAAAGCTATTATTGTTGCCTGTAAAAGAAATCCTTTTAATAATTTTTCGTTATGTAATTATGCTCTAAAATTGTGATCAGCGATCAGCCATTATGTGAAAACCCTTTGTTCAGTTGTCTTCTGGCAGATTGACATAATGACGAAATTGCTAAATCAAATATAATTTTGGGTAATTAAGAGGAAGCTAAGGCTGTGATTCTATTGCATTTTTATACTATACTAACTTGATCATTGGACATTTCAGCTAAATGTGTAGTTTTATTACCAGGGGCTGCACACATGTCTAGAATACATTCATTTGGTTTGGCATCTAGGACCCATCCACAGACAATAGAAGGCAGGTTCTGTAGTAGTACTTCTCCTTTAGAATATATTGTTTCATTTACTACTGGTAGTTTGGATGCCGGCAGAATAGTGTGTACTGCAATGCCACTAGAAATAATTAAAACAAAATAAATCTTTTATTTTATTTTATTTTAAAAGACTTCATGCACACCCTAATGTGCAAGGTGGGCTTAATGCCTAGGGCATTCTCCTCCAGCCAGACCTTTGGGTGATGCAGAGACAAAAATATGACATAGATATCAAATATTTCTGCTTGACCTTTCTCTAAATTAGTGAGGATCAGCTTTCGTCAAACTTGCATAATTATTTTATTGTCATTAAATTATATTATATTAACTCGTTGAGTACCGTCATTATAGACACAATTGAAGAACAATAGGTTGCGGTCATCGGTGACCGCTTGGTGTTTGACAGTTTAAAAAGAAAACATATTTCCTAATTTACCTTGGTTGAACACCATTATCAAATAAGTCAGCTCGTAACATTTTCAAGTAGCCAGTTCCAACATATAACTTTCTACCAGTGTATTCCACTTTTAGACCTCTTTTACAATGGCCTTCTAAGTCTCCATAGATGTCAACTCTTTCACCTAACTGAGAATCTGGAAAAAAAAGATAATTCCCAGCTGGACAAAGAGACCTTCCATTTTACAGTTTATTTTGTGCTTAATTTTCCTGTTATATTACTAATGACAAAGGACTTGTAAAAAGAAAGTTCTTTTCATGCAACAAACTTAAATATTGTGAAATCTGTGTGACATCAAAAGCTCCAACTCATCAAAAATTACATGCAACTTCCTATTCATCTGTAATGCAAGTATTACTTGCATCAGATCATCAAACGTGTGTCTCATTGGGGTAGGCAGAGACAATGGAACACCAAATGACATGATTCTGACATATTTCTTTCACTTCATTTATCTACAGTTCTAGGAGATATTTTAAAGGAGGATTAATTGAATTCATAATAACCATTGTTATCATAAAAATTATATTCCTGCATATACATTACTTACTAACAGGCAGGCCCATAACTCCAGGAGCAAACACATGAGCCCCCCTCAGCACAGCAGCTGCACATAGAGCATCAACTATGACCTCTTTTCCTGCCTTCTTCAAACTAACTTCAGGCCATGGTCCAAGAATAAGACAATCTGGTCTTAAGAAATAAAAATCTGGTAATTCTGTAGTGTCCAGCACATTACGTTGCTGTAATTTTAAAATATAATAATTTAATTTCATATTATTTGTATATTATAAGCCATAAGTAAAAATGTTATTCTAATAAGATTACTTGACTTGGAGCATAATACATTTTTGTGAGTATTAAAGTTGTTAACAATACAATAATTATAAACTTACAGATATAAGAAAATTTTTGAGGACATCAACTTCTATCTTTTTTAATTTATTCACTCTAAAAGTTGTTAATTTTGGAGCCTGAGTTAACCAGGCTTTCATATTGTTATTACTATCCCCTAGAACTTCCATTGTTACTCAACTTTTTTAAAAATAAACTTATGTTTAAAATATTCAATGTTGTACAGTAATATTTGTAATTATTGAGACAGTACTTCTCACGTGATACATATTACATTGCCCAGTCCTTTGTAATAATAACTGTATTTAAATACTTTAGCGCATAACTAAATGTAATATAAATAACATGTGTTGTGATTTGTTTAGAATTTTATTGTTTTCGTAAAGGTTCAAAGAAAGAAGAGATCAATCAACACGCTATTGACATTTGACATGCTCATCAATTAAACGTCAGTCGTCTGGTTGGCGGTTGACTCATGACTGTCTGTCCTGTCATCAGTGTTGCCAACCCCAAAAAACAAAAAAACAACAACTCACATAAAAAAAAACAGTAGAAAGCAGTAGGTAAAGAAAAAAGCGCTCATTTCATATTTTTGGTAATATAATTAAGTAATGAATACCTAATTGTTTAAGTGACTAAAACTCACATTTACGTACATTGATATATTTATAATCACAGCAATAAAAAACAAAAATCAAAGTAAAATTATTTTACAGTTTCATTTTCAATTGCCCCATCTTCAATATGTTCACCCTCAGTTTTGTTTTTAAAATCATAGGTACATATTCTTGTTGAATTTCTTCGTGTGCCTTTCTGTGGCTTCAAATGAATAGCAATAGTTATTTCGGATTTTGTCCTTTATATTAGTAGTCGATATTCTGATACGTAGGTAATTTGGTTTTCGTAATATTTATAGCAGAAAATAACCTTTCTACGACGGCGCTGCTATGTGGTCCTACTGTGGTAGGCACAAAAGCTTTTTTACTATGTAATTCACACAACGCAAGGAACGTTTGAGAGTCTCCTCCATTCCTTAATTCTTGTCCATGTTTCATAAATCGATAGTATCGGGAATTTTGTTTTGGTAGAAAGAAAACAGTAGAAAATAAGAATGAAACAGAAAACATGGACATCAAAGCAAAAACAGCAAATCTACTGTTAAAACAGTAGGGTTGGTAACAGTGCCTGTCATCGTGTTATATATCTATGGTCATCGTACTCATCGTTTTATTTTATTTTTGGCATTTTTGAACTGGCTTATAGACTTTTAAGCCATGTGTGGTTTGGGTTGGGATACGTTATAGCAAACAAAACGTTTTAATTTCAGTCCTTAGTCCAGTCAATAGCAAAGAATAACAGAAATCACAGAATAGACACAAATTGACAAAATATAAGCAAAATACATACAACAAATTCTTAAATGAATAGCAACTGCATGAATATTGACCTACCTCACCTTACCATTTAACTCAAACAAGTGTAAGCTTCACGAGCCCCTACGGACTCTCGGATCGCCGCATTGCACTCTCGATTATTTAATACAAACGGAAAACGGATACATAAAATAGCCCACGTCAAAGATACTTGCCGAGCGGCTGTGTAAGCACACAGTGTCGAGCCTGCCTCATCATCCAGAATAAAAACCTTAAAAGGCGTTATATTCTTGCTGTAACGTTTGTGGTTCTCACTATCAAGCTCCAGGAAACTTGTAACCATTTTTGGTTGACTTGCTGAGCTAATATACAGAAGTCAGGGAATGAGTATTTTTTTTCTCCCTCCCGCCTGGGTGAGGCGGGAGGGAGTGTCAGATTCTTACTGACTAAAAACCACCCCGTTCCTTCTCCTGCACGTCGAGCCGGAGCCCCGGTTACCCGTTAGCTTCTCCGCGACGTTAGGTTCTTCGCGACAGGGAATGAGTATAGGAATCACCGAATGCCACTTACGTACGGGCACTTGACATATTTTTATTTTATTCGGTATAATTTTATTTTTAATTGTAATGAATAGGTCTGCCGAAATCATCGCAATTTGGCGTTTTATTGTCTGTAGCTACCCTGTTGGGAGACAGGCGTTACGATATGTATGTACTTTCATACAAATATATAGTTAATGAAATATTTTGGAATGACCTAAATTAATTAATAACAGTTTGAAATCAATCATAGCTTAATATAAATACTACAGTAGCATAACTTGACCGTGCGTGCCACGTTGCATCAAATGCGTAACAGAACTTTAGTCATAATAAATTAAGTTGAAGGAATTCAGCTTCCAAACCACGTCAGTGTTCATTGAATAGGTTTATCGTTTCAAATTGCATATAAGCTTAACTCAAGGAAAGAGAGGGATTCACTGAGAGGGAGTCTGGAGCCCATCGAAGTATTGAGCCGAGTAGTGGTTACTAAGTTTGTTCAGTAGTGTTCCTATCCGAAACAAAACGTATGTAAGCTTGAAATCATTTAAATAATATTTGGTGTACCTTAATTTAATAAATTCACGGGTTAAAATAGATAAGAAGGCGTTTTCATTGCTTGTTATCAAACAATTAAAATAATAATTAATGAAAATACGGCACTTGATAGAGTGATTATTTTTATTGTCACTGGCCACTTTTTTCCAATACGTGGCATAGGCACGAACAACTTCCACGTTCGCCGCCATTTTGACATCGAGCGAATTGTATAGAATCTACTGATTTAAAGCTTTTTTTCTGTATTGTGTTGTAATTGGCATCTGAAAATGTAAGTATTTCATCTGCATTCACTTATTTTACATATTTATTAAATTAGTGTGTTATATGAACTGTAAATTACGTTTTGTATACTTTATAAACTGAGGGTGGTGACCGCCGTATAGACCAACAGCGGTGTCGATCGAATCTTTGTTGTAAATCATTCTTGTTGGATGTTGTAATGCAAGTTGGTGCTAATGATTGGATTATATTTGTGTTCTGCATCTAAAACTTTAATCTTGTGTTCTTGTTAACTTAAAATAGAAAACATACTACGTCAAATTTTTGTAAGGACCTGCCATGTCATTATCATTGATTGAAATAACGTGCAGACTTGACGGATGACTCAGTTCGGATAATGCTAAATTTCTAATATTATTTTATTATTGCAGACTAATCGCAAAGCTTCAAAATGGGGAATATGTTTGCGAATTTATTTAAAGGCCTATTTGGCAAAAAGGAAATGAGAATATTGATGGTTGGTTTGGATGCTGCTGGTAAAACCACAATCCTATACAAACTTAAATTAGGCGAAATTGTTACGACTATTCCAACGATTGGTAAGTATATTTCATATTTTTCTTGCAATAAATGTTTATTTGAAAAATTCAAAATAGACCTTATTTTATGTTTCACTATAGCATCATAGACTCATGCATGAATCATTAATTACCCAGAAGAAAAAATACATTATTATTGGAATTTAGGAAGTCTTTTTTCCATAATGTTATAGATAACCACTGTAATCAAATAATAGTGCTAAATGATAATGAATCAACATATATAATTTTGACAGTACAATATGGCTAATGGAATTTGTATTGATTTTATCTAACATCTAATAATTTAATATATCCATTACTAAGTATTGATAACTGTCGATCCAGTTGTGGCAATAGTGCAATCTGTGGTCAAATTGGAACGGGGTCAGAAGCATTCATTGAATTGTGTGCATCTAAATATTCATGTGTCCTATTTCATAAAAATATGGGATGTTTTTAGTCTATCATTAATTTTGTATTTTTTTAAATCAATAATTATCATTATACATACTTTTAAACCAAATATGTTTTCAAATGTTAAAATTACCTAATTTAATTAGCTTTTCTCCATAAAAATCTTATCAATTAGTTATGTTAAATGCTAAATGACTGGAACTGTTTATAATGTTTTAATGTGTGACATAGAATTTATGTAATAGAAATGATGTAAATTATGTGTAATTTCAACATAAAATTATGGGTATTACAACATTACTGTTAGTAAAAAACTATGTACCTAGATGGTATTGTAACTGTTATCATCATAAAAAGAACCCTAGAGTTAAGAACATAAGTTTTATAATCGTTTTTGCATCATAAAATAAACCTTATTGGCCTTTTTACTGTGTGGATAATTTCTACAATTTTATAATGTTCATAACTTATTTCCAGGTTTCAATGTGGAGACTGTAGAATACAAAAACATCAGTTTCACTGTGTGGGACGTAGGTGGTCAAGACAAAATTAGGCCACTCTGGAGGCATTACTTTCAGAACACACAGGTCAGTAACATCACTTTACTATTTGCTAATTCTAATTGGAAGATTGTGTTTGACAACCATGTATTTACTTTTTCTGAGAAATACATAGATAGTGAATTTTTGATTGTAAATCTTTAATTCAAGAAGTTTAACTCGTCGAGTACCGGTTTTATAGACACATTTAAAGAACAATAGGTCGCGGTCACCGGTGACCGCTTGGTGTTTGACAGATTAATTTGTGGAATTAAACTTAAGGAGAATTAAATTCAAGGAGTTAATTGAATGAATTTGTAAAAAAAGGTTTTAATTTAACTTATCTTGAAAAGTACTTTCGTAAGATCTTTGCACATTTTTATTTTATGAACATTGCAATGTCTGATTGAACAGAAAAATAAATTAAAATATCATATGAGTTAATTTGTAGGTTCTTATTAGTATAATTTTGTAGTGTTACCTAAATAGTATGTCATTTATGTATCTGAGATCATAGAGATTGCCATGAGTACCTCTTGGTGTTCACAATCACATTTGTGAAAGTGGGTCATTGTTTCTAATTTTAAAACTTACAGATGATTTCACTTGGTTGTACAAACAAAGGCTTTATTATAACTTTAATCCTCAAATAGAATTATTTCAACTGTTTCCTCCAACTTAATTAATATTAAATTTTATATAGAAAATATAATTAAGCAAAAGTAATTCATTGTCAGCATTATGATTATCCTCAAAACAATATTTTATTGATTTATCAGAAAGTGTGTAGTAACTTATTGAAATGTATCAATAGTAAGTTCTTTCTACATTAATTAGCATTTACACATGTTGAGTTACATGGCTTCCTCTATTACTTGTTAGCGAGTTGAATGTGGTAGTCTGGCCTCATTTAACAATATGTTTGTTGGTAATTTTACTCTTCT